CTAAATGCATGACTTCATTTTTCAATATAGCTCAATAACTTCGTTTTAAAGCCAACAATTTTTACACTGCGCAAGCAAGGCCTAATTTTTTCCAACATTGAAACGTAGAAGAAGCGATGAATAGTCTGCCGTTGATTATTAGTCCACTAAGCCAGCTTCTGGTATCCATGTCAAATTCGATGGAATCCCATTTCTAAATTATTCCTTTACGTTCTATAGATTTTGCAACTGGTCATGTCATTTTTTGTGTATTAAAATTTGTAGCTACTACTTACTGAAGTGTAGCAACTTATTACAAATACTTCAAGCAAGTATTCCTCGTGTACGAAAATTAGGCTTGTGTTATCGTTGATTCTAAATGATAGCCGGGACAATCTTACAAGAGAAAACATTTTTGTCCCTAATTTATGTAATAGCTTGGGGCTAGGAAACATAATGAGGGTTTTTTGTAGCCTGCAACACTCCTAGTAACACAAACTTCTTTCAAGTGAATTAAATCATATTTTCAAATATCTTTTTTCCCCGATTTCAATTCTTGGCTTTTTTATGGTTTTATTCCTTGCCCTGACATTCTGTTGACAGCGATCTAGTACTTTCATGTAAAAAGCTAGTTGTAAATCGCAGTTGACGCTTCTTTCGAGAAACTTTCGGGAAAACTGACATAAGTTACACTTTTACCTGAGGATGGCCTGGTTTTTTTATAAAGTGCCAACAAGAAATCTTGAAATCATTAATGCTTAGTTTTGTTTACCTTCAAGGAAATATCATATTTAACTAACTGACAACTACCTTTGCCAGACCCTTTACTGATTTTAAGACGAGAACCCCCAGTCGTGACGTCCCTGGTAGGCCTGTAGCTTGTGCCCCCAAATTGTGATAATCTAAAACGAAAACCCTGTGTAACTCCTATACCGATTGCAAATGGGGGAAAACTGAGTTGGCTGAATGCTTGTGGAGTCCAATTGCACTCGTAAATTCACGATGTTTAGACCATGAGTCATTGGCCAATATCCCACACCACCTAGGAAAATCAAATTCGTATTCATTTTGTTGTGTTGTATTTATGTTTAGCAATTTGATTTTTTTTATCAGAACTGAAATAGGCTTCGATTTCATGAAAAGCAGCAGAGTCAGTTGGATCAACTCCAACATAGTAAGTGCACTTGCAAAGAAAAATTTGATAATTCTTTTGGAATCATTCTCCAGTTCAGAAGATCACGTACAGAATTCACATGAAATGCTTACAACCCAATTAGCTAGCAGGCATAGCTTTATGAAGAAGCCATACATGTAAAACAAATTCTACAAACAAAAATATACCTCCTGAACTATTTTGCAAAAATTTTATCTTATCTCCTATGTATGGCCTTATTGCTGGCAATGTATTACATCTGTTTTTGTCAAAAATCAAGCACAGCTAATCCATCAGATAGTTTTAGATTCCGTACGATCCAAAGATAAAATCAGCGCGTTTCTTGTATTAAATCTGTTGGATCATTTTTATTTTTAAAACAATTTTAAGACAGGTTAAAAAAACACTTGCATGACAAACACTGAATTTAAGTAAGGCCTCCAGAAGAAAATAGAGATCAAATAGATTTAAGAAAAACCGTTTCATAACTACAGAATTTTATTTTTGACGTGCTTGCATGGGCAAAAAATCGACAAATCTTTTGTACTGAAGAGTCATCTAAGACAAATGATGATAGTGATGAAAATGTTCACAGTTGAAACATTTCTGGAAAAAGATAAACCTTAGTATTTTGCATGTACGATTGAAGAGTCGGCTCAACAGAGCTAATAAGCTAACAAGAAATATTAGATAAAAGAGAAAGAAATACTCAAATTTTTAAGATAGTTCTAAATTTTTTAAAGCAAATCTAAAGTGTGTTTTGATGTGTATAGTAAAAAGTGTATTAAGAGAAGGAGAACCTTAGCGTTATAGTGTGTTGGTTGATTTCCACCTGAAAAACATTGAGCCAAGTGTAGTGAGTGCAAGTGAGGGTTCAACTGCTATTTATTAACAGGTTTATTTATGGCAAAAGATTCAGTGAGAGAGACACTTGAGGCATGGCGACTATGAATCCTAGTTTCCAAGGCCTTTTCCTGTTGACGGGAGCCACAAGCCACCCAATGCATTGTCATTATGGTATGAAAGAAAATATTGAAAACCTCGCAAGGATTTGCACTGACCGCAGACTCAGGTGCAACAATAACAGATAAGTTGTAATGCTGGATATGCGAGCATTTTATTCTTTGCGTACGAGAAATTATTTTAATACCGATCGAAACGATACCAAAATTTTTCAAAGAAAGACGAAAGTAAAGAATTCAAGCTGGACACAAATGTACCTTCAGAAGTTTTCAAGTGCTTGATTCTAATTCGGTTGGTTTGGCTAGAATTTGAATAGCATAACAAATCAGTTTCTATACATCTCACTTTCTCACCTAGGGATTTATTTCATTCTCCCTATTTAACCATGATCAAAAATCCAAATATATTCTTGAAGGCAAGTCAAGAAATCGGTACCATTCCATTATTAACCCACAGTAATACCTTTTAAGTAATTTTCCCCAAATTTTAACCAAAATATCTCAATACGTTTCTTACACTTTGCTGAATGATGCAGGAAATGTAACATGTTTCCCTGGGATAATTACCATTACATTTCCAATAATAATCAAAAATGATCGTTTACAATATTTTACGACCCTTTTACGCGGTTAGATGTTGTCAACGGATATTCATCGAATAGTACACTCTTTTTTATAAGAACAATTTAATAATAACACGAGTCTTAAAATTGTTCAAAAGTTAAGTACAAATTAAGAACAAGCTGGGGCTGAGTTACTGTAAAATGCAATTTTGAACAACGTTTTATCTCAAAAACGATTATTTTTAGCCATGTGTGGGTGCTTTTGGATTTTCAAACTTGTCTGCAAATGAAGGTTTTCTCACTCACTTAGTTGGCAAATGAGGCCTGAACACACCTCCCTTGAGCGAAAAAGCTAGCACTCGCACTGCTTACACCTTATTAATTTAAGAACAAATTGAGAAAAGTCCAGCCTCAGATTTTCGAAAAAATCAAGAATAGTCAGTCAGAACTTAAATTTACTGGTTCTTATAAAGTAAGAACGTATATTGTTTATGATGTACTGTTGAATAAGCTATTGTTGCTTAAAATATATTCTTCATTTTATTTCATAGCTGAACAACAAGTCGCTTTAATCATGCAGAAAATCTCTAACTCATTTTGAAAATACTAATAACTGATGAAAAAATCTTACTGTGTAGCATCGCCTTTCATTCAACTTTGTAAAAAATTATCTTTTAAAAAGAGTTTCAAGTAAGTGTGACCATGATTCAGTCTAGTAAGGTAAATGAATCATACCCGTTTTGCTGCTGTTGAAGTAAAATGATTAAAAACCCTAGTGTTGAATCATTCAAAACCACAGTGTCTTCTACAAATGACGGGCTACTCTACCCTCTGCAAATGACGGGCCACTCTACCCTCTATTGGGGATAGAGTCTTGCTCAATATTCTACATTGCTTTTTCTGTAAACTGCCACTTTTGCCCCCTCCCTTTCGAAACATCTTGCATTTAATGAGAGCATTCTTTCATGGAGAAACAAGTTAGTGAAAAGCTTCACACTGAAGTAATCTGTTTGAGTCTGGGGCACTATAACAAGTCACTTGATGTTAGAAATTCATTTCAAACAGGTACATCAACATCTAAGAAAGCAACGTCTCAAAAACATTTTCCCAAACAGCACTCAAATATTTTCCAGTCGTAGAATGAGTCGAAATTCACTGTTCAGACTAAAAAATCCATATCTCAAACTAATCACAAATGTACATAAGAAATAGAAAATCTCTACGTGCCATCTCTGAAATCCCAATAAGAAAGAAATACAAGAAAAGAAAGACAAACTAGAAGAACATTTTTACAGTGAGGCAAAACCAATTTTTGCCCTTAATTATATATAGAAGCCGGAACATTCGCGGAGCTTCAGCAACAATTGTAATTCAAATGGTTGTATTTCAATATTTTCTTCTTCATCTCATTCGAGATTTACATCCGCTGTGATATGAGCATTTGCCATTCGTGTTCTAAATCTTAGTAATCTAACCTCTTTTGTCAAAATAGATACATATTTAATATTTTCGTAAGTTTTTAAAGAACAACATTGACACTCTTTCTCAGAATGTACCTTTGCAAAGATTAATATATCTATACCAGCTAGGGATATAAGCATTCGTCTCCCGAACGGCAGACATTTCTCTCGAATGGGAGATTTCTCCCGTTCGGTAGACAAAATGCCTATATCCCTAGCTGTATACATGGAGAGCCAAATCGAAACCACTAGAAAATGGATGCGAGTGTTACATAGCTTGGCCAGGCTAGGTATGTATCACAAATGAGTAAGCAATCAATGAAAACGTACGCAACAAATTATAAACTATTTATAAACTGACTTATTGAGACAGCGCGGATGCAAACTTGGGATTAATGAGTCAAAAGATTTTTTGATAGTATTAAACAAATTAAACAAAACATTCTTTTTATACAAGAAAATACCAATTATGTTGCACACGGGCTGGGTCAAACTCTTTTGCTTCGATCTTTTCTGCTTTTCAAAACTGGGCTTTGAGATGTCTGGAAGTATTGTTACCTTCGCTTGGATTAGCAAGCAGTTGTAACACGCATGTTTTTTATGAGCGATGTTTATTTGGCTTAGTTCATCGCCTTGTTATTGTACGGTATCTCTATCACCATGGAAGTGCTGACGCCAAAACCGTTATTTTATTTTTATGTCAAGCTTCAGTCAGTTACTGTTGAGTAGTTCTGAGTGAAGCTTGACCTTGACGCTTCTACCAGCAAATCGAATCGTATCCACGATTTAAGCGTACAATTCTGCGAGCAACCGAGAGTTCCGGGATAAATTTTCTAAACAACAGATTTTTGACAGCATGCCAAGGAATAAGAAAGAAACTTACCAGCAATTGGCTGCACAGACACCACTTGCAACGGGGTGAGAAGGTCCTGCTGCCGCGCCTCTTGGAGGCCTTTCGAACTCCTGGTATTGCTCGTACGGCGCTGTAGCGCCATAATTTGGAGGGGAACGGGCAGGCCACGATTCGCGATCCTCGTACCCAGCATGGGTCCCTGCAGAGCCATAGGTGTTAAAAGCCGGGTTGTAGTTATAACCATACATATGGTTGAGAAGTGTTTGCTTGATAGGGTTGTTGGTTACCTTCGAGAAACACAGATCTATGCTGTTTTCATGCATCCGTTGGAGCATGGAGATAACATGTTTTCTACGCTAAAACCTGAAGAGAAATACGTTTCCTGTTGTGTAAACGAAACTAAAATGTGAATGAATGGGCTTCGCTGTGCAGGATTTACTTAATGAACTATATTCAATTGTTATTGTCCGAATTTTTCCTTTCCGTATTTGAATAGAGAAATCAAGTAACAATGAAATCTGACAAAAATTCAAAAATTCGATTGTTTCATGTTTTCATAACAACTATGGGCATTGTTTTTTGACAGCTGACCGGAAATGTAAGGCTCTTAAAACTTCAGATGAGACCCGGGAGACCTTTTGTGTTACTATTTTCGCTGATACAGCTTGATAGTGAGCGACGGGGGTTTTGGAAAGAATGTGTCCATTCATTCGATGTAAATAGATTAGACTGGCGCCTTGTGTCTATACACAATGTTGCCATGACCACCAAAGATTTAAGCAAATTACAGTTTTTCAATCTTGTTACCACTTGTCACGTGTATAAACACGGAAAGCAGAGGCACTCTGAAAGTGAGTCTTTAACTTTTCACAACAACAGGGCACCATTGAAGAACTATGATGTATAATTCTATGATACAAAGATTATATATATAATTATATGTTTTAGAACTTCAACAGAAAACTCAAAACGTACTGCCACTTAGAGCTTCACTGGATCATAGAAGAGAGGCAAACCTGGTGGATAAGATCAAAGAGAGGCTCTAATTTCCATCTCCCTCCAATATTTTGGCTCTTGTGCCAAGGGTATAGATTTTATGACTCACTAATAATTTTCGTAACGAAGGTGAATGTGTCATGCTGTACCCTTTTTTCAAGAAAAAACTTTGTAAGAACATGAACCATGTTGGAACATGTTCAGCCTCCGGTGGAAGAAGGATCAATGTGATTTTAGAAAATTTCCGTTCGTGTTTGTTGTATTTAAACTAAGGCCCTAGTCTCTAAGAGACATGTAGTTTGTTAGGGGTTTGAAAAATGTACAAGCCTCGTGAATATCTGTTTTATCTCTCTCTTATATTTTATTTAGCAAACTTTTCCGTTCTTATAAAACAAACTGTGCATGCTTGTTTAGCGTTTACATCCTGCAAGTTGTATATCCAAAATTTTGCTCTCTTAGGAGTCCCAGTCCATCTTTCATTTATTCTTAAACTCTGTTAAACAGAATGGGATTCTCATCCTGACTATTTCTATATTTCGATACCCTAGGAATTCAGTATAGATCTCGATTTTACAAAGAAATTGTTCTACTATTAGCTATCCTAGCAGAAATGTAGAAACTAAGAGCCACGAAGGTCATCATGTCCCAAAAATTTTTGTGTCATGAGAAGTGAGTGTCCATTTCATACTAAATTTTTACAGTAGCAATGTCATTTTTGTCTTTAGTTCTTGGTGACTGGCGACTATGAAGGTTCCTACATCCCTGCGCTATGTAAATATGAACTGAAACCAATATGGCTGTCCACTGCACTGCAATAGTTAAATTTCTTATGAAACCATGCTGCCTTGATTACGACCGCTAAGTAACGTTTTCACTCTACCAAGGCCAGATTAGGTGGGTGCTATTGGTTCTGAAGCATAAAACCCATACTTAACAGAGGCCCAGATGAAAGCAGGCGAGAATTTTCTGAAGCTAAATAGGTCCAAAAGCAGGCCCTTTTTATGCTGCATCATCAGACCAAATTTGGGTTTTATTCTGTACTGCACTCTGTTAAAGGCAACTCCATGTTTTTAGCTTAAGTTATCATTAAGCATTGAATGATTTTGCTTACACTTTGTATTAATGCATTTAATGATTCTGCTCAAATCATTTGTCCAACGTTGTCTAGGCAGAATCCCTTAGCACTGCATTTGATGCACTAACAGAAAAGGCCTCCTTGACATTCCACACGTTCTATATACTTTAAGCGAACCTCATAGAAAGTACCTTCAGAATTAGCATAATCTAGAAACTGCAAGAGGTTCACAAAGCAACCATGGATTCTCGTTTTAAAGTGAATTGATGAAAATTTGAGGAAACTATGGTCATAAAAAGAATGATTTAACTTTTATGCGGAGCCTTGAAAATGTACAAGGACAGATATTCTGTCATAGTACAAAGAGTGCATTTTCAAAATGTGAATCTAGTTTGTTAAATTTGCATTCAAAGCTTTCTTTCAGCTAGTGAATGATTGTAAAGCAAATATGCAGAAGATTTAACTTAACTACATTTGAAATATGTAAAAGAAATATCGACATTGACTTTAATCGCCCAGGTTTGACGTCTAGGCTCGTTTGTTTATATATCATCATTATGAGCACAACAGTCAGAACGTGAAAACCAAAAAGGAGATTTTTACACACAGTATACGAGCAATGGTGTTGTGGAGGTGTAACTCGGTATAACGTCTTTCCGCTTCCTAAACTGTTTTTAGCTGCAGCGTTATACTACCTACCCAAGCAAACAGTGGCGTTATGTTTCTTAAATATCAGTATCATTATCAATATCAGTATATTGATTAGACAACATAGCATATAAATTTGTTAGGCTTTCAATATTTGTGTCAAACAAGGATTGAGTAAGTATTAAAGAGATTTAAGTCACACGATGATATCGCAATTGCACTTCGGACATTTGTCATGTAAATTGGGCATTTTTAGTTCGAAGATATGTTTTGTTCGTGATTGTACGCAGAACGGCGGGAAAGAAATTGTTCATTGGTCAAAAAAGAGAAAGATAATAAAAGAAGTAAATGAATATGGTTACCTAGGTCATCTACTATTAGCCGGAAACGAAATGATAAGAAAATTGACAGAAAAATGGTTGCAGGATGGGAACGATTTGGGAAATATGTCAATTCATGAAAAAAAAATCAATGTTTTACATTTGAAGAAGAGAGTAATGGGTAGAGTCATACTGCTAGCAATAATAACATATGGTGTTAAAACATGGACACTGGCATAAATTGGCAGTGGCACAGAGAAGCATGGGAAGAGCAATGCTTAACAACATGCCTCACAAATTGACAAATAAAAGTTTAGGATCATATACCAATGGTTTTGACGTTGGCTCACTCAGGAAAATATGTGTGGCAAATAGGCAAGCCATGTAGCCAAATAGACACAAAAAAGTGGACAGACAAATTTCAATAAAAAGGATGCGAAAGACTTAAAGAGAGACGAAAAGATGATCTGCAGAACAGAGCATACATCGCTAGAATGAGATGCATGAAGTCTAACGCAAACATTCAAATGTTCAATGCAGAGATGTCTTAAAAAGCACAAAATTTTATACTGTTATGAAAAGAACTTCTGACACGCTGTTTTTGTTTTTCAACTTTTGCTAAGAATTTACGATTACACCATTGTATACAAGCTATCTATAGTTCGGGCAAGTTTTAGGGTCAGAGCATTAGAGCAGAAGCAAGAATCGACAAAAATCTAAGAGGGTCGACAAGAAACGCCGCCCTTTGAAATGTCCGAGAGTCTCGTACTCTTTCCTTAGTGAATTCTCTATTAGGTTTACCTACATTGTTGTGAAAAAATCCATTTCCGCTACTCCGAAGTAATCTGTACTTATGCGGCTGGGAGAAGTTATAGCTCCAGTGCTAGCTAATCGGCTGTGAAAGTACACGTATATTTTTATGCAAAACCAAGGTCCAGTGTTGGTGGGCAGTTTCTTAGATTTTCATGCCAATTTGTCACCATAAGTTTTTACGTGTTTCTTTAATCTTTGAGATCAATATCCAGTGATGACGCTCCTCCGAGAAATTGAAGTCAAAAGGTTATTAAAAGGAAACCATTTAGGTTTAACCGAGAATAAATGTAATCTGTATTTAAACTGTTTAAAGTCACTTGGAAATTTATAACTGTTAATCTTTAAAGTTTCTTTGCTTTTTAAATTAAGCTAGGGTTGTTTCTAAACATTCAAAAGTTTGCGTCTACCGTTTATCATAAGCTGCTTCTTATAAAAAATACGTGTAAACTTTTGCTACCACCCTACTTTTCAACCATAGGAGTTAATAGTGAGCTTTACTAAGGAGGCCTGGAGACGAGCTTTAGAGGAACTTGAATGTAAGGCCCTTTTTTATTGTGATCAAGGCCGCTTCAGGGATCCAATGACCATAGAATTCAGCTGGTCGATAAATTGTTTATCATGTGAATATTTCTACTCGTGACTAAATGTAATGTCCTTTATGAGACATCTTTCTGCTGCAGCAGTAAGGACATCTTTCAAGAAAAATTTAATTGAAAGATGAAGAAAAATGCTACATATATTGACAACATTTTAAGACCATTGATGATTATGTACTACATCATTCAGGCTTATAAAACATAGAAAGGGTCGTCTGCGCATGAAAAGGTCAGGGGGCAAGCTTGTAAATAGAGCACCAAAAATTTTTCCAGCGACCCTGCTTTCTATTAAGGGTACATGTTCTCCCCAATGGCTGAAGGGGGTTGTCACCTCTGTTGCTACCGTGCTGCAGACGCCCTTGCTCACCGACAGCTTAAAACTCGAGAGGGGAATTTCTGACCCATGGAAGAAGCATGAAGAAATTGGAAAAAATGGGGGACCGCAGCTAAATTCCCATAGCCAAAACTTCTAACAGCCGATGATTTTATTGGCTACTTTTTTAAAAGTAGAGCGGGTTCGAATGCCGGAAGACCTTTCTGGTAGTTGTGTTTGCGACATCAAAGTTTTATAAATAAAGGATTAGAGACAAGTTTGTCATCTCATATTTGTAGAGTTGCTTCGTTTGCCATTCACCGGTGAGCATGCTTCTATGCCTGTATTTTTGTTGTGTACTTACCAGTTAATAAGGCAGACAATAACAATTCTTAGCAACAGGCAAGATAAACTTATACAATTAATGAACTGATTTTAAATGATTCCTTATTTGATGTTTTAACAGACAAGAGCAATGTACAGTAGTAACTTGAATAAACGTCCGCCCCTGTTAATGTTTATATATAATTTGACAACACAAAATAGAATTTTGTGAATGTTAAATTTTATTTTATTCTTGAAAGATAATTCGCTGAAATAGTAACTGGCTACAATTTTTTTACAGATTGAAATATTGAATTTCAATTTTTCGACAACCATCTTGATTCTTGCCATAGCATGATATGATTTACAATGCCATACTTGAAATCAGCTCTTCCACTAGACCTTAAAAGAGCTCTCATTTCAAAACTCGAAGATGTTTCGATAAAGGTCGAGCAAAATTGAGAGGTAACCTGGAGTAACAGCCTCAAGGCCATGCAGCCAAAATTTGAACACTATCCAACCAACCATAAGGGAAGTAGCTGAGGAAAACTCAATTACAAGATACTAAACGGGTTTTCTTTCCTGAATTAAGAAGCTGCTAGAAGTAGTTAATTGCATTTCATTGAAAAGTTTAAACTTAATGAATCTTGTTTTGCCTTAAGAATTGATGCAGTGGTATCTCAAAATGGAAATCCCCTTCCCATAATTTTGCTGCCTGTATTTTCCTTAATCAGAAGAAAACAACATCACGAAAAGACACGTTAGAATCATCAGGATCTTTTGTCAAGTTCAATTTCCAAGGTATTTCAATCCCTCGCAGCTCCAAATCACCGTAAGAGAGAGCCACAACATTGAGATAGCGATCTCTGAAAATCTTTGCCCTGCGAGATTCGATTAAAGAAAAAGCTGCCATTTGACCAAAAGCCGGATGTCTTAATAAACCATTTAAGCAGGAAATAACGTTTATGAGAATAATTGTCTCGAATAGAATTTGTACCCAATCCATTCCGAGCATGTTAAAATCTGAATTAGATTTAATCGTTCTTGTTCACTGCATTCAAACTCAGAACAAGAAAGGGCTTCAGAGGGGCAAACTTCATCAACTATTCTATCTGAACACTTCTTTGCAATAATTCTTGTACCAAAGCTTTCAGATAAGTTGATGTCTATTTCGAACGGCTTTACCGCAAGAATTTATTAGGCCACTGCTCCTGATTCAAAACTCATTAGGTGATAAAATTTGGTAACTGGGAGGGGAACTAAACATTGTTCGTGATTTGGAGACCCTTCAAAGAGAGAATCAGCATAGCGAAATAAATTGAACTCAAGAATTCACAAAAGCATTCGTCATCCAAAGATGAAACTTATGTACAACTTAATAAATACTTGACATTAAAATGTACCCGTATTTTGATATAAATATATAAATACTATTACAAATGTCTGATTAGATTTTGATCGCATTAATAAGCCCCCAAAATATTATCTATATCCATTTAGACAAACAGATTATATTTGAAAAGCTATTTACAAGTTTGTTAATTAAAGAACTACTCATATTAAAGCTCTTAATATTCAAGAAAGAGCAATGGCAGCGGAACGGGTACAAGACACCGTTTTCGGAGGTGATTCTCTGCCGGGTTTTCAAACTTTGTCTGTTCTTATCGTTTTATTTCGCACGCAGACACAGCTCTAGACTAAGTATGTTTCGTTTTGACCAAAAGTCATCTTATAACAGTCTGCAATGCTTGAAGGCCCACAAAGGATGGTCAAACATATTCAACATTTCGTCGAATATCTGACAAAAAGGGATTTTTTTAATTCGACCAAACTCAATCTTACACCAGTTTGTAATGTGCAAGAGCCACAAAGGATAGCCAAGCACATTAACCATTTCATCGAGCATTTTATTCTGTACACTGTTCATCGTTGGGTGTAATGTTGGGTGTTGGATGCGATTGGCTAGGCTTAAGCAAACTTATCCGTACTTATGATTAAGAGGGCCAACCAAAAAACTTCGCATTGAACTTCAAAATGGAAAAAACCTTGAATATGGTTTAGCGCTCACCAACACCATTTCTTCTTTTGCGCAGACTTTTATAAATATAAAATAATCAATATATGCAATTTATTTTTCTGAAATTTTACGTTTGGCAGGAAAACAGTAAGATATTTTATCCCGATCTTGATGTTGGAAGGCCTAAACAAATTCTCAACTAAATAAAATGCCTTGCCTTACCTTAACAAATAGATGATAAAGTGTACTTCCTTCTTAATTCATTTGTGATGTAAAGGCCACCAAGATGGTTTGGAGGGAGGGAAGTTGCCCCGGGACCTGAGTTTTGAAAAGGGAGTTATAACAGCAAGAGAGCCTTCTTGTCAAGCTTGCAGTACTCAGATATTGTAAGAAACTAAACTCGGAATTAGCACTCAATTTCTTAATTTTTTGTCGATGTCAGTGCTGAAAGTTTCTTAAAGGCCTTTTACACACCAAACGCAAAATAGTTAATTTGAAATGCAATAACGTAAATCAAGATAACATGAAGTAGAACGCAAGGACTTATTTTTTGCTTCGTTCTAACGGTGATCAGTATTTTTCTTTTCTTAAATTTTTGGTCACCTTTGGACATAGTTGTTTACAGACAGCCTCTTATAAAAATGACTGTAATTAAACATTTTTGAGCTTTACATTGTCTGAAAATAGGCCGCCGCAAAAACAAGTTTCTAATCTTACATCCCTCGCAGTGAAAATTATAGCATGAGGGACCTGATTAAATCTTAGACCGCCATCCCCATTAATCTAACTTTTTGATATATAAACTCTATCTGATATTATGTTTAAGATTCAACGACATACTTCAGAATGCCACTAAAGGTCGTCGACGTCTGCCCATCAATTTTTACGACAACTGTAGCTGCACTGGTTTCTGCGCTAAAAGTTACATTTCCAACCCAGAAACCTTTTTCTGATTTTTTCAAAGAAATCCATTCACCTTTACCACCACTGGCAGAAATATGCATTTCAATTACATCAGGAGCAGTTATCTCAAATGGAATTGATTCACCAGAAGGTAAAATCCCATTTCTCGGTTGATGCAGGAGATATCCTGGCTGCCATGAACTGAAAGTTTTTGGAAAAGGCATGCAGTTTTTATCAGCAATTTTGCAATTGATTTGATAGCTGGCAACAAGATCGTACGATTTAACGGAATCTTTTGTCAGTTTGCTTGCAAAAAGCTTGAAATTGTATTTTCCAACTTCAGGGAGCCTTGCAGAAAATGCTATTTCTGCATCTCTTGTTTGGGCAAATGAATAGTCTGTAAGGATCTTGATTTGCTCTTTACCAATAAATTCTAATTTGACACTGGTTTGCATTGGATTTACAGTTCCGATGACTACTTCAACATTTCCATCATTAGCTTCGATAATACCATTTTTATGTGAAACAGGTTTTAGTTGGTTGATGAAGAAATGCTTGGAGAATTTTGCCCATTGCTCAAACTCCTCTATAGCATAGATTGGTTTCATCAACTGCCATTCACTGTCCACAGGGAAATGATCCAATATGAAAAGTTCAGGATCTGTCATGAAATAATGCTCTGTGTAGTTCCAAGCAAATTTCTTATCGTTTCCCACATATCCAGCACCCCACGTAAAATCAAACAGCCACCATTGACCTTGTATCTTGATAGAGGTCCATGAGTGATTGGTTTTCTTCCCATCAAATTTTTGTCCAATTTCGTAATTGTACCCTTTAGCAAACCCATGTATTTCTTTAGACTGAGACCAGAGCAGCTGAAAACGTAATTATTAAAAAATGTAAAGGATGGTTGCAAATACTGATTTATGATACATTACATTGGAACTTGATTCACACATTTTGGACTGAACAGTGCTTTGTTAACTTAGTCATAAAGCAACATGGATTGTACAGACATTTCTTTCCTAGTGGTGTAGCATTGGGATTACTGGAGCCCATATTGAATGAAAAATAATTTAAAAACAGGACAAAGGGCCCTAAATGTAAAAGAGTAGACCCAGGGCCCTAGAGAGCTTTCTTTTCAGCAGCATACATGCATGCAGGGCCATAGTATTGGGGATGTGATATCCTGTTTAAAAAGAATTATGTTTGAAAAAAAATAGTTTTTTGCCAGTCACAGGCACGTCATGGTTGAATTTCTAAACTTGTCAGCAAATATATGATGACACGCTAACTTTTTCAGCAGATAAGACCCTAACATGTTTTAAGCTTAATAGCCAGAGAATGGGGTGCTTGTATGTTGACATTTTTGCAGATTTTGGATTCAATTTCATCTTAGCCAATTATTGATACAAAAGGGATAATCATAGAATGCTATAAAAGAAATATTTTAAAACAATGCAAAATATTTCACTTGAATCAATGGGTCTGTGATTAAGTCAAAACAATATGAAAACCCTGAATTTAGCAATAGTCATGATAGAGCACTTGTCAAGAAGAACAACAACATAAAGAGCAATAAAAAAGTGTAAGAAAACCACCTGCAAAGGGCAGAAACAAGAGATGAGTATCCAGAACAGACTGCCTTGCCTGTTTTCAATGCATTTGTTTCATCTGCTGCTTCAGACAAATCATTGTTGAAGAAGGCATCTGTATCGTATGAAATGTTAGATGTGACCCAAATCCAAATTGATCTGGCTTTGAACAAATCTGAATCATATTGTCCTGTGAGATATCTAGCAAGTTCTTCAAATGAGCTCATTGAATCTCTTGGTGCCTAAATGGTTTAATTGATACCATAATCAGTTGTGATTTCACCAACAGTTACTGTGATAGCAATGAAACAAAAAATGATGGAGGTCTAAAAACTTGCAATTTTGCAATGATTGAATGATGATTTTAAAAGCCCAACACAGAGTAATGAGTGGTTTCCATACATAAAGTGGTTTCCTAACCAAGAGTGTAAAACCCCTTTCTGGTATCAAAATAGTACATTTGAAAATGAAAAGAAACCTTTTTATTTGCACAGAGACAAATCCAAACAAATCCAAAGTCAAAAGTTTTAAAAATCCTCTTATTTTGGGGGATAACATCGCAAAGATAGAATATGTAAAGAAATGCAATGGTTGCATTGCCAAGAGTCATGTCACCAGCTTTAAATTTTTGGGAAACACAAAATATTATTAATCAAAACAGTTATAGGTTTCTGTTCAACCTTCATCATTTCATGCTAATGTTTGTTTTGTCAGCTATTAATCTATTTTAAATAAAGATGTCAGTTCAGAATTTTCCCTGTTAGCAGATATTTCTTTTCAACATCATAAAAATGCAGCAGCTTTCAAATATAGAACATTTTGGAAGTGGCCAGCCTGTCCCCTAATCTAGAGTGGCATCATCTGGAGTTCATGCCTTGATTAATTTCAATGTTTCTGATGGCATCCCACAAATAGCAGAAAAATAAAGGGAGTTTGGGTCTGACTTTACCCAAAAAGGGCACAAATATTGGCACTGATCTTGATTTGCAATGTTGTTTGTTGCAGTGATTGAGAAGTAAATTGAGGTTAGCATGGTTTTGAAAGTTTTTGAAAGGTGTGAGTGTAAGTTTTGCTTTATCAAAAGTGCACCTAGTCAGGGCAACACCCAAGGGTCAAAATGTTTTACCCTACTTTGATGGTTTATTGTGCATTTGGATTTTCTTATTCAAAATCAAGTAGCAAAAAAACAATAAAGTTTTTCCTTAAGCAAGAGGGAAACTAGCTTAATTTTCTGAAAAATATATTAAATGACTGCAGCTACAAACCTTTAGAGCGTAAGCATCAATATCCTTAAACACATCTAGGGTTGAGAATAACTGAGATTTTAAATTTCTCTTTGTGATATTATTGGAGGGCGCATTGCTCAGTCCATCTTCTTCCTTGGTTCTGCTGCTCAAAAGTCCACTTTCAGCCTCTGTTATAGCAATAACTGACAAGTCATTATCATTCTCGGTGTCGACAGCACAAGAACGATCTGCTATTTCAGGAGAAGTTTGCCGTTCTTTCTCCTCTTCAACACTGTTTTCATTGTTGTTTTCCTTATCAACGTTATCATTGGAAGCAGGTTGACTTTGAATTTTATGCGCAAAGCGTATTTCCTCTGAAACCGGGCTTGATTTTGGGACACTGTTCACCTCGCTTACAATCGGCTTTTCGTTAGGCCTGTCGAAACTCACTGTTGCTGTTCCACCAGCATTGTTGTTTGGATCAACTGCTCCAGAATCCCGTTTTTCTTTTACAGGATCTTTTCGTGTAGCATTGTTAGCAGTTACTGTTACAGTTTGAACCTTTGATGACGTGCAGCCCATGCTTGCATTTGTTTTCAAACGACTACTTGGCCATTTCCCATTTACACATATTTGTTACTATGGCAACTGTAGCAAGCAAATCGAGGCGAAATAAATATGGTAGTAATTACATGGTGCCAATTTTTGCGACTGTGCCGGGTCAAGTTGATGAAAGCGAAAAGGTTTATATAATTATATAATTTATATGTCACTTTCGAGAAGGTTTTCTTGACAATTTTTAGAGGTGCCCAAACAAATTTCATTTCTTAATAGCAAATAATTTTAAAAGAAAATATCAAATGATCAAACTATTGACCTTCAAATAAAGTGTAGAGGTACTGAATCGACGAACACGTTACAATTTCATCAAATTATTGAATTTACTCAACCTACCTTTAAAACTGCGTTTAGACTAGAGAAGCCATTGCAATAGATGGCGTCGATTGATTTTTGTTATGAGATATCATTTTCATCTTCTGCAGCTGGAAGATTTTTATTTTGTAGGATTTTTCTACATAACTGTGTTGTTTGCTTGCATTTCAAAATTTAGTTTCCTTTTACACGACGAAAAAATGTCAGGTGAAGATTAAAACCTGTCATTTGCAGTTTTTCAAACACTTTCTGTCTTTCTGTGTCATAAGCTTCTACGGTGTGCCAACCTTTGACAAATTTCTTACTGTTCTTGTAAGGAAAAGCTTTTTACACACAGCAAAAGCTGCACTCTTTGAGCTTGCAAAAATATTACGATAACGTTTCCCAATTACTTTTTTGCAGAAAGAAAGCTTCTAAGTGCTTCTCATAACTTTGCTCTTAATCTTTTAAAGCTTCAAAGTTTACGTTTCAAGGCCTAAAGAATTTTTACAACTTGACTTTTCGCTTTTTTGGCAGATATAAAGGCAGTAAAACTTAAACAATATCTTGCAAAATTTCATGAAAATATCTGCCGTACTTATTTGATGACAAAGGATATTTCAAAAGTACTATTTCAAATTTGTTGCATGAAATGTCTTAAAAATTTCAAAGTTGCCCCAATAGTTTTGTAAGATAGGTGTTGTCTTTTACCAAATGTGCCATCGTGTCAAGTTATGCTGGCAATTCCAAAAGTGCAAGAGTGAAAATAAACGTCAAATCGAGTAGATCTGTATAATAATTTGAATTTCAAGTTTTTTGTCAATATTTCGTTTGATGATCTCCATATTTCAGAACAGGTGCCAGTTGCGTTGGAAATGATTAGCATTTGAGGGCAGGCTAACAAGGATGAGATCGTGTAAGATACACATCAATATTGAAATTTTAAGGTTTTAAATTTTTGCTGAAAGAATCTAGGCTGTAAATTCATCATCACAGCAAAGATGGAAGTGGTTTGCTTTAAATCTCAATAGAGTTTTCTTCTTCTACTTCATTGTCATCTTTCATGAATACACTTTGCAATCTTTTACAGAATCTTTTTGAAAATGTCGATCAAAGTTGCGCTGAAATTCTTCCTCGAAACACCGAACTAATCATTTAATGTATATCATCCCAAGCCTGTTCACCTCATAATTTTGCTCTGCAATAGGCCCCTTTATTATTCGAATAAATTTAGACTTTGGTTCTTAAAAACTTAATTGTGCTGTAAAGGAGACCAATATTCAAGTACTTTTCTTAAAATTCTATGATCTAATGGGTTACTTTGTTGGGGAGACGAGCGAGCGAAAATTTTCAAATGAGTGAGGCAGCCCTCCGTCCTGGATTCAGAGAGCATGCGTAATAATAACTTCGTTCTGTGCGCATGCTCTTTGACTCCATGACGGAGGGTTGCCTCACTTTTTAAAAAACTTTCTCTTGCTCGTCTCCCCAACAAACTAGCCTGCGTCACAGACCAAAAACGTCACGGAAGTTTTTGGTCTGTGACGCAGGCTAATGGGTTACGGGGTTGGCCAACTTTAGTCATCGGGTTTCAGGTTTATATCTGCAAAAAGCGCGAAATTTCGTGTTTTGTTCTAGAATTTCCCACTTTTAGACAGGTTATTATCCAAACTTTCTTCCGGATTTGCGGGATCTGGTGGCCCAACCCTCCTCCAGGTAACTGCAGGTAAAAATAGTTTCGTATCTAGTGCATCAAGGTTTTTTTGCATGGCCACTTCAAATACCTACACTACAGATATTTACAACACTACCGTATAAAAAGTAATGCGCCACCTCGAAAGAGGGAAAATGGCGCATGAATTATTGAAAGCTGTGTAAAATATTTGTATATTTGGTGTCGAATAGGAATGGGTCGGAAGTAAAATGACTTCCAATCAGAACTTCAATCTATGAAAAAAAATTGTTTGAAAATTTACAAAAACCAAAGTCATTAAACAGTTCTAAATTTCAATATTTTGTTGGGTAGTGACCGCGAACTTTCGTGTCAACCCCGTAAAAACTTTTTCAATTTAGGATTCTCTGGTGAAAATACGTAAACAAATTTAAATAGATAAAGTGATAAAATAATTAGATAGAATCTTTGGTTTCTCGCTTTTTGTGCAAAGTCATCAAGCTTTGCATACTGAAAGATTTTCTGAATTGTGTATCTCAGGTGCTGTAGTAGAAACAGTTGAAGTGACATGCTAAAATTCATTAAATCCCCTGAACATTTTATTGCTACCCTTTACAAATGCAACTTTTTTCAGAAATAAAGCTCAGGAAAAGTCCGTCGTTTCTTAATTTTTTGCTAATGTTTGTGCATTACCTTTATCAAAGGTGTCTTGAGTATGTAAGATAACATAGCGTAACACTGAATGAAATATAACACCTAATCAGTTGCAAAGGGTCAAATAAACAAGATATTGGTGTCTAATCTTCGAAAAAGTCATTTCCATCTCATCTCTAAAAGATTTTTGTGCAGTTTCTTAAGGTTTAGGGTAATCAGTACTTGAGATTAAGATTCGGTTTACTTATACAAGCTTACTTATAAAGATGATACGTGGACATTATTAAAAGTAAACAAATAGCGCGAGCACTCTCAACACAAATAAAAGAAAAATATAATAAGGAACTTATTCTGGTAAAAGGAAGACCATACTATCGTAATTCTTAAACGAAGTAACACCAGTCCTTTCCCTTGCAAAACAAGTTCTGTTTAAGTGATTGGTCTGTTTTCTAACATCTTAAACCTGTAATTGACTGATCCTTATTTCAAGAAAGCACAAGTTCTCTTAAAAAGCTTTGTAAAGCAAGAATTGTTGCCGAGATCATGAAAAAACATACCGGACATCATTTGTAAGGTCTGTCTTGGTCAGGGTGCGAGGATGGCTCAGTTGTTAGAGGCGCTGACTACAGACCCAAGGGTCTGTGGTTCGAGTCCCTGGCATGACCAAACTTTCACCCAGAGTGGGGAGAGTCGCCAGCTCTCTGTAATTCCAGGCGTAGGAATCGCGAGGTGTGGTCACATCGAGAGGAAAGACCAGGATACTGCTCGATAAGCATAGCTTCTCAGTGTCCTAAAAACTACCTTCGGATGCTAGGTAGCAACAAATACAAACAAATACAAAAAGGTTTCAGGGAAAGAAGTGAGCAAAACTGTTGTTGAGGTAATACGTGGCCTCTTGACATTGTTGTTCTTGAATCATTTATATGCAAAAAGACAGTTATCCTTGAAAAGTTTTACCTTTATTAGAACACGTTAGTAACGTTTCCGTAGGAGCTTAGTGGTTCCAACGTATTAATCACAGTTGTACTATGATAATGTTCCACTTTTGCTCTTATACAGTTATTTTGATCAGCAGCACAATAATAACTGAGACTGTTCTTGCACTCTTTTGTGCTCAAGTATATGACAATTCAGTTCGTTTCCGACGAATAAGGTGTTTTTCTCTACGAAACCGTAGATTTTTTTATTCGACCCACAGATTCAATTGTTTCATTCAAACAAGATTACAAACCTCTACCTTTCAAATCACTACCCATTTCTGGTAGACTATATACTTTGCAAAGGGTAGACTATATACTTTGCAAAAGCGGAGACAATTTCTCACAAAACCCCTGTTGGTGCCCCTACTCATCAGGATTTTATTTCGTCTACAGTGTTTTATTTGGCTACGTTGTTGTTAATCCGAATTGTTTGTATATAAGGTAATTCAAAGTTTACCTTAAAGTATTTGTTTGGTAAATCGTAGATGTTTTCCCCTGTATTATGCCAAAGCTCTGTCATATTTGACCGAGAAGCATAGCCTGGCCACTACCATAATTGCAAAGGAAAACGATACCTTGAGCATATCTATCTGCAGTGGAAGATCTTCACGCTTGTTGATGGAGAGCCTGTCTAACTTATGTGGTTTTGAATAATAATAGCCTACCCTAACAAGGCTCGTATCTCATGACAACTATAGTAGATTGCAATGCACATGATTTCAATATCTTTAAAAAAATTTCAATAAACAAGAACTGTCCTTTGGCCATGTATATATGGTACTACCTTTGGTTGACAGAATAATAAACTTTAACGTTAATAATAACAAACGAAGTTCGGAAATGACCGATTTGGGGAATGTGCTAAAATGTGCCGGGAATTTTTAGCCTGTGTTCCAGACCCCTAACTTTCTGGGGTCGGTGGGTCGAGGTCCCTAGGAAACATTTTAGGGTCTCTAGAGCTCTAGATCTTCAAGAAGTCGAAAAGATCAGAAATTTTGAAAGCTGAAGTAAATAAATTTCTAAGACTTTATACATACAAACATTTACTGCCGCTAACAGCGCATTATCTCATTTAAATCTTGCCTTAAATAATATATTGATGTTTTAGCAAAGCGTTAAGTTCCAGGTTTAGCAAAGCGTTGAGGTTTTTTTTCGGTAAAACACTCAAGTTTTTTGTTTGAAATGCAACAGCATCTTTCAAATGACATGTTTTACTTTCATTTCAATCGGAGCATTCCAAATGCAATGTGAGTCATGACCTCAAAGCAAGAAAAGTGTAAAGAATTACAAAGGCATCTATCAATAATTAATAACAAAATTTCTTGGATTTATCTTACTTATATCATTTCTTTTGACTACCGGAAGATATTCTTCCTGTGTCTCGAAAGTTTTTTCGTTGCTTTAGCAATTGACAAGATGTTAGCTCTTTCTACAAAGCATTTACTGAAACAATATGTAACTATTTTCTGAAATAACATCAGGCCTAAATCAGGCTTAAATCTATTAACGAAGCCTTGAGTTCCCCCAAAATGAAGATTGTGGTTATGCTTCTGCATTGTGTGGCAGAACTAGTAATTAGATAAAAATTTTCTTTCAAAATTCCTTGAAACAACTCTTTCGTTTGAATTCAAATAACTGAAGATCATTAACTTGAAAAAACATAGGCGAAGAGGCTCATCAGTGGAATTGGCTCATGACGTAACCGATCTAAAAATAAAAAGCAACAATAACAACTTCTGTGAAGGAGGACAGGTGGAAGGTCTTATCGGTAGGAAAAACTCTACTGAAGTTTCAAAGTTTGGGCACGCATTGCACGAAAAATAAGGTAAAAATATATCCTACTTGCATCTGTTATCTTAATATGTTCTGTTTATCCTGCAAGTTACCAATCGTATCTTTCCTTTGCGAAAGCACCAGTGTGGAGTGCTCTTTGTAGGGCCTTCACCGATGTGGAAGCTCTTGTATGGCCTTTTTGCGAACTGTGGAGCTTAGCTTTAATTTCATTTGTAGTAGAATTTATTTATTTGTCGTATTTGCTGAATTTATTTGAAGAGATTCGTCTGCCAAATATACAAAGGCTCGTTGGTTCTGCGATTCAGTTAAATTCTCTCTAGGCCTAGCCTTAGAAGAAATTTACCTGGAGTGGAGGGTTTCGTCTGCAGCTGTGTTTGTGAAACTGTCTGTTGGAATATTGTACTAAGACAAGAAAACAGAAGCAAATGCTTTGCAACTGAGTCTTAAAGCAATGGAACCCTCCTGCATAGATTTCTCAGAAATGTTAATTGTAACACCTGTTGCTATAAACAATAATAAAATATAGTCTCAAGTACAAGATGGCGTCATTTGTTTTTGATCGTAGACTAACTTTCTTTTTTTATTGCCATCTGAGAGATTTTGAAGAACTACTGCAAACAGTTCACTTCTTTAAGAAGTTTGGATGTTTTAAGTGAGATATAGAATTTAAAGTGTACAATGTAGAGAAATTCTTGGCTTGCAGATTTTGCAGAAAAATTGTAACTTGATGGAACCTCTGCTATAATCGATTTGCTAAAAGTTTTTTGAGAAAAATCAGAATCGTTTAGGATCTATGACCAATTAAATTTTTTACCATTTTTCTATTGATTTGCCACCACCCCCGGAAGATCTGTAAATTATGCCTTAATAAAATTATTGACTATAATAGTTTCACATCATCCATAGAACTGAAAATCAGTACCTTGGTATTTTCAAGTATGTAGAATTCAAAAATGATACTCAAACAACCCTTCATGACACACACACAAAGTTGCTGCCAAGTTAAAAAGCATCACTTTTTCACCTTCCACTAGACCTCAATTGAAACAACTTTATTTTAGCATTTGGTAAAAAAACTTAGTATTAAATCCAGAAATAGGCAAGGTCACAGAAACATCTTATTCCAAGATGTTGTTATTCAAGTTTGATATATTTTGTAACTAGGTACAGTTGGTTCCAGTGGCGGATCTAGACAAAAATTTGAGTGGGTTCCAATATTTTTCTGGCAACGCCCTTTACTTTTTCCAAAATTGGGTGACGCCTATTTTCGCTTTTTGATAAGATTCACAATTGCAAGATTTGATTTTAACAAGATATATTATTTCATCATGATTCCAAGGCAAGTAAAAAAATAAATCTGTAAACCAAACCAGGAATTGTAATTATGAATTCTAAAAGAATGGTTTCGATTTCTTGCCAAACAGAGGACCTTAATAAATTCCTCTGGCTGGTTACAGCAGGACATAATCTTACTGAGTGTTGCAAGATTTGAGTGAAATTCCTGCTATAAATATTGCCAAATAATAAACAAGACAAATTTATATATATTCACCAAGTTTGTCAAAAATGGATAACGATGGACGAAGCCTCTTATCATATATAGCAAACAAACCCAATTATTAAAAAGTGCAAATTGTGAAATCATCTTATCCCATGAGAAAAAAGCGGTGATCTGTTTTCTCCAGGTTGGCTAGGCCAGTCGAGAAAAATGAGCAAATAGTTGGCGAGGCGTGTTTGAAAAGCTTTCTTGAAAAATCATAGCACTCTTCCATACGTTTATCAAATTTTATTGATCTTCAGGTGCTGGTCCCTTCCTGTTTGAGGGCTTAAAACAAGCTCTCGTCATCGTGCAATCACTCGCAGCTTTACGTTGCCATTATGACAACAGGAAGCCTGTATGGTCAGCAGTTTAAATATTAAGTTCCAATGAGTTCGTGAGATGGGTTCCAAAAGGGTTCCTTTGTTTGTAGCAAAAACAATATAAGACAATTGATTGCCATGGCTACGACAGGGTTCCTTTCTTAAAAAATACAATATGGTACAAAGAGTTGCCTTGGCTACGACAGGGTTCCTTTCTTTAGAGGAATATAATATGTTACAAAAGATAACCATGGCTACGACAGGGTTCCTTTCTTTCACAATACCATATTTAGAGAGCAGCAAAGGTTTTGGTACAAGAGGCCATTTGACATTGGGACTGGTTGCGATTAATTCGAAAGTAAAGGGAAAACTGATGTTATGTGTCTTTGGAAAATTTGACAGGGTTCCAGAACCCTTGGAACCTGGTCTGAATCCGCCACTGGTTGGTTCAGTAGCATGTCTAATTTTAGGATTATTGTTACTCATTGTCAACAAATTGCACAAATTCTGAAACAATTAGGTTTTTTAAGAAGTAAAAATGAATAAATAGAAGCCAGAATTAGCTATAGTTGACTGATGATCATTTTAAGTTTGGCACTCTTTATTGCAACAAAGAACCATCCTTCCGTAAACACTAAGATGTGTACAGCTTTGCCTATAGAGCATCAAGCATGATTTCAACGACTAGGCATCAATGATGTATTCATCTAAATTAGATGCTTAAAAGTAATGTATGCTATCATTTGGTATAATGAAAAACTACCAATGATACCGCAAAATCAAGAGAGCTAGAATAACAATTCCATTGTTCAAACACAAATTGTTAACTTAAACTTTAGATCATTTCTTCATTTCATGACATAATTTGGAAAGTGCAGAATTAGTGAATTAGTGAAAAGAATAGTCAGTCAAAGTGTGGCATTGCACATGCAAGACATATAGAGAATTATAGGTAGGTGTGGAAGGGTGCATGGGTGCAATCACATGTCCAATTTTACCAAGACTGTTAGTTTTACAGTCATTTCATAAAAATGATCATTGAGTTGTTTAAAGGGTTCTTATGAGCAATGATGTAAAAGAAAAGTTGACAAGCAAAATGAAATGATTTTTTACTTCTTTGCAAGTGATCAAATAGATTTTTTTCTCCTTCTTTATCACGATGGAGATTTTCACCACTTCAAATTGCCATAGAAGACAGATACGGGTAACAATTCCATTTAATCTCCAGTCACAGGAACGTGATTGCAATTAGGATCCACAGCCAACTTTTAACCTGATCCCAACCATTTTTTTGTTGTGAATAATGTTTTGGCAAAAGTAATTTTTTTACAAAAATTAACTTTTGTCTGTTGAGGATATCTGAATGTAGGATATGATATTCGATTATATAGAGTACCGAATCACATCATCTAAAGTATATTTTTTAATTTTCTGATTTTTAGAATTTTCTGATTACCACGTAATCTGAAAGAAGGGCACAAAATACCTCTCACTGTGTAAAATCAGGTAGATATTTTCAAAATTGGGCGAGATATGGCCAATGAAAGGTTCCAAGTTTGCTAAAGCCCAATCTCCAGTGAGAAGAAGTCTTGCGAAATTTCGCTGCGAAGTATTTCACGAAATCCCAGTATTTCACGAATTCGAAGAAATTCCAGCTTAAGTTCACTGCGCATGCCCATAACGTATTTCGCGCGAACTTTTTTGCATTTCGCCGATATTTTTCTCACTGGAGATTGGGCTTAACAGATTACTGTTATTCTGGCCTGGTTCATAAAGTTATGAACCAAGACCAAATTACAGAGGTTTGATTGGGCAAGAGCCTGTGCTCATATGACAATGTCTCAGCCAATTTGTAACAGATTCAACTGATTTTGTACATTTATAGTTATTTCATTAAGCTCTCTTTGAAAATTCATATGGTCAAAGTTGGAAAATTCTAAAAGTAGTTTTTTATGATGTCATCACTTCGGTATTATGTTATATATCCAAATGTATCATTGAGTTTTTCGATACAGACATGCAAATAAAATTGATGATAATGATGTCGTCGGAACTTTACATGACAAAAGTACTCTCCAATAGGTCGTGTATCATTAATTTTTGAACCACGTTGCCTTCTAGTTCAATGGAGCCGTTTCAAGATCAAAACACCATCCTGCCGGTTCTTTGCAAGCTCCGTGCCGCATTTGCCATAGCTGGCCCATTATCTATTGCTGGGAAGTCCCAGAACAGCATTAAAGTTTACATGAGAGTCGTAAAGGATATCCTATCGGAAGACAAACGCGAATACTTTAGCAAGAAAAAAATCAAATTGCTCGAAGATAAAGTAGCACAAACATTGGATTCTGGGGACATAGATGAAAATGCGCGCATGATACGCGAGGGACTCGAAGGAATCTACGACGATGTGATCGATCAGCATTGTGGGCTTGATGGCGTTAATTTCCATCCGTCCGACGAAATGATTTCACGCGCAATAGAGCTTTGCAGGCCGCTTGTTAAGTGTGGGCGCTATAGCGATTCTGCTCGAATATACAAGAAAGTTGTCAAGGAACTGTTGAACGACACAACGCTGACTGACCATTCATTAAGTCAACTTCAAGAATCCATTGACTTCAGTGACGGCTGCAATGACCCGAGTGAAGTCAATTCAAAATTTCGCAAAGCAGTTGACTACGTTTATGACGAAATACGGCTACCTGAGATTTATGCCGATTTGCCTACGTTGAAAGACTATGGTAACAATGGAACAGGCCCACGAGTCATGTTATTTGGTAAGGCAAATTTCGGTACTGGGCTTGGCTTTAATCACATGTCATTAACAGATGCTATTATTGGTGGAAAGAGCACCATGGAATTGGTTGACTCAAGTAATGAATCCGAGCTCGGATTATTGCAAGGTTCTGTTAAAGATGAGGATGACAAAGGGTTTGCGAGTGTTCGCTTAATACCGAGTGATGATTATACCTTCAAAGAAAGAATAAGAAATGCCAGAGGGATTCTTATTTCTTTGAGAAGCATGTGCAAAGTAGCCTTACGTCCAAAATTGCAGCTTCAATCCGAAAAGAATACCCGGGCTTTTAATTGGCAGTGCGGTTTTCTATTGCCAGCTGAGGAGGAAACCGAGGTTTTCCTTCCACTACGTCACTTCTGGCCATCCATTTTCGGGCATGCTTTGCCAAATAATGGCAATGTTCAATTGGATAAAGTAGATAGTATTGGATTCTTGATTAGCAAGGTTGAGGAAAATGGATCCTGTAATCCCAATTTCTCTGGGTGCGATTTTTCTGTGGCAGTTAACTGGATTGCCGCTGTTAAGGACCAAAATGATGTGTAGCCAGTGTTAGAATCACTTTTCCAAATAAATTATGTTTTATTCTTGGTTTTTAACTCGTATGGACTTTTATACCCCGGGACTTTCTCATTTTAAGTAGATTCAGCATGAAACTGGAATTACAAAATAAGCCTTTTGATACTGCAAAGTTTTACTTCAATTTCAATTCGCATCTAAATATAAATTTCTGTTTACCATAAGGAGTGTCAGACGAAAAGTACTTTAGTATTCAATTTCTGTGCCAGCTTTAGAAACAAAAATTGAACTTTGGTCCGGCGAATCTTTCTCTCTATCGTTCAAGACAAAAAGCTCAAATGGAAGATAAAGAGTGGACTTTCGTCCATCCCACAGATTCAAGTTATTATACCCCAGTTTTAACTAGCTAAAAAAGAAATGCAATAGCTTAAAACCTGGTAATCTTGCTCCTAATGGACTTAAAATGTTGCTATACATATTAAATGATGCTATCTGGTCTTTTTGCTTCCTTCCCCTTTAACATATCTTATACCTCGTTTTGCGTTCTTGGTCGCAGTCTTGTTGCGTTCTACACATCTTTCGATAAAGTCGATGCTACGTTTTAACTGTTGCTCTTTTTAGTTTTATGTTAACTGATGAGACTCGGGGGTGGGTTTGGACTATAGCCACGTTTGGTGCCTCACTGTAGAAAGTCTCGAGGAAAATTTATTAAAAGTTCTCAAATATTCATGTACAGGTCAAGAAACTCCCTGGACAAAGACATCCCAAGAAGGGACTAAGAGTTTAGGTAAAAACGTTATGTACATTGGTGCCGTGACCTGGAATGAAATGCATTTCCAGATAGGAAAATCCACAACTACATATATGTTTAAAAAGAGACCGAAACATTTTATCCAAACACAGCAAACTCTAAAATTCGATTCCTATCGAGAATAACAAAGTTATGATGCAAACAATTTTCGTTTTTTTGTAGCGCTTGCAGCCACAAAATTAATATTTTATTTCTTCTGAAACTAATACGGATAGATGAATATAACATGGTATGATATTACCGCTAAGATTTCTTTTGAATTCACCCAATCTGGTTATTGTGTCCCTGAGCCGATTACCACGAACTACTTAGTCAATAAAACTATTGCGTCAACAATAAAAAACAAATATTTTCTTCCATTTTTGTTTCAAACGTCTCAATTACAAATGTCTATTTAGAAAGTTGATTCAGTCAACGAATTGTTTTTGGTGTTTCCAATACTGATTTTTCGATCAAAACCACTAAGTTTGACAATCTGTTTTCAGATGCTAAAATAAAAATCTTTATTCGCTAACACTTCGAACGACAATGTATTTATATTTCAGATCCAGAAACCATACTTGAGTGACTATGTAAACAGCTATTGCTTTTTAATTACAAATCCTGCTTATATTCTGTATATTAAGACTCGTAAAACGAGACATTATGTTGATAAACTCTGTAAATAACGAACGTAACTAGATGCGTGGTTTCCCACAAAAAAGTAGAATTAGTAAGGCCATTTTCCACTTCAGCGAATTGTTCAGCGTGTTTCCATTCAGAGGGAAGCTGTGTTTTGCTTGGAAGTTAGAATCCTTTAAACTTTCACATTTCGCTAGCGAATTCGCCCATGCCCAGAAAGAACAAAAGACATTCCAATCGCTGACGAATTCCTTAAAGCTTTCGCTCAAGTGGAAACCGACCTTTAGAAGTATCTTGTTTGTTTTAAAGAGTAAGGGACTGTTATGCTATACGAAACAATTTGCAGATTTATCTTCACGTTTAATAATTGTTATGTACTTAATGATTTTTTCGAGCGGTAGTTTAAAGAATTGTTTGGTGATAATTATATAGAGTAATCGGAATGTTTTCGCGTCTGCGTTTTTGCAAATGTTGGAGCAAATATTTGGTAACTAGAATAACAACATAATAACTTTGTTGTAAATACCTATCTGTTTTAATTGGGATTTAATGTAGGGGGAAATATAGGGCCTAAAAAAGTGCACTGGGTAACTTTCTGTAAAAACTCTACAATCATTACTTTTTGATGATAACTTTATGAACAAACATCTTGATCAGTTTCGCCGAAACATCCATGGGCGAGGGACAGGCTTCAGGACAATGGCATTTCAAAAAAGATTTCCAGCTTCAAGAAATAACTGATTTTTTTTATTTGATCTGCTGTAGCACCTTGAAAATTGGCTAACTTCTGGCACAGAAAATTGTTTGCACATTTTAAAGTCGCACCTTCATAAAACAAATGAAAAATTCCCTAGAAAAGGTATTAAAATCAGAATGTAAAACAAATGCCCTTGCTAATGGAGATGACCAATTTTTTTAAAAAGGCAATTTGGCACCCTTGTTCTCTGTCAAAGGTGTAGAGATATTTCAGTGCTAAGCTAAAGCCCGTACAATGTTTAAATAAAAAAACCATAAATTGAGTTTTAAAATAATAGCAGCCTTCTTTGCAGTTTTAGAGTCGTTGCGCATGTTTAAGTTGTCGTTGGCCTTTGTCCTGATCTCAGGCGAAAAACCTCTACAGAACGATGTTTTTGTCTGACAGTATATTTACTATTTTTTACAGAAAAAGAAGGCTTGAAGCAGAACCTTGTAGTGCAAATTGGAAATGAGGATCTAGTATCTGTGGTTTCTTAGAAAAAGTACAAGAAGTCATTTGGAACTAAAAAACTGTTCTGATATTGCTTCACTTCATAGATTCAAAGTTGTATCTTGTGGTATTTATTCGTGGTTGTGGCGGGGGATTACGTTGGTTGAGGAAGAATGTAAAAAATAAGTAGAGCTGCCAAATTAAACTAAGACCTTGCAATACTCAAGCTGCCAAAACCATTTAAAGAGATGCACTCCAGAGTAATATAAGAAATTGAATAGAAATCCTTTTATGCCAACCAAGAATATAATTTACAATAATACAAGCAAATTAAAAACTTTTAAATACATACAGCCACAGTTGTTATGTTTATTTACTTTTGAAGTTCTCAGAAAATGGCTCAATCAGTAAAACCAAGAGCATCATAAAGTGGCTGGAGTTTCACGACTGAGATCCCTTCTCTAGGACCAATGCGCTCTGGCAGCTGAACACCAAAGGCCAACGTGGGCTTGAATTTTTGCGTCATTACTGAAATGAACAGTTTCGTGTTAGCAAAGAACTAGATATTAAACGTTTACAGCTCTATCTACAGGACATCGTGCACAGTTGTTCTCACAGAGCTAGAGATGGGTACATATGCTATTGATAAATCAAACTGGTTGAAATATTGTCATCGGCCATCGTTATGAAGTTGCTAAACCCTTTTGGCTAAATATTATGGGCTCTAAAAGTAATGAAACTATAACATTGACCGATTGCTCTAACAAGCCATTTTCCAGGCCAGTAAACAGTCATTTTAAGTCAACATGCAGACTCAACCACTCTCATAACAACATTGACTTGGGGTGGGATGGAGCCTCACGAGAAAAGCAGTGAAAGAGAGAGAAGAAATTAGATTGGAAACATGGGGAAAATTGCTTAAGGCGGACAAACCAATCGACTACGGGGTGCGTACCTGGGAAGTCTCTCCAGTTCAGGAACTCTATAAACTGCTTGTAATTCACTTCATCGGAGCCACTTTTATCAAGCCTGAAACAAAATAGCCATTTTGATCATAAAATGATAATGAAGATTTTTAAAAGATAGTTTTGTATACAATGGGAGGAAAAAAATACAACAAAGAATTGCTTCTTTAGCGAATACTTTGAAAACATACACATTCTATCGCGAATTGATCAATTCTATCGCCCGATTAACTCGAATCAGGAATGGTTCAATTTTATCGCCCGAATGTTTAGCGATAGAAAACACCTTTGGACACAAATACCAGTTTATCTAAAACAGAGGGGATTTCCGTAACGACTTAAAAATCAAGAATTTTGTACAATAAGGCTGTCTTACCAAACAGTAAGTGGCAAGTGACGACTATACGATAGCGATGGAAGCAAGTTCAGTCAAACACTGAGTGTTTGCGCTAGAGCTAATTTGCTATACCATAATTCCATAGAAGATCAAAAAATCATAAATTGCTCTGCACCCGAAAATCATCGAATCTTCACATTAGCAGGATGTGGGTAACTTATGTGGGTAATTGAGCCACATATAAATAAGTTTTCAAAAACTGACCCAGACAGTGGTATAAATTTTAAAGGGTTAGTCGTGCCGTCGTCGTTGATTTTTTCTCAAGAATTCCTTAATTTAATGCTTATAGTAATTGTTCGTAAAAAACATTCAGTAGAAACAAATGCTTAGAATTCAGCTGCAAAGCCCTTGATAAGTTGCTACTGTAGTACATGGAATTCGTTGCCAACTACTGTTATAAACAATCATGCTGCTACAACATAACGTCTTTTATCCTTTGTTATTAATCACTAATGACTAGGACAATGCTTTGTTTTGTAATTACAGATTAATCCCTTACACGTCTTTTATAAAAGTTTGTTTAGAAATACAATTGTGTGTCAGTTTTAACCTTGTAATCACTGAGTGTGCATCATAAAGTTCGTGAAGTTGAACTAGCATTTCTATATGTCTTCGAACCTACATATGGGGTAAAACATTACCCTGTAATAACCAAGAGTTACACTACTTCAAACAAAAGGAAATATTCAAATTTATCAGGCAACCCTCCATCATGGAGTCAGAACGCACGGGTAATAATGACTTTGTTCCAGGGGCATGCTTTTTGACTCTCAGACGGCGGGTTGCCTAACTCAATAAAATATTCTCTGTGGTTCTTTTCCCAAACAAACTGTTAAAATAACGGGAAGCTTTCGAAATGTTGTCTAAGGTCTTACCTTGCAAGCACGGCTTGGAGCAGATGATTTTTCACTGGCACGTTGAAAGATTTTGTGATGTTCCACAGATCCTGAATTGGGATATAGCCAGAGCTGTAAAGAGAGAGAATCATGAAATGCAAATGTTACTGCTGAAAGGTGAAAAGCAAAAAGAAAATTAGAGGAAGATAGAGATATATTAAAGAGCCTCTCCAGCAAAGATTTTGTTGACTCAAAAGTTACTGCTGCAGGTAATTTGGTAAAACTGTTTTCATCGCTAAATTTATATTATCGTTAAGTTGTAAGCTGCACATAGACGACCTGATTTGGTGACACTGCTACGTCACAATGCTTGGCTCCCTTTCACCGTTAATTGTTAATCTGCAACTGTACGGCTTAACTAGCATCTTGCAAATCGCCGACGCATGAATTGGTGGTTTCGCGCACTAAGGCAAGGACATTGAAAATACGTCAAGGCGCATGAACAAAGTCATTGAATGCACAAATGACCAATTTTCAAAGGTTACATAGCAAAGGATAGCCAGTAACTGTTGATAGAAAAAAACCTACCCATTCTCATCTTGGTAAATACAGGCGTCCATCATTGCTGAGAAACTCTCATAATTGACTTTTCGAAGCTCTTCTTGCAGAGTCGCCACGAGAACCTCGATGTCATCTTCTTCTTGCTGTAATTCAAACAGATCAAAAGTCAGTTTAAATTTTATTAAATGGTACAGCATTTAATTTTTTCATTTTTTCAGTCGATAATGTCAGAGAAAGGTCTAGAAGCCTAGAGCTTTGGCCTAACATAGGGAAAGAAGGAGAGATTAGGAAGAAAGGGAGGTTAGATCAACTTTGCTTAGTTTTGAATAAAGACTGGTTCTTATAAGAATCTGGGAAGGAAAAACGAAACTTGCGTGGTCATAGACAAAAATAGATAGTGGGTAATATATTAAATTTGATAAAACCTACCATTTTCTCACCGAATTCCCTAGCAACTGTGACAATTTCATGCTCAGTAAGAACACCCTCCGAAACTCCAAGAAGAAATTGTCTGTTTAATAGAAAGAGAAAAGGTCTTGATAAATAAATAGACAGAATATATAGGATTTTCTAGACTATTGGTAACTTCAAGTCAGTCAGCTAGAAACGCTTGAATTTAAGGGCAATCGACAGATATAAAAGTGGCTAATGGGCACTATGTCTCGTTAGTCAACTGTTCAGGGATTACAGTAGGCCTTGCAGTACCTTTATGATCGAAAAAAACGTTAGCAATACGTTACTTATTGGACACGTAACAATAGGTCTCTTATATGGCCCAACCAATGGAGAATTTAAGCGAACAGCGACATGCGTTGGGACGTAGTGCTTTTAAGTGCAACTGAGTGAAATCAATCTCACTGCTTTGTCAATTTTTGATTGAAAGATGGCTTAAGCCCTTTTCGTATCTGTCGATTGCCTTTAAAAATGTAAAGGTTGTAAATATCAAATAACGGAAGGTCAACATTCTTGCTAAATTCAACATTCAGCATTGGCAATATTGCTACCATTAATAACATAAACCTGCAGAATTATTCTGTTATCAACTTACCGGAAATCCTCAAAGGAAGTATGACCTCCATTTGCATCGAGAAAGCGTTTGAATTCGTCCTTAGCACTCGCCGTGAGTTGGGATAATTTCGGGAGTATCTGCTTGATGCTCGCTTGCGGAAACAATGCCGGATGAGCTTCCATGTATCTTATTGCGTACTCGTCGGCGTCGATCAAGATGAACGCATGCTTGCATAGTTCCACTTTGTTTCCAACGAAGAGGTCCTGCATATGAATTTATTTATCGTTCTATTACAGTGCAACACATTTGAGAACAAAAGAGATCTCAAGCAAAACTGACTTGGTTAAATCTATCCTGTGTAACATCAGTTGTGAACTAATTAAGTATCGTGTAATCGGTCCTTGTTTCTGAATATTTTACCAATTTCAAATTATCCATCACAAAGTATACCAGTTATTGTCAGGTGACTTCTAAAACACTGTTTAAAAATCAGGAAGATATTAGAGGCCTTTAGGTCTTTAATGCTATTGAGAAAAAGCACGTGACAAGAGGTAGCAGAGATTTGCAACATCTGATTTTAAAGTGAGAGTTCCTACAAATTTGACTCAACAACTCTGAAAAACGTTAGTGGCATATTGTTGGCGGGAAAAAGGTCTTAAGGGCAATTTTAAGTACACACTGAAAACAACAAATAGCATCTTGGACTTTCATCGAAATGCAGAAAATGATATGGTTTCAGTAGCTAGTAATAACGGAAATTAAGGAGGTTAGTTACTATACGATATCAGGATCTGTGAACGAGGTGATTCGAATGTTATCATTCTAACAAGATATTTTTGATTTAACGACAGATTACATGAAAATACATTTAAAATGTTTATAATTAAGCAATACTCGAGAAGATGAGTTACCTGAGCCGTATAATAGTTGGCTTCATCAGGGGTTTTAATCCTCCTTCGTTCGATAAATTTGCCACCGATAATTCCTGAATTCCTCTGCGGAGGCTCAAACACAAGAATAGTATCATCAGAGAGGAAGTAGGAGACGATGAACCTGCGATCCATATCGATTGGCCTGGTCGTGTCCATACGAGCAACAAAACGAAGGACATTGCTCTCTAAGCCATGGCTGTAATGAGAATAATAATTGACCTTATTATCCCCCAATCAACCTTTTCAGTAAATTTGTTACCGTTGCTGCCAGCTAAGCACTGAGATGTAAGATTAAATAGATAAAGTCTGAAAAAGTTCAACTAAAAATGGGATTATTTCTATACATACCGATCCTTTTCCATGAATTTGATGAAATCTCGTTTCGGTGGTTTTGGAATTAGACTGAGGCAGTTGCATAATGAGTCTTCCTCGGACCCAAATCCGTTGTACGGTGGAATTTCTTTACTTTTGTTTGTAAAAGGTTCAGATTTGTAAGTTAAAGCCGGGAATTCCTCTAAAAGAAAATTTATCAAACTTATTTCAGGGATCATAAAATATTTTTTTAAACAAAATCTATAAATCTATCAGATAACACAAGAACAAAAAGAGGCATTTCTTGAAAATGACATTGGCAAATACGGGTCATAACTTCCGAATACTTAGGAAACTTCTAAATTATGAGGAGCAATTGAATGAGGATAAGATTAAATGTTTTAATAATCACACTGTCGTGAAAAAGGTTTATGATCAAAATTTCGTAAGTTTTGCTACAGAAAACATAGCAACTCATCAATTACAAAAACAACAAAAATGGCTATTAAGTAAGCAAAACGATATCTTGTCTATCTTGGATATCTTGCAAAAGAAATGATTTTGAAAGTAAATTTATGAAGCTACCCAGTAGAAGAAATGACAAATAAGCATACCTAAGCCATATTTTGACTTGTAAAATTCACGCGTGAATTCATCACATTCACAGATTATGAACCTTCTTCCCCATACATTTATTTCGGAGCCAATGGTGAAGTCAGCATCATTGTAGTAATCAGTATGTACTGCCCCTGTCTGCAATCGAGAGATAAAGGGTCACATATAGAGCAAAGCCAGATTTTTCTATTCATGAGCAAATTTGTGAGAGAGGTAATTATCTCGAGGAAGGCGTAGATCGCATTGCAGCGCGTACAATCCTACTTAAAGCTCTCAACGGTTGGCGAAAACAAAATCATGGCGGTTGTTTCTGAATCTTGCTAACTGTAGAATATTCACTCCCTGTACGCATTAATTTAGAAAAATGTTTCTGTTCTTGTCGAGAGTTGCACCCCTATTAGACAATATAAGATCAACGGCCAAATTCTTCTTCAGTATTACCAAAACATGTAGATATTCCAAATTGTATTGTCCCTGAATAATTTTTTTGGAGTGTTCGGGGTTGATGTTAAAACATCTTGGGTTTGAAAAACTTTTTAATTTCTTCGGTTGTCAGCCAATTCTTATTTTGTTTCTTTATTGGGAGACATGAACTCTTAAGTCTTTGTCATCTGATACGCATCGTTTTGAATGGAAATGGACTTGTCACGTGACTTATAATCAAGCAATAGTCGGCACATAATGCTTACCTTTAGACTATCCAAAATGTACCTCCCACCTTGTCCCATTGGTCCGAAAACATTAAGGACAGTTCGCTTGGTCATTTTCCCAGGCTGGTTCAACGGTGTCAGTTGCTGAAAAAGGTACAGCGTAGTGTGATGAGAATATTTCACATGAAGGACATAGCAAAAATACTTAATTAAATAAAGCTAAAAGTAAAACGACACAGAAAACCATTTGAGAGCAGGTTTTAGAATGAGGCATCAGAAATAGTGACTGCTTAATGACCCCAACGAGATTGTTTCTACGTTAGATTTTATTGTTGCCTTATATAATTTTTAGACTAACCTTTGGAAGTCTCTGTCGTCGAAGGAAAAGAGGCACTGCATCCCTCCCTGAATTGCCTTGGATAATCTCTCGTATTTCGACAGTGTCGTCAGCCAAAAAATAATGCATTACCATTTCTCTTGGATCCCCAAACATACTACAGGTGAACAGAAAGATTTGTGAGTTCCACAAAATACGAACAATAGGTCAGGGTAAGCAACACAAAAATGGCATCATTTTTCAGTGATTGAAATAAGCACCATTTTGGATTTAACCTTATGAAGAATAACACCAAAATGTCATAAAAATATAAACATTTAAATTGAAAGCCCAGTAGATCAAGCTTGCAAGCGACGTAATGAATAAAAAAAACTCACAAAATCGCTATAAATTGAATCAGCTTTCACATTATAATTAAAAATGAAGCTTCATTGGCAAGGAGTATTACAAAGCACAGAGAATAAACAGGTTGAGAATAGGATGAAATGGGGGTATAGCATGAAATACGTACTCTAGAGTCTCTAGTAGACGCCCCCCGTGTATTAATTTCAGAAGAAATTTTACAAATTAAGTCATTTGATTTTCATTATTCGTTGTTTTCCATAGTTTTTTGTAAAATCTCAACCATACAAAGGAAACCGATGATTTTTGACTTGGAAGTTAGAAGCTGTAAATTTGATTTATCTTTGTATGATTGCAATTTTCTCTAAAACTATGCAAGAAACTGAAACCAAATTTTGACAGTATATTCTAAAAGGTACTTGAATGTTTCATCCCATTTGAATGTTTTAATGGAGTTGATTACGTAATACAGCCTTACTTGTCAGTGTCATCCCAAAGGCAGTAAAACCTCAAGACCTTGCGATCGTTTTCCAAAAACTGTAGGGATAAAATTAGAATTAGCTACATTCTGCTAAAGAGACAAGAAGGTTAAAAATAGACGAGTGATATCTATCGTTATTACAAATCATTTGAAAAGGCTCATATAAGTATTTGCCGCAAAAATCAATTTTAAGCTTTAAGCTTTTAAAACATAGTCAATCGTCAATGTAAACAGCAAATACTAAAAGTACCAGAATGGATCCTTGTTGACATCTACTCTAAAAAGCAATTTTACAGAAAATTCCTCTAAAGAATAGTAGTTGTCTGTTCTTCGTGTAAATGAACGAATAGGTCATTATCTTTTTTGAATGTGGATTTGGTACAAAAGCTTCTCAATGGCGAGGTTAAATGTATTATTTTTCTACGATAAATGTCTTTTCTAATAGCAACTGAATTAACAGGAATAATCCTGAGGATAGTAAAAGGTTTCGGTAAATCTTCTCGAGGCAACACTGTATTGATGTAGGCAAAAGATGATACTGGCGTGCCACCAGATACAATTTTTTTGCTCTCGATTTGTGCTTAGAATGCGACATTCTATAAAAAAGATTAAAAATGCTAAGACGATAAATAAAAGAAAAGTTAATGTACGATATTCTCTCCATTTTTAACTTACCTGTCTTAGAGTGTCAAGTTTTTCGTAAGGTCGCAAAGGCTGCATACTTTCCGTTAGCTAAAAAAATAAGAAGTTCAAGCTTTAAAGGCAACGAAAGCTGCAGATCTATGTATGTCAATGATATTTCGACCAATTTAGGTAAAGTCAACGGGAAAAATTTTAAGACTTTTTAGAAAAGCAAAATTTGTTTGAATTATCAAAAGCCCAAACAATGAAAAGTTGGCCTTAATGCAATCATCAGGCAAGGCAACTGCAAGTCAGGCAACATCATCAACAGGGTGTATTGCTGGGCGAGCACAACAATGCTGAAAATTGGGAAATTTTTACTTTTGCTATTGTTTTTCCTAACATTTTGTGGAAGAGCCCCACTTGTTCTTTTAAAGCACTACACCACTGATCATCAGGTATCATATAAAGCATGAAACTACAAGCCCCCAGTCACTACGGCCATGAGCATAGAAAAACATTTATGTTTATTTTTACCTCTTTTCGGTGGTCTGAATATGGATCACCTGGGGTTGATCGTGCATGATTAACTCTAACGCCAAGCTTTCGTAAAAAGTTGTTTGTAAATTCATCACAACCCTAAAAAAAATTAAATTTTTAAAACTAATAAAAGGTGCTCAAGTAAGAGTTTTGCAAAATAATGAGAGATTGCAACTTTGTTGAAATATTGCTTCCTTAACAAAATATTTCTTTCAAAATGTTTAATTATTTAATTTTGTAAGAACATGAATAACCATAATAATTTGAACAGCCTCTAGAGGAGGCTCATTTATAAAGGCGCGACTGCTCAAAACTTTATTTACAGATGAAATTACCATTTACAAATCAAATTACTGTAAATTCTCTTTCAAGCCCCCCTGGGGCTTATTGTTTTTCAGCACTTTAAAGGAAGGCTTATATGAGAGAGGGGGCTAAATAGATATTTTGTAACAAAAAGCCATTTTCAGTGGTAGACTAAGTTTTTGTCATTTGTGAAATAAAAAAGGTTTTTATAGCAATAACATTGTCATCTTCATCAATTATTAATGCTAAAATATCTTCTTGGGCCATGTCGTCTTTTGAAATTGAGCATTTGAAAGTAATTTTGGTAAAAAGCTCTCGTATGGCCAGTACTTGATACACATTAAATCATTGTCTTCAGATCAGAGACTAGAAGAAACATGCTTTGAATTGTAATTTGATGAGAAGTATTCAACAACCAGTGGTTTTGCGTGAGCATTCTTGCTGGGTGGGTGTAAGAGATGCAAAACCATACTTTACCGACAAAAATTAAATCTTATTCTATTGAGGAGTTCTCTGAAAGTTGGGGGGTGTATACCTCCCGCACACTTCGCCCCTGCCAATGACCAATTAATGAAATAAAATCTCTGTTTTTTCAAGTTTATTTACTTTGGCATCTGTGAATTTGTTTTTTTAGGAGGGGGCTAAATTGAGAGGGGGGGGGCTTAAAAGAGAATTTGCAGTGTACAACAATACATATAAATACACCCTCTTATACAAAAACATTACCAGACGTTGTATTAAATTTGCTGTCTTTTCCCAAATATGACAGCATAATAGAGAAGAAGCTCATTCAAGATGGTGATGGCTCACTCATAATTCAGAGCTAAAGAGTTATTAAGATGCACAGGTTTTAGTGAATCCATATAGTATTCAGATTCAACAACTGTTATAAAAGAACTAAAGAACCTGGGGGAGGGAAGCAAATTATTATAAATGATCTCATTATAAAAACATATTGATAAAAAACTTGTCAATCTTATTGATATTATCCATGCAAGACAACTAAAGAGGAATGAGGAAATCCATACCGTGATATGAAAACTTCTTGAGTACAATTTTATGTCCTTTCCGATGTTTAAGTGATCAACTGTGTAATACTGATCATCATTTGGTGCAGGCAGTGGAATTCTGTGCCTTCTTATAAGGGTTCCTTTTATGAAAAAGAGTCTTGATATCATTTCTATGCTGGTTGTTTTAGAACATAGTCTTATAATCAAAGCATTGCAATAAAATGCTGAACCTGTTCCACAAGTTGACAATAAAATAAAGTAAAATCTGAAGCTGCTGTCCTTTACAAACAACAAACAATTTCATGCAGTTGAACTGCACAGCTTTAGGCCATTAAAGGAAATGTTTTCCTTGTTGGAAAGCAGATAAAATGTAATCTTCAAATTTTTTAACAAAAGTTAAGAAAGGGTTTGTTCTGACAAACCAAGTTAGCTTTGCTTAGATGAAAATAAAAAAATTATGATGATTTTTATTTATCCTGCTACTTGTGGATAAAGCTCAGTCTCCATAATAATAGATTCTTGCTATTTTAGAAACAGTTTGCTCTAGGACTTCAAAAAACTTCTGATAGCCTTGGTAAACATGGTACAATGCCCGTCAAAAGTAGTTGGAACACCGAGATTGTACTCGTAATAAATGTATATCTTTCAGTTCATTTCCCTATTTCAAGCAGACGGAACCCCCTCCCCCCTTATACAATGTTGTGAAGAAGGATCGACATGTCGCTAAACATGGGTTACAAAATTTGCGTGCTAACATACATTTGTTGTCATTTTCCAGTTGAAATCCAACATTGTATATGGGGGGAGAGGAGACGTTTAGTAGGAAAGATGATTGAACTGTTCCAACACTTTTGGTGGCATTGTAGTTTTTCTTTGCACACAAATAGAAAATCAAAACCTCCATATATTAAGCAATCTTGTCTGTCCTGTATCAAATTACATAATCACTGTAAAAGATATTACCATATCTATAAAATGCATTCTTTTTATGTTCACTTAATACACTAAAATCATGTGAAAAATGATTCAAGCAAAACAAAAATATTAAGCATTTGGAAAACAAACCTTGGGGAATACCACTATTTTGAACTTTTGGTTCAATGACTTGAATGCTATCATCCTCCAAGTAGAAATAGATTTTGCACCTACAAAAGGGCATTTTATAGACTATTTTTCAGACCATATTCAGTTAAAATCAAGTAGTAACCTAATTCTAAGACAATAATAGCTAGCCTACTGTAACCTTTTTAAAAGAGTATATGGTAGAATTAGAATAAACAAAGTTAAAAAACTAACAGAAAGAAATTATTTTAAGAAGTGTGAGCAGTGTTTTCCGGGGCTTTAATAGCAGAGTTACATGATAGTCTTGGTCGAAAAGCATTATTTTGTCACTAGGCTCTAGAGATTGGTATCCACATGCTTAGCAACATCAATGATTTTAAAAATGTCTTTGAAAAAAGCAAACATTTGAGTATACTAAAGCTTTCTGTTGGACACTCTTCAGAGTATTAAACGCAAAAAATAGATCGAAAACTCTATGCTAGGAAATATATATACCCAGTTGTGGATCAAAATAAGTCAATCAGAAAACAAAGACCTATGACTGTTGAGGTTGACCAATCAATGCTGCTTGCCTATTGAAAATGTTACCAAAGGAGTCTTAAGGTGAAAACAAACTAAAAGAGGTTTTTTCATGTTGATGTAGATAGATTCCAAAACTGCTAGATGGAACAACGGTTGGGCTTTGCCAATAATTGGAAACATGTCGCCATTATAGTTTTTTGCACAATCTGGGGTTCAAATGCTTCTGAAGTTTGCCCTATTTGTGAGATTAGTGAGCCTTTAGTTGATTATGAGAAATGCAGTTATAAAAACTTGAAAAGTAAAACAACAGCAGCTTTTCTTACTTTCTTATTCTGTATTGCTCTTCCCTTTTCTCATGAACTGCTTCTTGGAAGTATGCATCAAAACAAAGAACCTACAATGATTAACAAATTTACATATTATGAAAATTATTTTTTGATTTTTACTTCATAGGCTAAACTAAAACACTAGTGATTTTCCATAATTTTCCTGAATATGTTTCTTTGCTAAAAATTCTGCATTGAAAGATAATTATACCAACCTGTCTATCAAACGCCACCCAAGCTGGTGCTTGGCTCCCAACTCCCTTGGGATAAACACTGGATTTTGGCTTGTCTCTCCCTCCAGGTAATCTGTCTCCACCTTTATATAAAAAAGATTAAAACATTTAAAGCAAAACTATGCAACTTGCTAGTCATAAATGTCAAAAAAGATTTTGTAAAGACCATTTTTAAGATAGTAGTTTAAAATTGTATAAGGTATTGTTACCAGTGCAACTATTGCTCAACTATGGTTGAGCATTGAAACATGGTTAAGTTTTCACCGGGGTAGTACTTCAAAAGGAGTAAAGCAATCTGATGAAAGCACCTTGTAAAACCCCATTGTAGTATGGATATTAGCCAGTAAATTATGAAGCTGCATGGGAAGTTTTATACTTCAATGCTTATGCCAAAAATTTGTATGATTCAATGCATGATAGAAACTTTTATTCATCCTTTAACTAACAACGGTTGTTTATAAGTCATACGCTGACCCAAATACAGGCATCAAACCCCTCCTTTAAGCCAGCATATTATTTTTTCTTCATTATATGCCAGTACACCAAGGAAATTATTAAGTCCATGCCTGATGTCTCCGGTGTAAGTTACATGATTTCCACCCTGGTCACTATCCTATTAGGATTAAAAAACACATACCTATTCCAGATTTATGCTCGCCAACATACACAGACACATCATTTCGATAATCAAAGCAATGTGATTTGTGATACTTTTCTTTACCAAGCTGGAAAATATTTCAAAATGAATAAGATAAAAATTGCAATGGGATATGATTATTTTCTAAAAATAAGATAAAATATTGGATCTTGAAGAGGCTGTACAAAAATGCTCAACAGTCATAGCTGATGTTATTACTTTATTGTAGACGAAGGGGGCCATTCAGTTATATCAAATCAAGTACTTTCTACAAATAACAATATTAGAAGTCTGCAATATTATTGTGGGCTTAAACTTAGGCCTTGTAGATCTTCATTATTTTTACCGTTAAAAAACCTTGCACAAAGAACAAGGTTTAGGCAATTTCATCAAAATACTTCAGATACTTCTGCATTTTATAAAACTACTGCTAATACATTACTTACATTTCTGTTGAAGCTATTTCCCGGCAGAAATGGAAGCGACATTTCGTTTGTTACCTTTCTGTACACCAAGTTCTTGAAAAATGGAATCTTCGATTGAATGTTGCCATAACAATACAACCAAGGTAACCGACCTCCTTCACAGGTTTAGGAAAACGAGTTCAATGACTGCCGCTGACCAAATTTTTTTGGCGGACCCAGCCAAGTCCCAGCCCGGTGTTACTATTTGGGGTTCCTATAAAGGGGATCGTGGATATAAGCAATTTTTGTTGTGAAAAGAGAATATCAATACGATTTCTTTTGAAAATGAAAAGAAATAATATTTTTTTAAGTAAATAAGGTGGAATAGGTGAAGATCGATCGTGCAATTTGCATGTATTCATGTTCTTGTTTGAATTCTGTTTACTCTGATCAAATCAATATTAGGTACGATAATGGAAAATGAAAGGGGTCCTTCCATCAGGGGCGCAGTGGCTGGGGGGGGCAGGGGGGGTAGCCACCCCCTGGCAAAAATTTTGTCGGATTGTCGGAAAATCCAACGTTTGTCGGAAAATTTGAAATATTAGACAAAATGTAAGGTTTTCATCGATCCTGTCTAAAAGGTCGCATATTTTTTTAAACCTGTCGTAAAATAGTGCATGATCAACCCTTCTTACTTATTTCCATTAGAGTATTTTTCGGAATCATCGCATTGCTGAAATTTGTAAAGGAAATTAACGCTCTGGTCTCAGTTATTTTATAAACTCCCATTTCCGACAGTTAAAATTCAACTCAGTTCATTTCGAAATGAATTCGCTGGTGTTGTAGAAGACGCAAAAAGTTATTATTTTCGCCATGACTTAGAAGAGGAAAATTTTGTCGAGCGACGAATACGCAGAAAGAAAAAGATGCCAGGGGAAAATTGCATAGATGAATTAGAGGGAAATAGGGAATCCGTATATCATCGTGATAGTAGATACAGCTATCAGCTCAATGAATACAAGATTCACGTCTCATAAGGCAATTTTGACAGATTTTGCCTTGCTCAACCCTGAATGTTTTCAAAAACAATTGAAAGGCAGTTGTGTGCAGTGTAATTAGAAAAGGTTGCGAAGAATTACGGCCTGGATGACGAAAAATTAAGAGATGAGTACAGCTCTTTCGTCAATAATTACCGTAAATTTTGAAAAGTAAGAGAAAAGAGCAACCCTCTCCCGGCTGCAGGAGAAAGAGAAAACTTTTCAGTTCCATTCAGTTCTTGAGTTGATGATAAGTATAACCTGCAAAGTGCCTTTCCACAGCTGGTCCTTCTTTACAAGGTTCTCGTCACTTTGCCAATAGGCTCAACAAACTATGAAAGAGCTTTTTCAAAGCTGAGGATTGTAGAAAAATCGGCTACGGTCAACGATGGGACAAGACCGCCTTTCCTCTCTGATAACAATCAACGTCGAAAGTGATATTTTACAGTCGATAGACTTTGGTGACATCATCGATTTGTATGCTGCCACACCTCTTTTGAGAAAGATGCTGCTTGAGTAACAGTTTATATAAATTCAGTTAAAAGAAAACTATTCTTTTGGAGGCGTTATATCTATTTAAGGTTTAGCATAAATAAATGCAAATTAATTATGATGCGATTTAAAACTTGCCAAAAAAACTTTTTGCTATAAACAGCTATAAACACTAACGTGACGGTTTATTGTCTAGTATAGCGAGAAGACTTGTAGGGTGTAAATTTATAACTAGTTGCAGTTTTGTTTATAGCGATTTATATTTGGTAAGTTTTGTTAGAATAAAGGCTATTGTTGAACTTGAAGGTGTATAACGAACGATCCATTCGTTAACGATTTCCAGATCCATTCGTGATATTGTAGTATCAAGTGTTGCAGTATATGCAGCAAGGGTAATCTTCAAGGAATGTATTGAGAAAAAGTTTGTCGGAAAAATCATAGTTTTATCGGAAAATTTTCAACTTTGCCCCCCCCCAAAAAGGTAACTCCCACTGCGCCCCTGCCTTCCATGCACCCATAGGGTTTGAAATCCAGGCTTCTGGTAACTGAGATTAAATTATTCAGCTTATTTGACAATGATACGAATGTTGGTGTCTGAGAAACGCTCAAGTCAAAAATAAGTTAATGCAAAACCAATTGCGAAGCGTGTTTCAAATCATTTTATCACAAAATATCGTTTTCAATGAAAGAGCTGTTCAAAAGGAATTTAAATCTAGTGCACATATATTTTCAATCGTTGGTTACGGGGCGGAAAGTTGGACCAATAACAAAGAAACCCTCGGTGACTAACAGCATTTGAATTTTAGTGCTACCGCAGAATACTGAAAGGACATGCAACAAATATCAACATTGAAGAGAGAATCGGCAACAAGAAATTTAGCAAATACAGATGTAGACTTGCCTAAAGGAGGATGAGCTATTCAAGCTATACACTTAGAGGGTCTAGCGGTAGATTGGGAAACCTGTTGGCGGAAGATACATTGTAAAAGAGAAGAGCAGATAAGAGCATGGACCGAACATATCAACCAATGGGCAACATCTATACATCATGGAGAAGTAAAGAGGAAGGCTGAAAATCGCAGTTTGTGGAGGAATCTGGTTGTCAACCGGATGGAAGACGGCACTCGATTATGATGATCGTTTTCCAGCATTCCATAGGATGTGGTCATTAAAATTCACCGAGGAAAGTTCCTGGCCCCACAGATTGGCTCGTTCCATTTGCAACTGGAAGCATATTCTACATAGACTTGCAACTGGAAGCATGCTCTACATAGACTTGCATACACAAAGGTAGGTTTTATAATTCTGTGATGAAGAAGTTTATACAATCGCCAATACATAAGCTTTATTATACCTTTCCACACTTATCAGCAATGCAGAGCTATGCAGTGGTGTATTTTTGAGTTTACTGTTATGACGATAATGGTCGTTATGATTATTAATAAACTCCGTTTTGTTTTAGCAGCTCCAAGTTTGTTATATGTCAAGGGTTGACAGCTCCATGTTGGCAATTTAGTTTGGCTTTTACTGTCATATTGTCCTTCTATGTGTTCGAACCTTGGGTTTGTTGCTTCAGTAGACTTGCACTTCATGAGACACATCTAGAGCTCTTCGAAGACTTTTTAAGGACTTTTCTTCCGTGTTGATGGCATATAGGAAGGCAAGCACAAGGGAAGCATTGAAAACCTCTCGGTCAACCCCCTATCATTAATAATTTTACTTTGAAAATACAAGAAAAATCAACCGTTGATATTCTGGAACTGGGCGGTCTTCATTTTGCAATCTGTATTTCCCTTCATGCTTTTTTAAGCGCACTAAAACTCCAGAAACAGGGAACAGTGTTCTAAGAACTTTGAGCGGATGATATGATGTAATTTATTGTCTTAGTTAATTTTCTGTTTTACTTTAATCAGCTTCTCAAACTTTATTTGACAAACTGCAAATCAAAAGAGAAGCTTTTAATTTGTTTTAATTTCAAGCTAGTTTCATGATGTTAGAGAACCTTTTTGATCAAATCTTGAATAATTTTAATAACATTGAAGAAAACACGATTCAGTAGCTACAACAAACAGCACCTATTTTCAAAATGACAGACCTGTAGTATCCACGAAAAAAACACACAATGTACTAAATAAACTGTATTGTACAGCAAATGAGCTTCAGAAAACAGATAGATGCCATACACAATTACTCTACTGATCTGTCCTGACTGATATCTTCTTGCGAATGTCCTTGAACACGATGTCTAAAACCAGATACGAAGTCTACTGTAGGTATTCGTGTATGCTCTGTGTCGTGTTGCTACCATTTTCGCATTTTGTTTACATTTATAGAAAATGTGCCAGACACACTAATAGATACCAAAGTCCATCAAAATTTTGCCCCATTGGTCACTAACCCGCCGTCAGCTGTTGGCTACAATAAACGTCTTCCCGGCAACAATTTCTCTTAACTTTCTGCATCGTCAAATTGCCCATCTAAAACAAAAGGAGGTTAACTGAATATCTGATATAGTCGAACATTTTAACTCAGATTTTTAGAAAGAAACCTTTAAGTCAAATTTTGAAAGAAATCATTCACTTTTTAGATTTAATAACGTTAGTATATCACAAGGAGCTTAACTTTCATACAAACACACATATTGAATAGAATACACATATCGAAAAACTAAAAATGTTTTTACATAATCATTGTGCGAAGAGAAAAACACAAAAAATGTTCAGGATCGAAAAAGCTAACTTGCTAAACTTATAAATTGACATGAAAAGCAAGGAATGGCAGAATAAAAAATTCGAAAATTATAATGATATCATAAATTTTGACATATTTTTCCTATGAGGAATATACTCACTATTTTCATGTCCATTTGGTTTGATTAATGCAGCAAATTCTTCTTGTGATGGCATGCTCATATTCTGGGCAAGTCGGTTCAACACTGCCTGTAATGAAAACAAACAATTGAAAAAGTCTAATATTCTGCAATCTTTAACACTCGCAAATGACGCTTTATGTGATAAATAAAACGGTTCTAAGCCACAGCCCCGAGGTTCACAATTCAATTATCAGGCAATCCCTGCCAAAATGGCATTGAGAATTATACAACAGAACGATAAACAGTAATCTAAATTAATTGGCGAATGATTGTAGGTTGAAATGACATGCTAAAATGAGTAGAATAGAAGTCTAAGATGCTACTCCGAGATTCAAACTTAACGCCACCACCATGCAACTCCGTCATAGATTTAGCAACGGATCAATTTGTACTCTATAGTGTAGCAATTGGATCAGTGAAAGCGTAAAAGAATTTCAATAGACAAAATAACTCGTTTCAAGTCTCTGTAACAGCGAGGTTAATCGTCATCAAATACCAACCTGTCCTTCCTCCGATAACTCAATATTATCGACATTTTCACAATCTTCTCCATAGAATTCTCCTTTAAAAAAATCCAGATTTCATGGTGAATCTTATAAAAATGATAACATGATTAACAGAATAATTAAGATAAATAAGTAAGTAATTTTTTTCTTTAATAGCAAACATTTTTCCAGTGCATTTGGAACAATCAACACATTTTCAGCATTACCTTCCATTAAAAAAATTCTGAGCATTGCAAACAGCCACACCCAGGTTTATCAATCTGTTTAGAGAAAACTTTCTTTATGTAAAAGTGTTTCCAGTCGAATAGAATAGTCACGGTGTATAAAATCTATGTGTCAATGTGTTCCTACTTTTATATTACAATTAATGTAATGTCACTTTTTTGCAGTTTTTAAGTTGAATTAAACCAATCCCAGTAACACCATAATTGCAAGAAACTCAGACGCAGTACGGCTAGGACTGTTTATCTATTAAAGTAACAAAAATCCTTGCATTGTTCCTTTGCAAAAACTGAATGTCGTTCCTCTCTACGCTTCAGGCCCTCCCCTCCAAAACCCCAATCAAATCTTGCAAGGCTTCGCTCTGCAGGAAACTCGAAGATAGAATTTTATTAATTTACCTGGCAGTTTCATCCCAACCTTACTTTAACCATGAAAAGTGTCTATTAAGCCTTCGAATTTAAGATTATCTATCAAATTACTTTGCAGAAAATTAGAAGGTTCCAATATCTGGTTTTCAAACCAATCAATATCCTGTAGTGAATGATGTGATGGGAAATCACCAAGGGGAAGTCTTTTTTGCAAGTTTGCAAACAATGTCAAGCAGGTTTCCAAAAAGTGATAATTTTTGTTACTTTTGTAGCTCAACTTTGACAAACACACAGAAACCAACAGGCCTCTACCTTGCATATCATCATCATCATACTCCTCTTCTTCCTCGTCAGGATCAGGGTGATTTCTTTGTCCTTCAGCTATGTAATCATATATCTTTTGCACTGCAAAGGACAATGACAACTACATATGACTTTTCAATTAGCAAATAACCCATTCTTTGACATATCTCAAATGGAAAGTAATCCAAAAAATATCAATAAAATTATGTTTTATATATAAATCTGACCTGAAGCAGCATTAATTACCATAAACTACACAACAGCATAGAAGCAGCTAAATCAATTAGACAGTTTACAGAAAGTTATTGTATGTTTGCTTTGGTTTGAATTCTTTGATAGTTTAAAATTTAGCATTTTTTGGCAAAATGCTTGAAAGATATTCAATAAAGCAAAGACTTACAAACTGTACTATCCTCAGGAACTATTCTTACTTCCTTACTTTCTGAATCCTCTTGATTCATCAGATTTCCTGCAAGACAACAAAACCTATACTTTTCATGTAAATAAAAATAAAAGAATAATGATAAACATTTTCCCCTCTCTTAATATTCATTTAACAAATTCTTGAAATTAACAGTAATATTGAAATGATTTCACTTTCACTGAGGATCTCATGTCATTTGGGAAAGATCAGGGTAATTAACTTTGAGGGCATGAATCAACTTGCATCCCATAGAAGATATGGAGCAGAAAAAATTCAAAACTAAAAAGCATAAGAAGCAGCCCCTGAATCGATACCCCAGACAAGGATACCTGGGTCCAGTGAGGGCCTTGCCCCCTCCCCAAAAAAACTTAAATAGTATGTAAAATACTTTTATTTTATCAAATATGGCTCTTGTTACACTTATTTATCAAGGCTGCCCCCCCAAACAAAAAGTTGTATCACAGTCTTTGACCCCAGATAACTCTGTCATGATACAAAGTAAAAACAAGAACTGTCAAATAAGGCAAGTTATAAACTTGCTTTTGTGAATTAAACTTAAAATCAATCAAAACACAGTTTTCTCTGACCTCAACTTATTTTTGAAACTTGCCCCACATTTTTTAATTCGTGCTCTTCAAGCAAATTGTTGAATCTCTTATGAGTAATTTACAGAAAGGGGGAAAAATCACTGTTAATCTTGAACTCTTCAAAAACAGTTGAAAAAATTCCATGCTCTTGTTATGTTAGATGTCACATTTATTGATTGCACTTTCATTTGACGCCATCATTTGCCCAAACATGCTTTGACTAATCATGTCTCCCTGCAAAAATTAACAGCACTATGTCCTGTCAGTCAACTGGTTAGAGTTAACAATAGACTATGTTATGTGTTCAAAGTTCATTATTTGCCCACTGGATTGGCCCACTGGATATGTAACAATAGGTCTATTGTGCTGTCTAACCAATCAGAAATTTAAATGGCCAAGGAAATGCGTTGAGACATAGTGCCTTTTACTTGAATTAGGCAATCAATTCCCATTTTCACTTATTACTTGGTTGTTACTGCATTTTTGCACTTGTTCCTCATTTTACAAACAGCAGTTTAACCATACTCTTTATGCACTCAAATTTTGAGATCTAACATGGTTACAAGCACTTCGTTGACATAGTTACTAGCAAAATTCAAATTCAACTGAAAAGAAAATATTTATTGAAGCCAAAATCTCAAAAGCTGCCTTGCAATTTTGTTCGGGGATTCTGGGACACAGTGGGAGGGGAGAAAAGGAATCTATAATTATTCAAAAACAAAATGAACTTAAAACAAACTGGGCTCAATAAAGAATTTATACCTGGCAATTCTGTATCCAGGAGACAGAAAACACACTGGTAAGGAAAGCTTGATGTGTCTGTTGAAATACCATGGACAGAAATAAATGGGTATTCCAGCGTGACAGTTTCACTAACACCTTCTTTTCCCCATGTAATGTTCCTGAAAAATATCATCAAAAAACTTGAAGTTGTCTTAGCCTGCTATCACAAAATAAAACTATTACAATGGTGGAAACGAAAAAGACATTAAAAAATAAGTAGCTCTAGGTTCGTCCAAGATTTCTTTTTCAGTATTATATGGTATAATTATAATAGTATGTGGTGCAAATGGAGATGCTTGAAGGTTTAGAGATGAGATGATTTTCTGTTGGTGTTCAATAGGCAGATAGTCACCCATATTGATGAAAGAACTGCCAAAATGCCATAGGAGCTCATTGATAGACTGACAAAAGAGACTGAATTAAAGTGACATTTTAACTTGGTATATTTCGCAGAAGCATTTGAGATTTGCTCAAAAGATATGTTTAGCTCCAAAACATAGAGATAACAAGGATGAAAAATGTTTTGAGCCAATCAGACTGTTTGTTTACATTTTCAGTCAGCCAATGGTATAGCGTAAAAGACAAATAAAATCTGAAGAGAAAATAGTTGAATCAGTCACAACAGTAATGCTTGCACCTCCTTTCCACAGCTGTGAGGAAAAAGCGGCACCACAAAAAGTTAATGCTGAACGCAAAAATTGTCATATTGAAGTGCTTTATACAATTTTGCATAGTAAACAAGTATATCAAAACTTTGTCGTCCCCATTTTTAAAATTTGGTTGTTAACCAGAGATAAGCGATGAAACATTTAGCCCATTTTTTCCGATTTAATCTGCTTACGTTGGTTATGGTTGCCTGTACTCTAAGAAAATGGCATCATGTCATTTTATTGAAAAACAGGTCATTTTTCACTTATTAAGTATGTACATCGTATATTTTAAAGTTAGACGGAGAGATAATAGTCAAACATGGGTTTCTCTTTCATTTTGCCTTTTCCTGCATGTTCTTAAACCTAAGACTGTCTGTCAGCTTTCTTTCATAGAGTTCGTTCTGGAGTTTTCTATAATAATGCTATTGTGCAATTGCATATATTGACGTGTAGAACTATACTGTACCGTGTGTGCCCTTGCCATTACTCTGCAGACTGCGGTTGCATTACTATTAATTAGGTTTCGCTTTATAAAGTAAAGATTTTTGTACGAATTAAAAACTACATATAAATAATTAAGTTTTCAAATATTTTTATAAAATATGATTTCAGTTTTTGATTGAAGTTTAACGTCCAATTGTCTGCAACTGCATATCTAGAGTTTTCTGGGACATAACATGGTTGGAATAAAAATTGAAGAAAAACATACTCATCCGATATACTAAGTTTTCCACTTCCTGCGCATTCTTGTCCAAAATAAAGCTTGACATTCTCTAGTTTGAGTGAAGAATCCTCTATTGAAGACTCAAAAGTATCCATCTTCACCATGTTCTATCTACGCGACTTCGTTTCGTGCGTACAGATACAGCGAATCGATCACGTTTCGCTATGCTGCCATCTTACATTTGAAAACGAGTCACAATTGAACTCGAGGTAAAAGTAGCATATAGCAACAAAATGGCGGAATTCAACGAGAAAGAAATTGGAAAATTTTTGGAGAAAGTAGATCAAGTTGGTAAGAGCAGCTTTGATTTTACCACATATTTCTGTTTTGAACATAACGCTAGAGAATTCCAAACTTACCAGGTGCTAGATATAATCAGTTAAATAACTACAGAGCTGTTTATTTTTTAGAATCATTGATCAAGGATTTAGCATCTGGCGACTCAAATCTAGAGCAGCAGGCTGCAAAAGAGGCAGATAAATTTCTTGGGAAACACAAAAATGTTAAAACGTCAACTACAGATGGCTTTGAAAAGACTCATATCACTAAATATCAAGAAGAATCTTTGTCAAAACTAGATCATGTAAGCTTTATTTCATTTGTTTATCAAGATTAATTTGTTATCATGGTGTATAATCCAAGTTGTTTTTCATTTGATTTCTTTTATACTACTGATTAATTAGTTCGGTATTTTGTATCTTATTGTATCTTTTGTTGTTTGTAACTTTGTTGTTTTGCATTGTATGTTTAGTAAAGTATAGTATGATTACGTATCTTGCCCAAATTAGGGCACTTAAGCGCCCAAGTTAAGTGTACAGGAGATTGAGAGGTGACCTCATTGAAACCTTCAAATTCATGAACCAGATGTATGCAGTAAACATTGATACTCTACTACCATTGGAAAAAGAATCACATACGAGAAGAAACAGTCAGAAGTTGAAGAAACAAGGATTTATTACTGCCATTAGTAAACAGTTCTTCAGCTTGAGAGTAACAGACTATTGGAATGGTCTCCCTCTGATGACATAATTACATCAAAATCATTAAATATTTTCAAAATCAAGACTGACAAGTTATATCACAACAGCAAATATTTTATGGAATTTCCTATACCACCTGTAATTGTCTTACATAGCACAGTTTAATCTGTTGTGTTAAGTATAAGCTAGAATTGAGACTGTCTTAAATGTGCATAATCTGTCAATGTTATTTAAAACACTACACCCAAAAGTTTTTACCATCCTTTTTGGTTTTCTACCAAATCACATAGTGTGTCAATTTTTGAAGTTGCATGCAAGACTTGTGATGAGAGGAGTCTGGTATGAACCGATTGCACATGTCAATTCCATTGTTGGTGCATTTTATACTCAGAAGAAAGGCCTGGTGTAAGGCAATCATTGAAACAAGAGCAGGATTCCATATCGTTTTTATTTCGAGTTTTTCCATTTCTATTAAAGAAAATTTAAGCAAATTAGATCTTAGTGCTACTCAACATGGTATTTTTTTATCGAAAATTTTTCTTGATTGGTCACCAACAATATTTTGGTGAGTTCTTTCATATGAATGACTAAAGTTGCATATATCTTGGTGCTTTTCACAAACAATAAAATTTTTTTGAGCAACGATATAAGAAATTAAATTGCTGTTTTGAGAAAAGAGGATGAAAACAAAAAGTATATAGTTTACATATTTAAGATCTTTTAGCAGGAAAGCTTTTTGTTCCAGTATTCACTTAATTTTAAATTTTACCTGTAGTTCTTAGATTTTGAATCTATTTAAGAAAATCTGAGAACAATTATATTATTTTTTCAAGGATGGCTTAAAGTTTGATAAAGAATCAGTCTCACCTGGTAAGTCCTTTCATCAGACTTTGCATCATAAAATAAAAGAACTGTAAAGGGTTACCTAATTTATCTTTTTCTGAATTAAAAAAAAATGAAAATCAGCTATTGTCATCTGACGATCAGCGCTTGTATGGTATTCCATGAACATTCTCCCAAGTCCCCTTTTCTTTATTATTGGATTCACAAGTCCCCTTTTCTTTATTATTGGATTCACTCTAATCAGCTTAATTACGTGACCCATCACCTTTTTGGACTTTCTCTTCTTCTGTTGCCTTCTACTGTTCCTGGAATGGTGCTTGCCAAGGCCATTTCAGGAACTGCACAAACCGGGTCCCCAGTCAAGAAGAACTGCTACTACATAGTAGTAAACTATCCATATTTGCATTAGAGCAAACTTCCCAAAAAAAGTTTCTAACTTGTTTTTAAAAAAAAGGAGGGGGGGGGGCTATAGCCCCTGCTAGCCCAATGGCTGTGCGATGCCTGGGTCATATTCAGGGGCACCTGACTTTGTCACTATACACAATATTTGGATTTATGAAACTCATGACTGTTATGTAAAATTTTGATAGCCTACTAAGTTTTAATACCGATTTATCCTTCTTTGGTTTCTGGAGTACTTCTGAGGGAACAGGTCTTTTGTTTATCTACTATTATCTTTGCTGCTTCCCCACTTTCTACCCACCTTGTCACAGACAACCTTTTCAACCTTTGCATTTTTGTTCTGGTTTTATCATTTTTATAATATCTTCTGATAGAAATTTACATAACGAGAGTGGTCAAAGCAGTCATCAGTTATCATCTTCTTATATTTTGGGGCACTTCTTGCCGCCTCTGCCCCTTCTCAAAGAGGGCAGGAGGAAAAACTGCCCCTCCAGCCTTCCAGGCACCCCTGATCATTTTACACTTGCCACCTCTCCATTCAAATAATCTTTTCTGTTTTTTACAATTCTATCAATCTCACTCTGCATCCTTACTTGTTTTCCAATCTTTGCATTGAATACCTGACACTGTACAGTAACATCTCATCTCCAAAACTATCTCAGTGTGGATCTGTACAGTTCAATTAACCCAGTTTGTATTCCTTGCTTTTGGTACCGTGAAGTCTATTATATGGTAAATTTCGGGTTTCTTTGTCTGTTTCTAGTCAAGTACAATTGTAGAATCTTTGTTTATTATTTTGATAAATATACTGGACAAGCGCTTTCTGTCACTACCCAACTATTAACAAACAAACAATCCATGAAATGAGAAGCTTTTCTTCCTACTCTTCTTACCGTTGGTAATGATTTAAAGTTATTTTGTCTCCTGCGATTTCAATGATAAATGAAAACGCTATTTTATCTCTAATTTCATTCTAGAGGAATTTATGAAGAGAGTTGAAAAGGATGCAGCTGAAAGAAGGAATAGAAAGGAGGAGGATAATAAAAGAGCAAATGAACTGAAAGAAAGAGGGAATAAAGCGTTTAAAGGAAAGGAATACACCGATGCTGTGAAGTACTACACAGAGGCGATTGCAATTGTGAAAGATAATGCAGTTTTCTATACGAACAGAGCTCAAGTATGACTTTTCTTTTCCTTCTGTTAAATCATTTACTTTTGTAAATCACAGCTGATGTAATAGATTGCTGTTTTATTGCATAGTTTGTTGCCTAGTTTTCAATGACCTTTGGGCAGGGCTGTAAACGCTTTAGTGGTAAAAAGGACGATTTATAAGGAACCTCTGATGCTCACGCCTTTTGCGATAATTAGGAATCAGCCATTGCTGTTTGTGAGAGATCTTTTTAGCAAACAAATCTTTCTAGAAACCGCGAATTTCTTTGATGAAAACATTAGCAGTGATATTTCAAAAAGTAATGGACTATGGACTAGGAGCAGTGATAAAGTAATAGAGCAAATCTTGATAAAATTCAAAATTACATTTTTAGAATACTTTTACCTTTACCGTAACATAATTTTATTGAATTTTGCCTTGAACTCATCTACATTTTAAAATGAGGCGATAACGGGTAACTTCAATTTTCGTATGCCAGTTTTAGTATGTTCAGATAGTTGGAGCACGGAAAACATAAAATGCCTTTTCCAAAACAGTAAAGATTTGTTTTGCGAAGTAAATGTCTTTATTCATTGTCTTGTAGACATAGCTTTAAATGAAATGCTACAAAGCAACGAGTTTAGATAACTAAAACTTCCTTAGATAAAAGAGGTCATTTGGATCCAGTTCAGGAGGTCGCTTTGTGCTAAGAGTTTCTTGTTATTTGAATTGAAACATGCAAATATTTTTCAAGAACTCCCGTTAAACAAAAGCCTAGTCTCTTTCTTTAAAATTTTGCAGTTTCAATCAAATCTTTTAAGGCTTGTTGTTTACTTTTTGTTAGATAAAGGAATGACTGAAAACAAACTAAAATTTAATTTTTAGGCGTATATTCACATTGGAAATCACGAGTTGGCCCTAGATGATTGTCGTGTGGCGCAGAAGGTTGGCATTTTGTTTTTCATCGGCAAGGATCGAAAACTATTCTTTCGTGGCAAATTTATTATTTTATTGTCTTTTACACATTTGTTTCTTTATTTAACTGAGAACTGAAACTGAAAACTGAGCTGCTTAACCATTTCAATTTTCTCATTATGCTGTCTTATTTTATTCTTATTTCTTTTATTTTTTCTGTGGATAGTTTAGTTAATGTCTGCAATTGTGTTTTCTAGAAGTATTTTGTTCATTTTGCTCAAGCGTCCAAGCCTAAATCGCAACAATTTCTCACTAAATAGTAAATTGTGTGACTTTATGACACATACAAAAAGGTCGTACGAGTTTTTTAACCAAGTGCCCCGTATTATTAGGCCCCAGAAGTAGAGATTTTAAATGATGCTGGTCAAAGAATTTTACTTAAATTTTTACATCAGTTTAAAATCATTTCGCTTTTTATTGTCCGTTTGGCTTTGAAAACCAAAACTCTATGCGATTACTGTACTGATGGCAATTTTTACCCTTAACTGTACTGATAGCAATTAATTAAGTGTTTGTTATTTTAAATCTCCAGATTGATTCGAAATGCGTTAAAGCTTATATACACCAGGGAAGAGCACTACAAAATCTTGAAAAATTTGACGAGGTAATATCATATTTTTGCATTTTTTCTTTTTGTGCAGGTAAAATATGAATACGAAAATTATGCCTTTATTCGCATCAGAATTGAGTTTTCAATGTTTAATTTCAATGTCTATAAAGCATTTTGTTGTTAATTTCCAGAAGACACTTTTCTGCCATTTGCCTCTTGAATTTTCCGTTTATCGGGAAACTTCTCTCCTCACAATTCTGAAATTTAAGCTTATTTACTTAGTTATACTAATTTATTAGTTAAAATTAATTATTTAATCAGTTTCACCTTTTTCTTGTCTTTATTTCTTGCTGGTTACCACCGTACAAGGTGAACATTTGAATTATTGTAGCTAATCACCTAAGCAGCTAATCAACTTTTTAGCGATAAACTAAAAAGTATAGAGACAAAGTCGTTTATAGTAGGTACTTGATAAAAATCTCGATAAAACCTCTAATTTATCTCTTTTTTCATTAGGCGATCAAAAGCTTCGAGCATGCTACTAAAATTGATAAGAAATACGCTAAACTGGTTCGAGGTTAGATATTGTTTATAGTATATTATGTGTAATTTTATTCAGTAAACCATGCTATTTCTGAGTCATTGTAATTGCCGTTATACAAATCCTGGATATATGCATAACAGTGTAGAGAAACTAATCATCATTAGAAATAAGAGTAACTTCAAACCAACACTGTAGAAAAGCTCGTCATCAAAGAGAGGCTCGTCATCAAGGACAGTCTCGTCACCATTGTTCTACGCAATGCTTTCGGAAGATTTGATGAAATGTAATATGGAAAGATGCTGGAGGTCGTCCACCGGATTTTAAGAATCTTGCAGCAAAATTTAATAATTAGCATTAGGCAGGAACAACGCAAAACGACGAAGGACAGTCAAATGTAAATAAATCCAATTTGATTTGGAAAACCAAAGTTTGAGAATAAATTGAAACTAAACTAATATTTCGCACCGGCATACGGGCTTCTTCAGAGTGAAAAGCCTCGTAGACTGAGCCGAAATGTTAATCAAGTTTACTTTTTTCAAATTTTTTTCATCAAATTTGTGTTGGGAACTTCTTATCAGGCCCCTTCTTAACATTAGAGTCTTCAAAACTATTGGAGTCAGGAAAGGGAAACTCTTCTAAATTTGGGACCAAGTTCAATTGATCGTCCTTTACAAGCTTTCAAGCTCTTTATTTGTATCTTTGATGCTTAAGTGGTATTTTTTCATTTAGATTACATAGAAGAGGTAGAGAAAAGGCGAGAAATATCTAACAATGAACAGAAAGTGAGTTTTATGTTACCTGTTACTGACTATAAGATTTTTGTTTTTACAATCAAATGTCAAATAAGGATAATCAAAAAAGATATCCGAAAGGAGCTTTTTAGCATTTGATATTAACTTTTGTGTTTAACATAAGTTATTTATTCTTTAACCCAGATTATTTATTGTTTTATATGAGTTCCTTTATCTTTACTACAAGTTGCTTCGTTTTACCTTTAGAGTTTGTACTCTGTTTCAAATATTTGATGGCTGATTGTTTACTAATTATTGAATACTCGCCTTGCTCTTTTATTTCTGAAACTGAATCTTTGCCAAAATCTCTTAAAAGACTGTATATGAATTTTCTTCCAACGGTCTTGTCGCGGCAATGATTTTTAAGCGGTTTAGACTTTCCGATGTAACTGAATAAATCATAATCTGAGTTCTGAAAATTTTATGAAAACAACTTAGTTTTAGAGATTATAATTAGATAATGAATGCCGTATCTGTAAGCGTGCTTGTCATAATATTTTTTCTGTTGTCTGTGTTTCAGAGCGAGAATTTAAAAATTTCGGGCGATGATCGTGCTCAGATAATGACAGACACTGTCAGCCGGTTAAGAAAAGGAGGCCTTTCTATTTCCGATCTCTGTAAGAAACTAGAAGAGCTGAAAAAGATTTGCGACGAAGGTATGTTATTTAGGAGACTGCATGAACGTTGCAATATTACATGACATGGAAGATAACGGTGGATTTCTACTTCTTGCTGAGGATGCATGACTTTTTCAATGCTAGACCCAAATGATTGAATATGTTTATAATCATTGTGAGTGTTTTTTATGAAAGAACTGGCACACGCTAGAAATTGTTTTGATTTATTTTGTTTGGAACTAATGAAAATTTGATTCGGAGGTCAAATTCTTTAGGCTAACAAGTAGAAGGGGTCTAAATGCTGTTTCTCCATTGTCACCTTTCCATCGTTTACAGGGCCCCCGCCACGAATTTAAGTGTGGGGTCCAAGGCTTCTTTCCCCTTTTACTGCCGCTTTAAAACTATTTGCCTCGCAAAAAAGTGGGAGGAGGAGGCCTGGCGACCCCGGCCCCCCGGTGGTGTGGGGCCTGGTCTAGCCTTTTTCTTTTCCACTCGTTTACCGTTTCTTCCCATTTTCCCTTTCTTTCATTCATAAGAAATTCGATACATTTAAGGTCATTTCCCGTACTTTTTTTCCTTGCGTGATTCATAAGCCAAACTAAACAGGAAGAGCCTTATTTTCTCTACAGAAGTATACCGAACTTTGTTTCGTACTTGTGGAGGATTCAAGATCGTTGCGGAGAATCCAACAATAAGCAAGTACGTATGTGTTATCTACTCTGAATTTCAATAAACATTGTGATTTTTCTAGTTTAATGTCTTCTCTTAGATGTAGAAATATAGAGATACGTGACTATTGTGTATTCCTTGCTAGGTTGAGATTATTCCTTTTAATTTCCTTTTAATTTCCATTGCTGGGGAAGCTTTCATTGCAATTTTAGTAAAAAATAACTCTCGATGAACACAAGGTTTAAAATCTAAAAATAAAATCGTACAATGATATATTAACCTGATCTCTAGAACCTTTGTAGGCTTTTCATGAATTCGCAAGTTGATATTTTAGACACGGATTAACAGCCTAGACTTTCATGATCAAACGGTTCCAATCAATTTCTATTAGGTTTATCACAGGCAACCCATGCATGCCATTCCTTGCTACCTCTTTTTAGGGTCACAGTATATGATGCACCAGAAAAGGGTAGTCCATCTACAGCCTGTCACCTCTTCGGTGGTCGCCGTAATTTATTTTGACAATAGATAATATATTTTCATTCTTTGTGATTTCCTGAGTTATAACAATGCATCATAATTATTCATTATTAATTCTTCAGCTAAATTCCAGTCGAACCGTAATAGCAATGATATTAGTGAAAGTTTCGTGAATTCACTTTTAGGCTTTTAAAGAGCACAAGTGAATTCAAAGAGGAAGAGCAATCCTGTGTATTCGAGATACTGAATTTGCTTTCTCATGTCTGCATTGACAATGGTAAAGTTCTAATTGTAAAGGTTGATAACCATTTGTCATTTAATTGCACTGCCCAAAGGTAAGGGACAAACAGGCCCACAAGATAATGACACATCTCACAGCTTAGATGTAAGTTCTTTCCAAGAGGCATTCCCAAAAATTATCTCAAAGATATAAAAGACTGGAAAAGCTTTCAAAGACCCCCATCGTCTTAGGGTTTTTCTAGATATCATTTAGTCTATTTTGTTTTTCTAGATATCATATAGTTTTCTAGATTCTATTTGTCTTTGCAAGGGGCGCCTCTTGATGAATCTGCTTTTCAGTCTAAAGACAACCTGTGGCTATGTATGTACGAGTAATATTTAAGGCCTTTTCTTTTAGTAAATAAAACACCATTTATTGGAACCTTAATGGTGATTTTTTCTACTAACTGATGAATCAACATGTTAGTGATTCCATGACATGACCATTCAGGTCCATGCTTGACGTATAAGGTTCTTGGCCCTGATTTCTGGCACTATTATCACTGCCAAAATTTCTTGGAACGCCCAACACTGCACTGTGCTTTTCCATTTTTCATATTTCCCCAATACTATCACTTCCAGGCCCCTTTCTTCCAAAACAATGTTGATAGTTTAGAAAAATATCACACAAGCTACAAGAAAAAATGTACTCCTTCTTCTTTTTTTCAAGTAAATCAGCATTGTTCTTAGGGGAAGCGGGGGATTGCTGATTTTACCTTTGAGAACTGACACTAGAGTTCCAAGTCCTTTGGCAGTGATTGTACCTTTATCACTATGCTATACTTTCGAATGAGATTTATTTCAAGTTTCTGGGCCTGTTATATAACTTACCCTACTGTTTCTATATATTTCGTACATTTTCCGCTAAAACTTTAACATTGATTTTAAATTTTGCTTGTTTTTAGCTGAAAACACTGAAGAACTTTTAAGCCCTTCATTCCATTCATACTTGCAAAAGTTCATCAAACCAAACTTGCCTTCAAGAATTCGGGCTGCTACTGTGTGCTTGAGTCACAATATTTCCCAGCTTGCAGTTGGAAGAGAGTTTGTTTTGCAAGGAGGAGAGAGCATGTGGTGGGTTATATATATGGTTGACTATCAGTTTCTATTTACATCAGCTTTTCTTTTGTTCAGCCATTTATGGCAAAGTTATTCTCTGCTGGAATTAACCAAGTAGACCTCTAGTACCGCATAATTTGAGAATTGCGTGGAAAAGCGAAAACATAGCATACTAGAGTACTTTTAGTATGTGAGTATAAAATCGACACTCCTCAAAGAATAAACGTTAAAAAATGACTAAAGGTAAGCAGAAATTGATGTCCAGATGCGGATTAAAAGTAGCTTGAGAGCAAGAACGACGCGTGATTTGTTCTTTGTTTTTGACGAATCAACAACCGCTTACCCCTCATATTTTTGGATAGTTTTAGAGAGAAAACGAACTATTTTGCCTACATCTTGCTAATGTTGTAGATTTGGGTGTAGATCATTTTACAGAGGGGTATTTTATTTAATTTCTAACTACCAGTCAGTAGTAAGGAGGTTTACGAATTAAGGAGATTATGGAGAAAATACATTATGCGTAATGATTTTCTTTAATAAAATGTGGCTTTTTCTTTTCAAGTATTCTAGATGAGTTGCTTTCAATATTAACTGCGAACGATGAAACGTCCATGGTCGCAATTGGTGCAATCAACAATTTGGCCCTCTGTGATAAGTATGTCATTATTTCAGAATTTTATCGCCCACATATCACTGGCTCACATTATTTTGCCTAGAAAACTGCTTGAGTATCACTACGTCAAACATCTTTATTCAACAATTGGAACTTACAATAACCGACCTTGCATGTAGGACCCTTTTTGTATTATACCGGATTCACTGCGTAACGGTTTCATTGACCCAGCCCGGTAAAAAAATTACGGTTATTCACAGTATACCGGATTTACAGGATGAGACAAACGACGACAATCATAGTGTTATCAAGATAAAATAAAATTTCAATTTTTTTACCTTGGTATTATTCATGTCAATGTTTCTTGACATTCCATGTTTAATTGACAAGAGAGTAGGTGTTTCCAATTTCCATATGTTTGAAACGATTTCAAACAGTCTTGGTAACTAAATGCATAAAGAGCGTCGATATTCTACACAATTTTTTGTGTTGCACATACCAACATCTAGCCTTCAAGCGTTTTATTTACCTTGTTACGCTGATGCACATTTAGGGATTTGCAAACAAGACAAATTTTTGGATTCTTGTTCATAGGTTGTAGAATTCAATCTGCATTCAAATTTCAAGATAAAATATGTTTTAACTCTGCATTTCACTGTAAATTTTTATTTACCAAGGGCTGTAAACACTTCACGCTACATTTTTAGGCTACCAGCGGAGATGTCGGCGAAAATCTGTGAAAAATTTTCCAACTTTGTCGTGACAATGATGGTAGGTCGAATACTTTTGTCTTCATTTAATTTTTGGTACTTAAAAGACACTTTATTTTTACTCAAATCCTATTTGACAATAAACATCGTCATACCGGTTAAGATATATTAGTAATGGTAAATGGCAAATAGAAGTTGAAGACTCATTGCTAACAATGGGCCTTTGCGAGCGTGGCGACGATCCAAACAATGGCAGTGAACTTCTACGGATTAACCAAAATTGATTTTAAACTGTCTAAAAATGCATTATGGGATGCTTGTGTAGCGCACTGGCTCACTGTTAACAATGAGTCTTTAATGATAGAAGTTTTCCGAAGAGCATGTAGCCTCGTACTATTGTTGATGCCTTGCTAATTGTCCTTATTCTTTATATTGCAGGGAATTCTCAGTAGCATGCCGAATGAATCACAGAAGCCACTGTCTGATTCTCTTTTGTCTTTGGTATCCAAGGGTATTTCCACAATCACTAACTTGTCAAAGGACATGATAACTCGAAGGAAACTTGCGATGAACAAAGATTTATGGCAGAAAAGTGGCGAATTTCTCGTGAGCACATGCTTTGCAGTATATTTATGCTTGTAGGACTCTAGCAAAGAACAGATAATGCCTGTAGCGTGGTGTAAATTGGTCATATTACCGTATATTTGTGCTTTGATACATCAGCATTACTTATGTGAGCCTTAAATGGTAAACGTTTATCAGACGGCCGCAAAACTCTATCCTTGTGGGTTTTGCTTTTCTCGTGTTAAGTGATCACGTTTCTGCAGCCATTGCGTTATAGTTTTCCTTAGACCTTAGAATCAATCAAAAAGGTTGCTATATCATTTCGTATTGACGATTCTGATAGGTATCATGTGAAGAACATCTAGATGACGATGAAAGACGTGATGTGATATTTTCACTGCTTGGCTTGATAATGAATATCAGCCTTGCTGATCAGACCCTCAGCCTTGTGAGTCCTTTTATTGAAATAATTTTGCACTTTAATGTTCTTGAAGAGTATTTATTCCCTGTATAGTTAGGAATTTTTTAACGCCTTACACTTTAGGTATCGTTTTTCAAAAGTCACTGACAAAAATTACTATCTGTTTTTTTATAATGTGGTGGTGATGGTACAGTTTGAGATAGTGCATGAATTTGTAGAATTGAATACACTGACCCATGATTAAGCTGCGTGAGAGCTTCTAAAGGATCATGAAATGCAAGATGCCTCTTTGCAGAGAATAACAACATCAGGTTTTGAGTTTTAACCGTCATTAAATACTGACAAACCGATGTTTCAACCGTCATTAAATACTTGTTTACTGTGAGAGTTGTTAACCAGTGCAACGAAGGTATTTGTGTCGTGACATCCTGTATTTGCCCACAAGTATGGAAAAGTTCCAACTAAGGACTCCTAGATGGCAAAGAACTGGTTGAACTTTCTCCAGATGATGAAAAGATTGATAATGACGAAAGGTTGTCCCCCTCCCCCTTTCATAATGACGACCCTGACTAAGCTTTGCCAAAATGCTATGGGATTGTTTCGTCATCCTGTGTTCCTTGGGAGCCAATGTTGGTTGTGCGTTAAACGGGTTCTTAGGAAAGGCTACTTTGTCATCAAAAGTCGTATTGTAACGCTCAACGCGCTCGATTGAAAAGCTGAACTCGTGCTATGTTCTGAACTAATATAATTTTATCTTGAGTTCTTTCGTGCCAAAATAGGCATCACAGAGCAACCATTGCTTCTTTTAGGAAGAAACAAAACAGATTAATGACTGCTGCTGTCGTCTTCTCACTAGCCAGCATTCCGAGATCGTTCAGGTATTTGCATTGATTACTCTAGAACCTCTGACTTGCTATGCTTTATATTTGTACGCTGAGAATGAAATTTTACAAAAAAATTAATCAATTAGTGCGAAAGTCGTTGATTTGTTTTGAATTGTTGAACGTAGATGGAAAACATCAAGAGAGTTGCGGCAATTCCTTCAGAAAGACTCATTAATATGGTTAAGTATTGTAAAAAGTGCAGAAAAACCACTCTGGTACAATGATACTGTTTTTTCTTACAGAGATCTGCAGGGGTAATAAACCGATTATCGACATCATGTTCAGATTTGGTTCATCATAATTTGAAGTATTCTTATTACAAAAGTTTTGTTACAGTACTAAAGGTTGGTTTTCATATCTACTTTGATCAATTTTATTAAAATATGGACACTTCTTATTTCATCATGTTTAATTGATTAAAGCAACCATCAAACTGGACTTGAAGTTTCTCCACGACTCGTCACCTAATGGAGATCTGAAAGAGAGAAGAGACGAAAAAGTTCATTATCATAGTTGCTTGACATAGTTGTTAGGCAATTTTTTGAGCGATGATAACCTAAACAAAGAAGTAATTTAAGAAAATATTTTTGATGATTCGGTGAAATCTAGTTTTCCTCGAACTATCTAAAAGCATGTTGTTTGTACGCTGAAATTTGTCGTTAAAATTGTGACTGAATATTTAGAAATTTATTACGCTGGGAAGCTGTGGGGGAACAGTTAATCCTTTAGGGCCATGACTACCAAAATCCTGTTTTGAAATGGAACATACAATCTGGTTCAATTTTGTCTTTAAGGTACCAACAAAAGTTGAGATTCGTTTTTCTGGGTTAAAATTCCCCTTCTGAAAAACAACTAGAGTAAAAACTTGACTTGTATTTGTCTGCCCTTGCACATAATTGCCCAATCACCGTTCTTGTCTAAAAAGAAAGAGCGCGTTCTTGGAGTTGTGGATTAGGACCAGCTTCTGGGATAGGCAAGTGTAATAAAATTTACAATTTTAAACAAGCCTAGGCTTCTGCTCTATTGCCGACATTTGGCCATCTTAGCAGAGTATTGTATAGGTTCCAACTTTTCGGTACAATGCTTTTCGGTCTTGCTGATGTCACATGTTGTGGATCCCTACAATACAAACGAAAATGTATGATATTGTAGAGCTACAAATATCTGAAATGTTCCTTTTCAGGGAGAAAATGTAGATGCAAAGAATTACATTATCAAATGCATTGCTCTCTGCTCACCTTACCAATCCGATTTAGCCTCAAGCTTTTTGGATGATAAAGGTATCCATCCGCAGATTATTCTGTGTTTTAGATCTACTTTGCCATCCTGCCAGAGGGTAAACTTGATTTGTGCGTTATTCCTTCAATATATCATTGGATGTCAATTCTCGTTTCACAAAGACATTTTGTTCCTTGGGATGCATGTAGTATGCATGATTAAAGATGGAGCCTTCTTTATATTCCATATATTTATATGTCTCACTTTGTGTGTATTTTAAGCACTTTTTTGCCTTTTTTAAGAGACATTTGCAGCATTTTCCACTTGATGTATCATTTAAATTATTCTGAAAAGCTCTCAATAGGGGCATGTTCTTGCTGTTTATATTCCTCGAAACCTCCAAGTTATCTCTTCCAATACTTTTCTTAGAGCTCGCTCGAGGATTTTACTAGAACAAAGAAAGCTTTCGTAAACCTTTCAAAGTAAAAGTGCATCACCTGAAAATCTATTGTTTTGAAATTTTCCAGTGCTTTGTTCTTGGAGGGTGCTTTCGGAAATCAGAAGCCTTTCTTCAGAACATGTTATATTCTTTACAGAATAAGAGTCTCACCACCTCTCTGAGTTTTTCTAACTTAAGCCTTCACCAAACACGTAACTATCTTTTCATTTGTTTGCAGCTCTTGAAAACCTTATTGAACTTCTCAACTCCGACGCAGAAACAGCCTGCGGAAATGCAGCTCTTACCCTGGGCAACTTGGCAAGTGATCGTATGTGCAAAGTTTCCATATTTTCTTAAAACTTGTCCTTATTATGAACATTTGCTCAAAATTTTCACGCAGTATAAGTAAATCTATAGAAAAGGTCTACAGAAAGATCGGTGAAATCGAGTTTGAATGTAATAGTTTTGTGATATTAAGTGATGAAGCAAATATGTTTGCATAACAGTGTTCTTACGTACTTTGAACATTCAATTATTCATTCAAACAAAGACACTTGAGAAGATAAAGAGGAAATGTTTTGTAAGGTCCGATGTCTTTTCTATTCTCATAGCAAGCCTACTTTGAAAAGTATGTAATATATAAAGACTTCAATTAAAGTCTCGCTTTGCTACAGTAATATTGCTCTCTAGATAAATATCGTCAATTGAATACTAACATGAATTTCGTGGAATGTAGTTCTTGAAGAGCCACAGATGCATTCTGCTCTTATTTGTGTCTTTGTCTATTTCATCAGCAAATGTATCCGTAAAATTAGCATCAACTGATGTTATCCAAGACCTTCTGAGGGTTGCTACAAAGGATAGCTATGCAAATACGGTTAGGCACAACGCTGCTATTGCTATAGGAAAACTGGCCACTTCACATCACAGGTATGTGTATATTTTTTTGCATGTTATATTTTTAAGTAGAAAAATTCCTCTCTAGCAGTTAAACCAACAGCTACACTACTATTGTTCAAAACCTAAGGTGGTACAAAATCATTGTCAAGTGCTGCATACTTGTATTGTCATTAGAGTGAATTATAGAGTAACAGTCCTGGTCTTTTATAAACCTGAAATCTCATTGCAGCCAGAACCAGTTTCCTTGGTCTCCTCCTTATGGGTGAAAACGCCACATCAGAGTCCTTTGAACTGCTTTGAAGCAGCATTTTGAAGCGTGAAGGGTTTATATTTGCTAATTTTGAGCAATAGAAGCAATAGAAGCTGAGATGGTTTCATATTGGCTAATTTCCATTGCTTTGTCAAAATTTAGGCATAAAAGCTTTATATCTTAGCATGTTAGCAATTTTAAATATGTTTAATGAATAAGTGTGTTAGCCATTTCTGTAATTTTTGAGATTTTTCGCAATTTTGTATCGTAAGCAAGCTTTTCAGTTATCCTTTTCATCTTTAGACATCTTGAAAGGCTAAGAGAGCTGCACGGGCTAGAAATTTTACATGAAGTACTGAAAGCAAACAAGCTGACGTAAAATGTCCAAGACTATGTTCAATATGCAGTTCTCCTTCTTGAACGTCGTATATCCCGAGTGTCCAAAGATAATGTTAAGCTCTATGTAGCAAGGGGATGGAGCATTCTTAAACATTCAGACGGCAAATGATGTCCATGATTGGTCATTGCAATGCAACATACTCAGTGGAAGTGTATATAATGTATGTATTGTATTAAAGCTCGTTTTCGAAGACGAGAGTTAAGGGGGATAGACGCTGCTGTGGAATGCGTGGTCAAAATCCTCAGCAACGGTTTTGTTCTTTGATAATCATTCGTTGGTGGCAATAAATGGAGAATTCAGTATTCGCTGACACGCAAGAACTTTTTCCGTAGCTTCAACATGGGAGATCTTAAAAAATTATACTGCACACAATTTTAAAGTCTTTTAATTTCTTGGAAGTAATTCCATAAATCAACTGCCGTTATGATTAGAAGATTTCAGGATTTCAAAAGCAAGTGTTATGGACGATTTTTCATCTCTGTAAGTAGCCTGTAAATTGACAGTGTTTTAGGTAGTTTTTAGTAAATGCAATAAAATCGGTTTTTCCTGCAAGTTTTTCGATTAATGTTGAGATATGCAAGAAAATCTTTCATTTTGCTCCTAAATTAAGTTGTTTACAGATCAGAAAATCAAAAATGTTAGATGAAAAAGACAGAGATTGATATTTCTGGTTGGCTATGACAACTCCTTATCGTGCAACCTCAGCGGGGTTAAAACGAAGCGAACGAAGCGTGTAAATGCAATAAAATCGGTTTTTGCTGCAAGTTTTTCGATTAGTGTTGAGATATGCAAGAAAATCTTTCATTTTGATCCTAAATTAAGTTGTTTACAGATCAGAAGATCAATAGTGCTAGGTGAAAAAGACAGAGATTGGTATTCCTGGTTGGCTATGACAACTCCTTATCGTGCAACCTGAGCGGGGTTAAAACGAAGCGATTTCGTTAATGAAGCATGATACTAGCTGATGCTTCAATGCAGCATTGATCAACTTCTTTTTCGTGGATTTATACTTAAAACAACTTACAACAAATACCAATAATGTTTGTGGGTTGTTATGTTTCCAAGGAGAGAAATCTTGAATTACTGTCCAGGATCAATAAAAAAGCCCAAAAACGATGACTCTCATCCTTTGAGAAAAAGCAAACATGTTCTTTCAGTAGTTAAACATCTGCCTTGCGATTATTGAATTTATATGTTACTCTGAATCTGTGTATATTAACTATTGTAAAAATGATCAGCAAATAATCTATACAATATCATAATGGTGTTTTAATTAAGGTATGTATTGCTGTTTTAGGTGATCTCCAAATGCACTTTATTCGTTTGTTTGTTTTAGCATCCTTTGAGGCTATGATCGATAGGGAATTAATTGTAAATGATTGGGCTTTCCTTATTCATACTTAAAAAATGCTTGAGATTTCAATTCCAAGATCGGTCACTTTTGATTTGGGCTAAAAGTGTGCAATTTCGATGTGATAACAAAACACCAAATTTATTCTTTCAATTTGTGTTCACTCCTATCTCTTACACACAATTTTGAAGAAAGCGCCATCGCAATCCAGGATCACGGTTGTAACAATAGGTGGTAACAGAGTGCTTATAAAAATATTGTAAATTGTATGGAGGCACCTGAATTGAGTTGGTTGGAGCTTTTTGCTGATGATGCTTCATTATTTACCGTAGTAGAGGACTCAAATACAACTGCCAACGACATGAACCATGACTTAGAATTGATAAGTCAGTGGGCCTATAACTGGAAGATGTCATTTAACCAGATCAACACAAACAAGCTGTGGAATTGATATTTTCAAAAAAAATTGAAATTCAACATCCAATGATTCGTTTTAATAACATACCAGTGACGAAAGTTGAAGAACATAAACATTTAGGAGTTGTCCTAGACTCAAAGCTTACTTTTTCCGCTCATATTAAATCAGCTATCTCTAAAACAAGAAAAGGCATTGGCCTGCTGAGACATCTCTCCAAGTATCTGCCCAGACATACTCTTATCGAATTATTCAAGCTCTGTGTGCGACCCCATCTCGATTACGGGGATGTTATCTACCATATTCCGGCTAGAGTGTGTTAATTTAGCGGAAATACAATATTACCAAATTTTATGGAAAAGTTAGAGTCTGTTCAGTATTCTGCAGCCCTAGCCGTTACAGGGGCATGGAGGGGAACTTCACGGGAAAATTTGTACGCTGAGCTAGGTTGGAAGTCATCAAGTTCCCGAAGATGGAGTAGACGCCTTACATTGTTTTATAAAATAATAAATAACATGTCCCCTGCATATACAGCAGATCCTATCCCGTAACTTCAACAGTCACAATATTCTCTTCGCAAACAGGATGTCGTTGGGCGTTGGGCGGTTAAATTTAGGTTTGAGTAAGGGCAATTGATGTCACTGTGTTGAACACTCTATAAAAGTTTGGGATTTCGAAGAATTATACCATCCTCTTGACACACCAACTTCATGTTTGAATGGTTATTCGCCTGTCTTTAATATATTTGATTGATGCAGAATATTTTTTTCAAAAATGATGAGCAAGTATTTTTTCACATTCAGTAATTCTTGCTATAGCCTGCGTGCAGACTTTACTTTCCGTTGCGAAGGAGAAGTAATACGGAACACGAGTACATGAAACACGGAGTACAAGTTCCGTCCTGGCTCTCCTTCGCAACGAAAAGTAAAGTTTGCACGCAGGCTATTCTTGCTAGCATAAATGGAGTACCGAAGTGTGACGTCATCAAAAAAATCTATATTTAGAATTTCTTAATTTTGATCAATAATCTGAAAGAATTGAAAAAAGTACCTCTCAACTTGCAAAATCATTTAGTTTATGTTCAAAATTGGGCGAAATATGGCCAATAAAAGACTTCAAGTTTGCTAACGGATTACTGTTTTTCTGGCCTGGTTCATAAAGCTTTGAACCAATACCAGACCAAATTACAGAGGCTTGATGGGGAAGAGCCTGTGCTTATGCGGCCATATCTCAACTGTTTGTTACACATTCAACTTATTTTTCACATTTAGAGCTATTTCATAATGTTTTTGTCTAGGTTTTATGGTCAAAATTCATAAATTCTCAAAAAAATTCTGTGCTACATTATTACTTTGATACTTTATTTTTGTGCATATTCTTGATTCAGAAATAAAGGGCTCTAGGGTTTTATATAATACCAAACAATGGGTAGGAGGAGATCGAGTCACAACATATCTTTTTGGAATGTGTATACAATTAGTGAATACAATCCCTATTTAAATCCACACACATTCATAGTTTTTCCTATGAATTCAACAATAAATATATAAGTCATTGCATCCTTTAGCCCTTCCTGGTCTTTGGGCACAAAAACATGCAAAATGATGGAAATATAACTGAGAAAATTTGAGATCTAGATTTTTCATAACTTGAGTGATTAATAATCATATGGTGAAGTGGTAAATAGCTGTCCTCTGCAGCATAACAATTAATATTGGCTGTGAACACAGATTGGATCCATAATTTGAACACATATGATTTTGAAATTAACATACAATTTTCTTAAAGATTATTTTTACTGTGAAAATCCAATTAGAAATCCACTGTTGTGATATAAATTCTTTCATCTAAGCTGAGCAACACAAAGGACAGAAAATGATATCCAAGTAATCCTTTAAGTTGATCTTAATACCCCCAAAAACATTTCCAGGCAATTACAAAATACATCATGACTTTACAGATAGATACAGTGATGGAAAAGTGTTTTGCCTTAATTGTTTGGTGTAAGTCCTTTGCTAATCAAGAAAGCATCTTGGCTTGGTTCTCTTCCTAAGAAATTCTTTACCATATCAATGGCATCAATGCTGCCACCAGGCATTAGAATCTTGTCTCTGTAATCTCTACCAACTTTTGGAGACATAATGCCCTCTTTTTTGAACCGTGAATGGAACATATCCATGGAGTAAACTTCACTCCAAAGGTACCCATAATACTGTGCATCATACCCTCCAGCTAAATGGCCAAATGAGGCTGACATATTAGTGCCAGCAGATGGGGAAACTTTCATGATTCTTTCTGCAGTTTCAGCAAATACTTTCATTGTATCTGCCTTTTCCCTTGTGTGAATTGCTTGGTCAAAGGTACCAAGTGTTATCTGCCTTAAATTGAACATTCCAGCATTAGCAAGACGAGAGTTAATAAGCTTTTCTAAAATTTCATCTGGAATTGCACTGCCATCTTTAAAGTGTTTTGACATTCTTTGTATTGGCTCTTTTTCCCAGCACCAGTTTTCAAGCATTTGTGATGGTGCCTCTACAAAATCGCGCTCTACATGAGTGCCACTAAACAAAGCAAAATCTGCTCTCGCACAAATTTGATGCATGACATGACCAAATTCATGGAAAAAGGTTTCTACTTCATCATGAGTGAGCAATGATGGCCTGTCATCACCTGGCTTAGGAAAGTTAGCAACCATTGCAGCCACAGCAAGTTGCCTCTTTCCATCAGGCTTCAAACACCCTGGCTGAATGCCGAAACAAGCAGCATGACTGAATTTCCCTTCTCTTGGAAAAAGGTCAAGGTAGAAGTAGCCAATCACTTCTTTGGTATCCTTGTCTATAACAGAAAACATCTTCACATCTGCATGCCATACATCTGGGTTGGCTATTTCACAGAATTCTAAGGAAAGCAGTTCTTGATACATCTCTAGAAGTCCTTTAGTGACAACATCAATTGGGAAATACTCCTTTAGCTTGTTGTGATCAACAGAATACTTTGTTTCTTCAATGATGCGCATGTAATACTTTAAATCCCACATGTTGATCTTTCCATCATAATCCCAGCCATGCTTCTCATATTCTGCTTTCTTTAATTGCAAAAGTTCTTTAATTTCTTTTTCTCCTAAGGTGTCTAACTTTTGTGCAAGTTCTGACAAGAAGTTTGCTACATTCTCTGCAGTTTTGGCCATCCTCATTTCTGTAATATAAGCAGCATGAGTTGGATAGCCAAGGAGTGATGCCATCTTTGCCCTAAGCTCAACCAGCTCCTCAAGGATTGGGGAGTTTTCCTTCATGCAGCGAGAACTGAATGCAGCTTCCATTATTCTCCTGGTTTCTGCATTGCTTGCCTTTTTCATGATTGGAAAGTAGTGGGGATACTTCAAAGTGACTTGAAGCTTACCACCATCACCTTTATCTAAACTTGAGATAAAATCTTCAGGTAGGCCATTTAAATCTTCCAAAGTGAATTCTAGAATAGTGTTCTCTTCGTTTATGTTCTTGTTGAAATCAATTGATAAATCACTCATTCTTTTCTTGATAGCTTTGATCTCACCTTGGACCTCACTTGACAAATGGAGTCCATTTCTTTTACCATACTTGATCAATTTTTCAAGAAACCTCTTCCCCTCAGGAGGCATAGATTCATTCTTTTCCAGACAGGCCACCAGGTTGTTGAAGACATCTTTTCGCATGCTCATTTCAACTTCAAAATCTGACAATTTCTTGTCAGCATCAGTGGAAGCTCCTCTCGTCTCTTTATCTGATGAAACATGCTGGGGAAAGTCGAGCACATTTCGCCTTGTGTCATAATCTGATTGATTGTTAGCCATGGTCTCGACAACATTTTTGTAGGTAGCGTTTGAGGCATCTAGGCCACCCACAGCATCATAAACCTTCCTTGACTTCTCGATCAGCTCCAAAGTTGCTTTCTCGATATCATCCTTCTTCATATTCCACTGAAAAGAGATTCCGTCAATTTGTTTCGATTGCATCTTGGCAAGATAGTTTAACTTGAATACAGAGTTGTAAGCTTTCTTTTTCAACAGCACGATTACAGAATTGCAAGGCCCAACCTTCTCAAATCCCAACACCAGGTGCAAGCGCATAAATTGAATTGGCAGCCATCGTTTAGCTAATTGGGGTCTGGGACGCGTCTTGCACCAATCAGCTGCTCGTTTTCATCCTTGGATTGTTATGAGTAGTCATGACAGCAAGGGAGGGACAGCCAAGGAGGACAGTTAGGGAGGGGTAGCTAGGAAGGGAAACCCTGGGAGGGATAGACAGGGAAGAATATCCCGTTTGTTACGTGAAAACCTTTAGTTGGCCAAAGAAGTCTAAATGATTATGACCAAGGGACGAGGCATAGCGGGAGCTGGATTTTTAAGGGGGAGGCTCAAGCCAATATTTTTCTAAAAATCCGATACTATAGCAAGATTTCAGATATTTTTTTAAAAATCGGTTTTCTAGGGGCTGTAGCCCCACCCTCGGGCACAGCATCCCTGTTTTAGGGCAAAAGTCGTCTTGATTTTGAAAGGAGGCAAAAGTTTCCAAAATAGCCACCAGTTTGATCATTGATGAAAAGGGCCCGTTCGCTCTTTGCTTGACTCATTCTTCGCTCTACCGTTTTTCTAGAGCTGAAAGCTCTTTCCAGTTGTTGAATTCTTTTCACCTCTTCCGGATACCATGTTGTTGCAGTTTCTAAAAAAATTAGCTAAGAACCATTTAGCTGTTAAGCGCCTCTTGCGCAGAAGATGATCGGCACGACATGTATCATTGCGAGTCCTGGCAAAAGGTACCTTAGAAAAGGTCCATTAGAAGGGGTTTGCAGGACATCGATCAAACATGAACCACATGACACATGGTAAAATAACGTTCTGAAAACGTTGATTCTCTTAAGTGAGTTAGAATGAAACATGAATATATTTCAAAGCATTCTCACTTTTTTCAAATCTGATATGGTTTCAGGGGAATATCGCCCTCCCTCCAATAGAAACCATACTTCTTGGAAAAATGAGATATGTCATTCATACGATTCTCTGTTATGAGCATTGCAAAGTAGGCAACTGCTGAAAAATAAGACAAACATATGTGAGTTGATGCTGAGCAATATTCTTATAAAATTCATAAAAATTGGATGATTATGATTCTGAGCCTCAATATTCTTTTAAACAACGTTATTTTTAAAATAGAGTTGAAGAGTTTTTTTTAAATACGGACGTCAAGATAAGGGCCTCAAAATTCTTAATGCGGTCATGGTCTTGCTTTGCATTGGGAAGTTCTGTAATGGCATATTGTTGAAGTTGATTCGCTTGTTCACATACTTTAAAGTTCCAAATAGATCTTAATAAGTTAAAAAGTAATTGGGCGCATCATTTCCAAGAAAGACAAAGCAGAAGTAAGCCACCAAACCACAGAACGTCCCACGGTCTGTTCAGTCCACGTGGTTCCAGCCTCGCAATGAACAGACGTTTGATGGGCCTAGTCAAAGCTGTCAACAACAACTAACTGGAAGATTTCAACGAAGCCTTAGATTAAGTATACGATCAAAGGTACAGTAAAGTAGGAATTTAGAATACAATTTGAGAGTGAGCAGGTCTACGTATACAGATATTTGATTTGAATCACAATCAACTAATAAGTGTCACTGTGATGTATCGTAGGGCCTAGCTGATACTCTGTCAAGTAGATGTTGCTAACCTTAGAAATCGGGTTATTTCGAATACGCAGAACAAGAATTGATATAGGCTTTTGCAGAAATAGTGTACAATGATTTTAAGGTTGAGCACCATAGAATGAAAGGTTACAAATGAGTTTATCCTCAGTTGGCAGTCAGACTATCCCTCAGTTGGCAGTCAGACTGCAGGGTATAGCAAGTGCACACCAGGGGTGTGGTGGTGGGGGTGGGGGAAGCTGAGGGGGCGCAGCCCCCTTGTTTCCTTGTTAAAACTTTCAAAGAGAGTGGGGGGCTCAGCACCCCATATCTTTTGTGCTTGGATACAGCAAAGAATCGTGTAACACAAAGAAAACTGTGAAGAATTGTTGCTTCACCACAGGCTAGCCATGACGACTAAATCAGAAAATGAAAAGAGGTACAACTGACAGATCTAAATGCATTGCAAGCTTCATATGCATGAAAATGCACACAAAGTTTGACATATACAGATAGAAAATTGTTAAATGATTTCCTACTGAGTGTAAGTTTTTATAGGCAATTGGTATTAATTGTTGCATTTAGAAATGGGGTTTATTGCCTGAATCAACAAAAGATTGCTATTAGCTGATTCTGTCTCTCTTACTTCTAATATATGATGTACTACACTCTTTTTTCTAAGAATAAGATTACTTTTGCCAAAACCTAATGTTCTTATTTTTGGATAATTTCAGCCTTGGGTGTTCTTATCGTTGTTCTTTTTGCGAAATTGATTTTCTATATCTGCAAACTATGAATACTTTCTAAGACCCTGAATAACAGTTTTCATGACATTTTTAGTTGCATGGTTCATTAGCTGACAAAATCTGCTCTATTTTTTAACAAGAGAGAAACTGTGTCAATTCAAAATCAAAACAATGGGTCATAACTATTGAAAAGAAGGCTTACTAGTATTGCCTAGGATCTACCTTATCAATGTGGTAAATGTTTTAGATGCATTTTCTGGCCATCCTTAGAATGCCATATCTCAACCAACCATGGTGGCGGCTTTCAATAAAGCCCTGAGCAATATGAACATTTTATCATTTCACATTCAATAATGTTGAGACTCCTAAGGTACTGAGGTTCAGATCTCAGCTGCTGCTTTACCAGTCAATGTATCTGGCTGCTCAATCAATGATCGGAAAAACATCAACCCCCATGACAAGGTTCAAATTGCAAGATTACATGATAAGAAGAATCTTTGATATTTCATTGAGCCCCCCTTGTTAAACTTTTACAACCACATCCCTGGTGCACACCCAATACATTTTTTCTAAAAATGTCCCTGCACACCTGGCAAAGGGTGTGGCATTTTGAAATATGGGCGTGATATGGGTGTGTCCTATTGCTTAGGGGGAAATGGAGAATTTAATTTTCTTCTGGATCGACATAATTTTGCATTGGCTTGATAACAAAATAGCTATCAATCATGTACATTTTCTTACTTCATTCATATTCCCATCTCAATTGATATTCTTGGGATCTAAGATAGTTGTGTGTACTATTGTGCACAATTGAAGTGCACACTTAACCAAAGTGCACAATTGAAATTTTGCTCTTGCTTACCCAAGATCTCTTTGGAAATTGCTGTACTCTGCAGTTCAGAGACCATTGACAATAGTACATACTGTGTACTATTGTCAATGGTCTCTGAACTGCAGATAGTTAAATGGGTCTTCTGTTAATGTTAATGCTTTCTTTGACCACTAATTTTCTTTACCATTACACTGCTCTGATTCTTCAGATAACAAAAATGAATGAGGAAGAGTCACTAGAAAATGACTTTGACAAGGAAAACTGCCCAAGCCATTCTTATGCAAAAAGTATAGAGCTGCCTGCCGAGGAAATTTTTAAAAACTTACACAATGCAAAGAAGTTTGCCATTGATATTGGTATGTTGTTTAAAGATAAAGTTTTTTTGATGTTTTAATGATTGTTTTTCATGATGTGTTGAGACATATCCATAAACAAGACTAAGCATTGGCAGCCTGGCATTCATTAAACACCCCTCCAAAAGCTTATACTTAATCATCATTCTAGGGATGTTGTGACATTTGACTTGAACTGATTGCTGAAAATATACCCTCTTCTTACCTAAATGCATTTGACAAACTGTGAAAGAGGTAGAGACCATCCTTTGCCTTGAGATAGTGTTGATGCTATTTCATTACATGACATAACATTATTTTTGGTGTATGTTGTTGTATGTTGCAAAGAGGGATAATGAGGATGGAGTCTCTGTAAAGTTATGCTGATATTATACATATTTACAGGTGGGTCGTTAGCAAAAGTTGCATATTTATCAGAGGTTAGCAGAATACGTGCAAGGCATTACAGTAGAAGTGGGTCTTTCATTGGTCCAAAGGTCTCAAGCAGTAGTGATTGTGTAGCAATTGATAATGAAGCAGGAAAACAGGTGAGAGAGAGTATGATTTCCTACTTTTGTTATACCATGAAGGCACAACCAGCTTATCTCTTGTAATAGATTTATTCCTGAAAGTTCCCGGGATTGATATAGCTAAAAAATATTATCAGAATATTAAAGGTATTAAACAGCACATGTGCGAGCAAAAAAGACTTAGATGAAGGTCACCCTTAAGAGAAGTGCCTACCTACCCCTCTCTCCCTCCATTAGACTTCTTTATCTTCACACATTTGCTCACTGTAAATAGATATAGGCTAATTTTTTTTAGGTTTTCATACATAAAATTGTGCTCAGTCAAAAACTTGCGCTTAGTTTTATAAAATTACTTCGCATATTAAAGAATATTTATAAAATCTCACTCTTATTAAAACCTATAAAGTAACTTATTAAACCAATCCCATCATTATTGAAGCCTATATGGCATTGTAGTTTGTTGTTTTGCCATCTTGTAGCCCATCTATACCGTGGAAGAAGAGCAAGAAAGAGGTGCAAAGCTGCACTTTATCAAATTTGAAACAAAATTAATCGAAAGCTGCTTAGATTTTATCCAAAAGAATATTTTAGAACATGGGAGCGAAATCGAAGACAAATCAATGAAGGCCACTGGTAAAAAATGATTATGATAATAAGTTTTTATTCTATAATTTGTTTTTACTTGATCATAAGTTTATTTTTTGAAGAAGTAAGCTTGAAATTTACTTACGTTTTTGGTTCAAACATTGAGTTCTGTAATCGTAAAAGTAAAAATGATCTCTGCAATCTTAAAAAGATGTGAAAGTATCCCAGGATCTCTGTAAAATTAGATTGCTTAAAAGTATTTCAGATTATTGCTTTTCAGTGAAAGATTCTTGTTCTGCTTAAAAGCCAGTTTCCAAAATTTTGCATGCTGGTTCGGAAAGGTTTTGTTATCTTTTATTATCTTATGTTATCTATCAATTTTAAACTTAGTCAGACTCTACCTGCTTTATAAGGCTAATTTGAATCGATTATGAGCTCAAGATAACGATAAAGCAGACTTCTGGAAAAAATTATTCAATTATTTTGATTTTTATTTCTTTCTAGGTGGCGGAGCTTACAAATACACGAACCTGTTATCATCTAAGCTTGGAGTGAAGTAAGTTTTATTCATTTAGTCTTATTTCAAGATGGCTTTAAAAGGATAAAACCGTTTTAGAAACCATACTCTACCGACAGTCATTAAATTGGGTTTAATGTTGACAAAATTTTCTATTAACCTTACCCTCTCGGAATCGAAATCATTTTCTAACAACCTTTCCTACTTTGAGTAACAAGTCTATGAAACCATTTGCACCTAAGTTTTTAGCTGCCGCAGACCTCTACAAACTATCTAAAAAATTCTGCGCTGCTTCAAGATACTTGAATTACATTCGGCATCCTCCGCAGTGCTTTTTTTGTCCGAGTCCAGTACAGGACTTCATCTTCAACAATCTATATACACGTTCTAAATTCCGGATTCTTTATTTGAGATATTTCCGGATACCGTATATTTCTTTTAGTATTTTCTTGTCCCTTGCTCTAGGGTCGACAAGCTTGATGAAATGGAGTGTTTGATTAAAGGTTGCAACTTTTTGCTGAAAAACATTCCGAACGAATGTTTTACGTTTCAAAGAGGCGATGATTTGAAGAAACCGAGATACAATTTCCAAAATGTCGACTCTCGTAGCTTATTTCCGTATTTATTGGTAAACATTGGGTCTGGAGTCAGTATTCTTAAGGTAAGGAATTCAAATGTAATGCCGATTCTTACGATGCAACTAATCATTGCAAAGATGTCTATATTTAGAACCATTAAGTCATCACCATTTGACTTTGAAGTAGATCTAAGGAACAAACAGGGGATCAATTTCAAGAAAATCATTTAAGTCATTTCCATTCAGGTCTTCGTCTTAATCTGCCTTTACAACGAAGCACCCTCTTATTCTGTAAGCCTAGTAGGCACAATCTATAAGACATTATTCGCTGCAAATAAGACCAAAAACAATAACTATAACATATATCTCTGTACCTACAGACCCACTGGTACTCCCCTTCCCACCTTGGGTCTCATTTTTCCAGAAAATGAATAGCAATTTATGACATCTCTTTGTCTTATGTAAAAAAGGTAGACAGTGAAAGTCAATACGAACGAATCGGAGGGACAAGCACAGGTGGCGGGACATTTTGGGGACTGGGTTCACTTCTGACTGATGCAAAGGTAAATTGTGTTTTATGTATCATTGTTGCTTGACTCTTAAACTTATTGGCATTTCTGCATAATTTTTTTATCTTGCAATTATTAAATATTATCCTAACTAAAAGGAAGGCTCTACAGCATTCCAAGTGTATGTCTATGTCTTGACGTTTTCATTATATGACGAATTTAAAAAACATACTGATGATATTTTGATGGGGTTTATTTTCAACGGCAAGCTCCTTTTGTGACCAGCAGATGTTGCGAGTTCTTTGCTACTCCATAACTATCAGTTCTCAAACACTTTGCCTCTGTTACGATGTATAAGTCATTTTGCTATAGATACTTTCCTTGAATCAATTAAATACTTTGTCATCAAAAGACAGTAAAATTATCTGGAGTTCTGTCTGATACTATCCGATCTGGTGCGATCTTATCTTTTCTCTCCAATCAATGATGTTTCACTGCATAGTCATTCCAATCCCACAAAATAAGTTCCAACGAATAAGAAAATTCTAGAACTGTTAATCCATGCTTAAAATGCAGTCTTCTGCTTGAGGTGACTTTTTGAAAGGTTTCGTCTAACTGTTTTCGATGTTAGAAGGTTTAGATATGGGTCAACATTGAACATTGCAAGTGCCTAAGTATAATTTTTGCTACAGGGCTTTGATGAGTTGCTGCAACTTGCAACGAATGGTCAGCACAAAAATGTCGATATGCTGGTGAGTATTTTCAAGAGCTTAAAAATTCGAATACGTATTTGAATTTAGCGAGAATACACCAATTCAGATTATAGTCTCATTTTGAAAAAATTTTCAAAATTCTTTTGTACATAATTTTTGACCTCATATTTACAAGTTTTCAAACTTCGTTCTCCGTAAAGCCTAAAATACAAGCACAAACAATATGAAAAATGTATCCGGCCTATATTTATGGTGATAAAGCCAAATCTGAGCTTAACAAAGTCGTACAAAGAAATTTCCAAAACAAGACCTAAAGTTCAATTGGTTTATAGAGAAACCGGGTGTAGTGAATCGCGAAGCCAGTTTTTTCTGACTTTTGCATTTTGCTACAACTGCTGCTATAAAAAGCATGGACGCTTTGAAATCTCGATATAAACTCTCTTTTTTTCGTTTGGCAGGCAAAAACTTTCATGTAGATTGGAAGTTCTGCTCTAGATTTTAATTCTGTTTTCACTCATTGAGCTTTTGTAAAGATAGGTTTGTATTTCAAATTGCACTCTATTCTATATGGAAAGCTGAACACTTACATACCTGAGGTGCACAATTGAGAAGAAATGCACACCCAGTTCCTCGCTAAAAATAGCCTTACAACCGACTCATACATATTGACAACGATGTTTAAACGTAAGATATTCCAACGTTCCACATTTTACCCAATGCAAACCCCACGAGTCCTGCAGTCAGTTTCCTTTCGTTACAGCAGTGTCTTTTCGCAGGTCAAAGATATTTATGGTGGTGATTATTCCTTACTTGGTCTCCCAGGGGATGTTCCTGCTAGCAGTTTTGGAAAAGCAGCTAGAACGTCTCGCGAGGACAAAAAAGGTCTGCTCATTTTTTATTTATAGCTGGTAGATTCTGCTCCAAAAATTATGGTTCACAATCCAACTGTATCTTGAACCAGGCGCAATACGCGAACCACAACATTTGGTTACGATTTTGTAACTAATGTTGATTTTTATACTAGGCCCATTCGTTACTTTGAAGGCTTATTTCACAGCTCCGCAACAACCCTAGCATTTCGTTTGTTCATGTGCATGTTTTCCGAAACAACACACCAACTCTCTCTTTTTTGCCAGCGATTCATCGGATCAACATTCACTTCCTAGCACCTCCTTCCTTTTGTTTACGCCTGCGCTTCGCATATAGTACTAATTTTAGATATCCATTTGCATAAATTTTAGTCTTTTCTTTGATCAAGATTTGTCCAGAATGTTCTATTTCGTATACAGCTGTTGAGTGACAAAGCAATTATAATCACTGATGGGAAATACATTAGAGCAGCAGTGATGTGCTATCCTTATTTAATCCCGCTTTCAAACACTCGTAGTTTTTGTTTACATTTGAAAATACATGCGCAGGTAAAGTGCCTTATTTTATGTTGAAAATTATTAAACTTCGTGGTTGTTTCCCTTTAACCTCAACCTTATCTAGGGGCCAGAGGGTGCTCATTTGAGTGACTGGGCTCATTTTGGGGGTGCTCATTATATTTCTGACTCTTTTCGCAACTCTATTTAGGAGGGGGCTTTAATTCGAGGATGTACGGTATCTCTCAGCCCTAAAATATTTTATTAGCGATTTCTAATAAACTCTTGAACTCTCTCGAAGGACAGAACCCCACCTTCAATATGAACTAGAAATCTTTTTAAAGCGGATAGCAATTTGATGGCACGTCGACTCCACCTATTGTCAATGCAGATTAAGCATTGCCATGTTTATCTTCTCCTTCATGAGCCCATATAGGCTTTCGCATTGCATTGCATTGAACATCATGCTAATAAGTAAATATCGTCGCACTAATTTGTTTTTGAAAACCAACGAGGAATTTTTGAAGAATCTGTATGTTAGGACCATGAACTTAAGCGAAGACGGACTGTCTTTGACACAGACCAGGATTGCCAGATTGGGTTTACAAAAGAAGGCCAGACAACTCGGGCCAAAATGCTCTTAAAAAGACAAAATACAAAAAATTCTCGAAAATACATTGCGCTGGCCCTGTTTTTATTTCTACGCATTTGTCTTTTGAATGATTTTTCAACTCAAATAAGAAACTTACTTTTTGATTGTTAATAGTTAGGATAGGCGATAATATTTGACATTCGGGTAGCACACTGTAATAAACTACTAATTACTCCATTAATGTAGTTATCACTCTTTCAATTTAAAATTTCTGCTGAAAGAGGCCAAAAGGAAAAATTTAAGTGGTAGGCCAAAAACAAATTTTCCAGGCAATTTAACTATGAAAAAGGCCCAAATTGGGAAATTTGATCTGAAAAAGGCCAATCTGGCAGAAGAAAAAACTTCTTCTTGGAGAACGCAAAGAGCTAGGGAAGCCTGTACTTTGTATGCTCTATTGCTTAATTTAAATATTTCACTTCTTTTATAGGAAGTGCTTATGACTCTGGTGACCTTGTGAAGAGCCTACTACATATGATTTGCAATGATATAGGCCAGGTATTCATTTGAATTTTTGTTCAAAAATATCTGGGCCACTAGATGTAAGCATCCGGTCTTGTGTTGCATAATCTAAGCTCCGTGAATCGCCCCATTCTCCCGGGAACAGAAGGGAAAGAATGGTTGCGTGCTGGTTTATAAACAATAAAGGATTCTCTTGTGTTCACATTATAACGACAAGATATGTTTTGTTCCCTTCTTAAAGTTCGTTTGTTTCGGAATTTTAGCTGAAACATGAAGTTTAACAAAACAGGACGACTTTGGTCTCATCTTAACACTTTTTAGATATATTGCTGTAATATCTAATTTTGTGATTTTCACGGAGGATCGGAAGAGCCTACCTGAAGTTCTTATTTTTTGAGAACGTCCTATTTTGCAAATAAGCACACTCTAAATCTCATGATGTCAAAATCTGCCATTTTAGAATTTTTTTTTGATCACGTGAGAGGGATCACGTTCTTTGCAATGTTTAAAAATTTCCTCCAGCCCTCTTTCAGTAATTCTTCACTGCATTTGGTCTACCAATCAATCAACCGTCATTCTTCCTCTTCCGTTACATCGACTCGCACCAGAGTCGCATATTTCCTCTTATTTTTTGGCCATTATCCGGAGGTGTTCTGTATGGTTTCGAAGCGAATAGTGCTTTAGTATATCAGGTTGATTCGTAGTATTTTATTACAAAGCTGAAGAGTTTATCATGTTTGCAAATTGAATGTGAATACGAAATAATAAGATTTCAAGTGCTGTGATCCCGTTGCCATTACATGAAATCCATATCTATGTCCCATATCGTTTTTCAAATATAATATCTTTGCAGGGAAGTGACTTCAATTTGTTTTGTTCTGGCTTAAGATTTCAAATTTTTTCAATACAATATAATCCGGATTTTGCGAAGCCCGCTCATAGCGAGCTTCTCGCTATTACGAAGGGAATATTTGGTTCCTTGGAATTCTCCCTTTGTAGCCAGCCTCCGTAAAATGTACTCCCGCTATAACGAACTTAGTTCTTGGTCTCTACAGAATTCGTTATAGCGGGATTCCACTGTTTAAAGGTAGCAAAATATAATGCTCACCTTTGGTAAAACTGCTGCAAGTTAAGTGTAATGCGCCAATCAGGTGCAATGCGCTAACCAGAACAGAAAATATCTTGTATGTTCAAGACTTGGTATAGTTAATCTTTAATCTACACCTTTTGGTATAGTTAGTGGTAGAACAGAACTAAAATTGAAGTCACAAAATCTTTTTCAGATATCATCTCTATATGCTCAGATTTATGGCCTTAAAAGAATTTTCTTCGGTGGATATTTCATCAGAGGTCATCCACTGACAATGCACTCTATTAGTTTTGCTGTCAACTTCTTCTCCAAGGTGAAATTTTTTTACATTTTTATTCACGTGATCTCTAAATTTAGATTTCTTATTTACCTCCAATGATAATTCTTATTAGACAAACCTAATGCAAAGTTTTCTAATGCTCAATATTCCAAAAATATGTCGCTGCTTCTAATAATAGTTAGCCTTGCGATCTTTCTGTACTGTACTGTCAAACTAAGTTGTTTTCCGTATACGACAGATAAACCACCGGTAGATCACAGGATAGGTGTTTGTTTAACTTGGACGCTTAGTAAACCTTCTTGTTTCGATTTTGTATATTCCATGCCTAACTGTTGAATAGTGAGTACCGCATTCTATGTACTGCGGATCGTCATTTATAATATACGGTGAGCTAGCGATGTATACGTCATACATATAGCTCCAGTAAGCTTAACAGTGAATATGAAATGATACTTACTTGTCGTTGCTTGACAGGGCGGGCAGAAAGCTTTATTTCTGAGACACGAAGGCTACCTAGGTGCTGTTGGTGCATTTGTTACTGGGGCGATGGAAAATGGTTAGTCCTACGGAATCTGTATTACACTTTATTCTAAATTAGTGAATTAAAAACACTTTTGTTTATGTTTTGATTTATTCGTATTTTTATTTCCATTCTGATGCTTTTGATTGCCACATTTTTTTAATTCTAATTAAGTTCCTTGGATACACGGTCCTTAGGAGTTGCTTGACGAAGATTGAATGATTAAAAGTACAGTAATTTTATCAATTTTCCGGCTTATAGTCTAAGGATATATTCTAGCTAAAGGTGCTGTCTAGTGTTTTTTTGGGGTTTCAACACACCATCAAATAATTGTCAGTCTGCAAAATCGTGCTCGATATATGTTGATTTTGTGAATAAAGAAAAGTTCACGATAGCAGTCTGCTCGACGGATTCCAAGGAGTTCTTGCGGCGAAAATTGGATGGAAATGTAGCAAATAAGAAACACCGCAATACGTAAAAAGAGTGAAGGCTAATATTTTGCCCCGGCATACGGGGCTTTCTTCTGATAAGCCATTTTCAGTCAAATATTGAGCGTTGTTATGTTTAAAGAGTTCAAGGACTCTCCTATTCAATATCTGAGAACTGTGTTTCTTCGCAGCATTGACATTGAACAATGGGCTTGTTTCATGGGGTGAAAACTACGCCGGAAGTTCCGGCCTGTCTGCTGGTAATGGTAAAGGAGAAGAAGATTCGTTAGATGTGGTACGTCGTTCCTTTGATTTAGATACGAAGAGTCTTTGAATGCTCGTTACAGCCACAGGCAAGGGCTCTATCCTTGCTTCTTGCTTACTTAAAGTTTACTTCAGGTGGTATTTGGTTGTATGAATCAGTTTCTGTTTTAACTTCATAGACAAATAAATCAATGTACAACTAAAAATTCATTATACAACACCTGAATTGAAATTGAGAAATTGATATACAAACACAACATGACAAAAATTTCTTACTATAATTTACTGAATAGGCTAACAAAGAGAAAAGTTGCAAGACAAGAAATATATGTACCTAGTCAAATCTTAAAGCTCATTTTTCAGTTTTGAAAAGTCCAGCTATCCACAAAATACTTATCCACAAATTTGTGCCACATTCAAGAACACATCCTTAAATGACACCTGATGAATTACTTAAAAATGTTAACCCGGATCAGCTGCTTTTTAGAATAGTACCCAGAACAATTTTGGCCAGTGTCATCTTTGCCTTTTATAGCAATATAATTGTAAATACTTTTTAGGATGATTTCTTGTTAAAAACTAACCAGTGATCTTCAAAAATGAACGCCATTGAATGAATTTCCATTAATGCCGTTTCTTTCTGTTGAGACCTAAGATGATTGTCATTTGTCTCGTAGTTTGATGTATTGGAATTGGACCAATTAAGCAACGCACTCGTATCTTGCCCTTTGTTGCTGAACCCTGATAAATACAAACCAGACTTAGAGGATCTTGTTGCCGATGAGAAGGCGAGGGATTATTGGTTGAACTGCTTTGAGCAGGGCATAGATGTGGTGAGCTTTCCTTCAATTTTTACTGATTTTTTGTTATTTCACATGTAAGGACTCCCCGTTCAAGTGTATCAAGCTTTCAATGCTTCTAACGCTTCATGATTTGTCAACGTTTAATCTTTTCCATTGTCAGGTTTTTGTCTTTTCTAGCCAATTAAAACATATTGGGGTTATTAATTAGATACAGGTTATTTTAATTTCCTTTTTCAAAACTTTGCCTTTAAGATTTTTAGTTTTGGTTTTCAAATTTCCAAATGAGTGTGGAAAAATCTTAACTAGACGATCGTTTCCTTAAGGTTATTTCCCAAAACACAACTACAAATTTTGAAATTTTCTTTAATATATTTAGATTGCTTGTCCTAATTATGATTTATTTTCGAAAATATTTATCTCAGACCTTGCCTTTAAAAACCAAATGCTCAAAATAAAATTTTATTGTTCTGAAAGTTGACCCTTATGTTTTCCGTCTAGTTTGTAGATCAAGCTGTACAAAGTCAATCTGGGAGGGAAGATGCGAGAGAAAGAGGAGAGAAATTCAGAGACCAGTTTCTTCACCGCATTAAGATTCTCCGCAGTCAACCATACAGATTTGGCGGACTTTTTGTAAGGACGTTACTTGACACAAGAGAGCAGTTCCTCGTATCATTTGGTTTTTACGATCCGTATTTACAGGTGCGTGGAAGTTTCATTGCATTGAAATTATGTTTTGTTTTGAAATATCCAGCTTTCTGAATGAATGTTGCTGCGTATCTTGCTAGGGGCTTGCGCAGCAGAATGTTCGACGATGTTGTTTTGGATATTTATTAGTGGTACTCATCTAATTCTATTTTGTCTAATTAAGCTGCAGCTGAATAATCACGGATAAGCTGGATGCTGTCGTTGGCTGGTGGTTTGTTGCTAGTTTAGCTTCTCGTCACCAAGGGAGATGACTTACTACAAAGGGGAATGCATAGAGTCCTGGACTTTTTAGATTCTTTTTCGTATCACTTTGTTTTTAAATGCATCTAAAGGCAAAAAGGTATGAGGTTCTAGAGCTAACAGAAATAGCACAATAAAGCCAATCGAATCCTCATTAGCCAAATAACGGAATGTTTTTTCATCTCTCTCTTTGGCTACAATTGCTACGCATTTCTGTCTTTTCTGAAGCATGGAGAGAAAGACAATTTGTATGCACGTTTTATGACCGTGCAGTTTAATAAAATTCGCTGTTCGCAAACAGTATCTAATGTGGTATTTGTTGAAATAGGATAATTGGCATTTTGTGTGGCAAAATTGGTCACCGACAGCCTATTTGATGTAGTTATAATATGAGCCATTTTGGCTCTTCAGGGATCCACTGTTAATAATGATTTTGAGTCGCAAGGTATCGTTTTCATTTCCTTTAAAGGTGATGTTCCTGTAGGTAGGTTTTGTTTATCGATTTCGATAACTCTTAAGTTTATTGTCTGATGAGTACAGAGGTCAGTCCTAAATCAGTTAAGGGTTTCAATCCTAGATTAACCGTATTAAAATCGACAGTGGAACAAAACTGTCTTTTATACGCGCCAAACTCTGGACTAATTTAGGCACTCAAAGAAGAAAGTCAACTACTTTGACGGCATTTCTTAATTTTAAGTATGCTAGATATAAGATAATTTTTGTATTTGTTTGAAAGTCTCTAGCATGGCATTAGCAAAGAGGTTTTCTATTTAAAAGGCTTCCATGGATAGCAAAATTACGGTAAAATTAGAATGAATATAAATGTTGAGTTTGTTTTACTCCAAGAGTAATCGCACTTTCTTCTTTTAATCATTTTCGCTCTTTAAGAATAACACTCATCATGATCAAAATATTTTAACGGCCTAAATCTTGAAATTTTAAACTGCCTCAGAAAATTTGCTTCGACATATCCTAAAATTAATCGATTTTGAAGATTTGAACTCTTTTGATACTAGTTAAATCTATTTTCACCTTTGGTTGATTTATTTCTCAATAATCTTAGTTGAGTTTCTCTTTGCATTTGAAACTTGTTTGAAGCAATGAAACTTCTTGTTGAATGTTACCCTGGATATAAAAAATGCATCAAACTTAAGCTTTGCTTCTTTTTGCTAGATAAAACAAGAGGAAAATGAAGCTGCTGTCTGCCTTTTTGAAAGCCGAATAAAACAGCTCGATCAATTACCGAACGCGGAAAAGCAGGTAGAACTGATCACCGGGCTTTTAGCTGGCAATTTCTTTGACTGGGGTGCAGGCGAGGTCGTAAAGTAAGTGGTTTTGAGTCTTTTCTTAGCCAACAATCAACGATTATCTCAATAAGCAGTTGTTCTCTATGTAGAATGACGTCATTACCTGCTTTTGTGAAATCGAAGAGGCACTGTCGCAGAATTTATGTATTTTAAATAAAACTTTCGTTCATCCGTAGAAATTTAATAATTCTTCGAAAATGAATTTCGAGAGATTCCCGTATAAGATGCTGCCCGATCTGTTACTGGATGAATCTCTTGGTATCCGTCCACAAAATGACGGATATTTTTGAAAGCGAAATTATTTCTATCCGTTTGCACCTTCCGTCCACATGTAGCCGTCGTTTTCGGTCAAGAAGTGGGAATGTTTGAAAACGCCGTTTTCATGTTCTTTTTAATTGAAAATGATTTGTCCATGTTCACAGCCGAATTTTAAGCGTTCACATTTGGTTTTCCGTTGCCGTGTGGACGGAGATATTTTTGAAAACGCTCATGGTGTGGACGCAGATTTATTTGAATATGGATAAAAATTATTGCGTTTATAAAAGTTCCGGCATCGTTCGGACAAGGCCTAATAAACTACTGACAGCGACCATTTTGAAGATGCGGATCCTTTAGTTAAGCAAGATGCCTTTGAGAGTTTCCAAATTGAGTCAATAACCACCCGAAACCAAAAGCTAGCTAGATTAAATCTATTTAGATCGTTGGTAATTAATTATACTACGATTAACACTACAAATCTGACCACCGCATCGTGGTTCCTAAGTATAAGGGAACTTTTTGGCGACCATCTAACGAAAAACTTGTTCACATCAAAGGAATCACTTATGTTCTGCTACATATTATAGGTCTAATAGTTGTCAAATATTGCAAGTAGTCACCTATAATGCCTGTCTACCCAATCGGTACAATTTGTATCTGCTTAGAAAGTGACACCCTTTACAGTGCGAATGCCTCAATTGACTCACGTTGACCCTAGTTACTCGTACCCTTTGATGTTGATAAATTGCGCTGGGGGGGGGGGGGAAACAGAGGCTAGAGCCCCCTTCAGAGCATGCTAGTTCCCCTTTGGAAGCTCAACAAATCAAACTTATTTGCAAGCCTTGAATTTGGAAGAAATTTCAGCCACTCCCCCTCCTTTAAAGGCAACGCCTCCTGTCGAGAAATTTACGGTGCCACTATTTTTCAGAATGTTTCTTTAAAATTGCTTTATCAGTATTCAGTGACAGAATTGGCAATATTTTACTCGCCAATTTATTGATACAGGCTAATTACTTTTGAAACAATTTTTAATGCATTGAAACAAAATAATTTTTGAATTTTTGAAACATTGTTCTGGTGGACTTTTTAGAAGGAATTTGGAAGTTGATATAGAAATAGCGACTCCATTAGTATCCGCACCACGAATCTCTTATTTTACGATTCCAGTCTTCTATTTTCATACTTGTAGTTTTATTTTTTAAGTCACACAAGTTTAAATGTTTAACGTATCTTTGCGACCTGTCTCAAAACGTTGCGTCCTCATTGCACAAATTATTACGGCTATATGAATTGTGCTGTCAGCTTTGCAGTGCTCTTTTCAATTGAAAACTGATCAAAGCAAATTGAATTCTACTTATTTGTTTTTCTTGTTGAAACCTTATGGATTACGCAGAGCCGTTAAGAGTAATTTGGTATTTATAAAAAACTAGCCGGGATATGATGCGAATTTTCCCACAGCATATAACTGGCTTGTTAGCCCGCAGCATGCTTTCATAAGAGTATTCGCTATGAGTTGCATTTTAGGCTGTGTTCAAAAGAACCGCCATGTAGTGTCTTTTGAATGTTTGATTCAAGTCTCAATCGCAAGTGGAATATATGGAAAACAACCTTCTTTTTGCACTGTCCTTTGCTATTGAGGGACAAGAAAACCCTTCATCGATATTTTTTAAATATTAGCTTTTAAGTAGGACATCTTTATTTCTTTCCCCTTTGTATTAATGCTATTCTTGATTATTACATCTCAGAAAGTTTTGCGCCAATCACACTGGGAGTGGTTGAGTTGATTTCATGATTCTTGTCACTGTCAGGTCTGTTGTTTTGAGAATTCTGGGAAAGAATCATTTGTGTTTCGAAAATATATTACACCTATGCCTAAACCCACTCTTTTTTACAGATGCATCAAGAACGGTACGTTTACATTTGAAGATGCAAAAAAGAAGTTGCAAAGTAAGTCATATAATTATCTTTTTTATTCATAACTTTTTGCTGTTCCACGTTACTTATGCTGAATTCATCGACATGAATATAGGTACTGGTTATCACGTGGCATGGATGTCTCATAGCAGTGTTTTCTGAAAGAGTGCAGAGACAAGGGCAAGGAAAGAAAGAGGAGTAAGGGAAAGGGGATGTAGCCGAAGGGAAGAGAATGGTGACGTAAAACGAAGGGAGAAGAGCAATATTAAGGAAAATAAACGAAGGAGAATTGAGGTAAAGAAGGAAGAGGAAAGAGAGTAGAGATGTATGGTAGTTGAAAGGAAAAAGAAAGAATGGAAAATAAAAGAGGATAGAAAAATGAAAAGAAGGGAAAAGCAAAGGAACTGGAAATCGAGCTCATTATAAAGTTACAAAGGGGTATACATATGTTTACCACCTGAACACACTGTTGTAAACATTAAGAAGTGTTTTAGGGAGCAGCTGTTTTGAGCTCAATCAAAGTGCTGGTTTTTCGTGATCATATGACAGCTGTTTAGGCCAATCTAGGCCTTCAGGAAAGGTGTAGTTTCTTTCAATAATCTCTTCTTTGACTCTCTCTTGCAGAAAGACCCTGGCTTTGTGATGATTTGGATGCTTGGCTACAGCGCTGTGAAGGGCCTCCGTATAAGCTGGCAGTCATATTTGTGGATAATAGTGGTGGTGACATAGTACTTGGAGTCTTCCCTTTTGCGCGGGAGCTTCTGCAAAAAGGAACCAAGGTACGTATCACAGTCATTCTCAGTTAAGTTTTCTGCTGAAAGGGCCGTTGATTGGCTATAGAGAACAAGCCATAGCGTGCTCAGGCAATCCAATCTATCTTAAACAAGTACCTATAAAACTGTTTCTAGAAGATACTAAGTGAATACTTGTAACAGAACCAAAGTCTTCCTCTACTTTTCAAAGATATACGTATTTATTTATGACTTATATGCTAATCATCTCTTCCTTTCAAGTTTTTCATCTTCCTTATTATCGCATCGCTATTAACATTCCTTTCAGCATTTTTATAACTCTTTTCATATTTTTTTATCTATTTCTCGTTATCTATTTATGCTTTACCCTTTTCATACTTCATATTCCTCAGCATCTATTTTGTTCTTTATTTTTCCTTTTCTTTTTTTTACACTATTTTTCATCATCCGTTTTCTGTTCGTCCAATTTTTCTGTTGTCTATTTTTCATGTCTTTTTCCACCTTTTCTTTCTCATCATCCTTTTTTCAGGTTATCCTCATTTTCACCGAATTTCGTCTTCCGCCTCTTTTCTTTTTCTTTCACGCCTCGTCAGAGTTTTAATGAATGGAGTCTCGTGCTTTGTTCTTAGGTCATCTTAGCGGCCAATTCATATCCAGCCATCAATGATGTTATATTCAGTGAATTACTTATAGTTTCAGAAAGGATTGCGGAAATATGCCCAGTGATTAGGTAGGTACCTCAAACAACCATTAAAGTACATGCTTTGCAGCAAAATCCGTCATCCCTCTGCGTTGTGCCAAAAGCTAATTCCATAATTTTTGATTGCTACACAAATATGTAAGCTTTCGTGTGATCTCTTATTCCACAGCTCATTTTTTCACAACACTATCGAAATGAGTTACCAGTTGTTTTAAAATTAGCTTTTAGGTTCCGGTCCTTCACTTGAATAAAATTGATCCCCCTCTCGTCCTCCCTCCCCCACAAGACAACCCTATTTTCTGTTTTTGGCGTGAATATAGGCTCCTCAAACCTTTTCTCGACTTCCCCAGGCAGTGAAAGACCTAAAGTGCATACTGATCTATGGTACACAGTCGTACCAGACTAATGAATCCACGGAAAAATATCGTTGAAAAAGTGACTCGCGACCGACGGATAGTACCGTTAGATAGTGATCATGACGCCAAGTTACGTCACGATATGGCTTGACCAATTTTACAGCTCGATCTACGTCATCATCCAATGATCCTCAAACCGTAGCATGATCGGTGATATATCTTTTTTATTCGTACACCGTCCCATCAATTAGAGACGGACATAATTTATTATTGAAAAAAATAACATAGATTTTCTATCGAGTTCAAAGTTACAAAAAGCAAGGCTTGTCATTGCTTCACTTCTGCTCACCCCAAACAAAAAGATTGCAATGACTCTTCATGAATTTATCTGGATGCAGTTTTTCTGATATAACGCCGCTTTTTTGTATGCGGTGTTTATCAGTTGAATTCTTGTTTGAAATGGAGAGGCATTTATCGAACGATCATTTATAGTAGAACCTATTCGAAAAGATTTGTAGCAGGTTTTGTTCAACGCAGCATGACAAATTTAAATAATAATCTCTAAAGTCACAGTTAGGTGTTGGAGAACCAAGATAATCATTTTTGATTTTCTATTTTGTGTGAAGTGACACAACATATCGCGAAGTTGCCTCTGCCATTAGGCCCATGATAGCGCCAAGCATTTCCGATGAAAAAGTCTAGCATATTCTCTAATAGCTGTAAGAAAAATGAGCAGTCTTAGAGACTCGAGGATAGCGTGATTCCGAGAGGGAAAGTTGATATTTCACAGAAATTTAGTTGCCAATATTATCCATAGGAAATGTCCAGTCGCTTCATTATACCTCTGTGTAAGCTCCAAATTAGCTTTTTTTGATTTTCGGTTAATCTTTCATCACAATAAAGAACTATAGAGGTCGCTGTTAGAAATATTTGTTACATGGCTAGTATACAGGATACCTTTTTCGCTGTCGAGAAGAACGAGTTTCTGCGCATTAAAGGCATTCCAGACAGCAAAAATGTCCCCAAGAACGTCATATAGATAACGCATAGGATTTATAGTGCTACTAAAATTGTGGTGAGATTTGTGCTAATTGAACTGTTGTTACCTTTTATTGCATTTTCAATACAGGAATGCATTATCCACTCAGCAACTTGTTGTCATGGAAACTGGTGAAGGGTCACCATGTATCGACCTGAGGTCAGTGCAGTTTTCAGAATATACTACTTAGAAAATATACCCCACTACATCCTATGATTAAGTAAAGATTATGTTGTTTGTTGTTCTTTTTTCATGCCGGCATACTCGAAAATTGCTTTTCCATTTTTCTATTTAAATTTCAGTTCCAGGTCAGCTTATTTATTTGAATCAGTTGCTAGAAAAAGCTCATTATTGAATTTGGTATCATGTCATTCTTTGAAGCATTAATAAACTTAGTATCGTGATATTTTTTGCTAATCTTAACCAATGTCTTTGAAAAAAGCAAAGATTTACAGCTAACTGAAAGCTTTTTCACCCGACAGTTCACAGAGAATAACACGTCAGAGTAAGGTTCTGAAAGAGCGAGTGGAAAAAAATATACCCAGTTTTGGATCGGCCAATCAGAGCACACGAGCATATGACCGGCATAGTTGTCCAATCAGTGCTGCGTGCCTAAAGAAAATTTATCACTGGAGCCCAAGAGAGAAAACGAACTCCTTTTGTCTACACAATAGCGGCTTTTTTGTTTGTATGTATATCGGATGCTGATGAAAAGACGACCGGGCTCTGCCAATTATCTACAAGATCGAGGAGGCTTTTCTCTTTGCGGGGCAGTTTGGTTTCTTACGTCGGTTTTATCCTATCCCCCCATTCTTTGCGTTCTTTTGTTTTCTTCAGAAAACTATTCTGACGTGTTATACCTTGCGGAATGTCTGCTACAATCTGCAGGATATTCACATCATAAATATTTCATTCTCAGCTTTAAAAGTTATTTTTACGCAGGAAACTTTTGATGTCGCTGTTGCAACTAAGATCACTTAAAGTATGAGAATTATATTTTTTTCCCTTTAGACGAATAGACGCCTCATTGGCCGAAGAAATGAGGAAAGCCGATCTGATCGTCCTAGAAGGAATGGGGAGGTATGTTTGGATGATGATAGACATACCTCAAGACCCTGCCGTACCAACATACCTCAAAGCTTAGCTAATTCACTATACCACCTTCTTCTGAACACCATTGATAGATTTGTGTTAGTCCTGCGAACTCTGGGTAGCTTAATCCCCGCTTAAGTGTCTGCAGAATAGCTAGATGCTACACAGTGCTGCTTATCTAACATATCTCAACAGTCTACGTAATAAGCATGCTTCTTTCAGGACATGGTGAATGTCTCTTGTTACAGAGCATACATCATGACACTGCATGATAAACATGTCACACGACCCTACTTTGTAAAGATCCATTCTCGGTGGTTAAACTTAAGACTGTTATTAGGAAGATTTATGTTCTATAAACATACTATAAGGCACTACGTAACTATCCTTTCTTGAAAATTCGTTTCGAAAGCTTAATTTTCATTTTCTATGTTGAAATTGATTCAAGATAGATTTTAAAAAACGCTTTCCATATGATAATTACGCAGAGATATTTCACCATGAAAGCTGAGTAACACGCATCGTATTTGTATACAAGGATGGTTTAAATTCTCGAAATATTGTTTTGCAAGCTACAGTTGCTTCCATAACATAAAGCATTATCTTGAAGATAGTCAAGATAAGATAATACCCATTGCTGTATGTATCTTCTTCTTCAACTGTTATCATTTTAACATCTTCTTCATCTACTTCATCATGATGGTTGGCGCCCATTTTTGCCTTATAACATCATGCCGTTCCAGTTCTGATAACTTCGCATCTGCTGGTGGCCACAGATGTTGTCCGTCAAATTCTCTTATGCGGCCATAACAGAAATGTTTTTCTCTTTTCAGGAGCATCCACACAAATTATTCAGCTCGATTTTCATGCGATATGATCAAACTTGCTGTTTTGAAAAACCCATGGCTGGCCTTGAAATTTGGAGGAAAGACTTTCGATATTATGTTCAAGTTCAGGTTAGGTAACGAGTTTGAAGCACCGACTGAAACATCGACGCAAAACCGAAAATGATTGTTGACATTTTGCTATCGTTCGTAGTTCGACCCGCGAAGGCCTTAACTAACCTTTTTATATCCTTTGTGATCTGTTTGTAAATATATTTTGCAACAAACCATCCATCTTCAATTCCTATTGTTTATTACGCCCCTTTATTCCTGATGGCAAGTTCAAATTGTGTACATTCTTGCATTCATTTCTTACTTATTCCTCTGCCAGTTAGTGGTTATGCAATGGTAGGACCATTAGTACCTGGGTTTGCCTGACTAAGTTCCGGTTAGAGACCCCCGAATAAAGCATATCACACAATAATGTCAAACATCTGGAAATGCATACCGTAATTCTTACTGAATTTAAACGATACGCACCAAAACGTGAAATGCCAAGGTATATCTGAGTATATAATATTTGTTATAAAATATGGTGTAATGATTCTTTTTTAATCTAAACTCTGAAATACACCAATTGAAGATTTGTCATATCTCTAGAATCATTGCTGCTTTATTGCAACTCGACTTGACGTCTCGAAGAGCTCTTTTTGTAAAATCCTAATTACAATTAGTGGGCATCTTCCAGGAAAGAGAGAGATTGTTTGCTGGTTTCGTAAAATATCCTAATCAACACATTCGGAGAAAATCTTAACGATAGAGAAAAACATTTGTACGAGTGCAAGCTATATCGATCAACAAAAAACTATATATATCACAAAAAAACGTGGTCTCTAATCAAAACGAGGCTATAACAAAATGGAGTCAGGATGTCTAAGCTATAATTCGGTACACTGGCGCGGCGATTGAAACCAAAGATGGAGATCTTTTAATGCCCTAGGCTCATGCAGTATGTGATTGCAGTATGTTGTCCCCCAACTGCTCCTAGTTACATATGCACAATAGTAGCCACTTCACTTTATTTGCATTTCTTTCAATTGTATTCATTGATTGAGTACTCCAGACTGATTGAGTACTTGAGTACTCTTTTCAAAGCATCTACTGTAGTACAGATCTATATAGCTTAATAGTTTTCCATTACATTGTTTGGAATGAATGTGTTATTGATATTTTTATTAAATTGTGATAGTAAATCGTGTTGTTAATAGATGTTTTAAGCCATAATTTGCCGAAGATTTTCAGTTCAACTCATTTTTTTATTTCACTACAAGCTTGTTCAACCGGCGCTATATTACTGAAAAACTGTTAAAGCAGAAATGATTTGCGGCATAGTTAAGTAAGGAGTTTTCTTTGCCGCATGCTTTCGTCTATGCTCTCGGCATATAGTTTTTGAGTTTTATCCAACGAGCATGTAATAAAACCCACTTACTCGAAAATCCTTTTAAAGGCTTCCTGCTCAATACCTAGAATAAATTCATATTTGCACGCCGTGCAGCCACATCAGGGCTCGCTTTTTGTTTTGAGTACCGTCATATTTTGAAATATATGTTCACTTAGAGCTGAATGACAACCTACCCTGCGTATCGGAGCCTCCGCGACGTTTTGGGAGTAAGAGCGGGAGAGAGGAATCACGAAGGAGCGTGGTTAAGAAAAGCCTTTTCTTTCTTTCCCATTCTTCTTTGCAATTCCTATTCCACGTTCTGACTACCTGTGACTCGCTGAGGCTCTGACACAAAGGGTAATGAAAACAAAATGCCCAGTGAGCCCTTATTATCAGCTGTAACTTCTATTATGAGTTTTGTTAACAAGAAACTACTTTTTTAATTTTTCTAGTTTTGACAAGGATAAATAGGCCGATTTGGTTCTTTTGCCTAATGCAAAACATCACAATGACAAAAGTAAGACTTATATGATTTATTAATATTGGCTGAAAATTTGAATAGCTGCACAATTTTTCTACGAAGTATACTCAGTGTCACGCTTTTGGAATTCTCGGCTTAAACTACAGTTGAACCCCTGGACAACTTGTACCCAGGATAACTGTGACTTTTTCTAAATGGTACCCCGGATGAATATCCTGATGATAAATGCAGCTACGTTTACTATACCATCTTCATTGCATTTCTGATAAGGGTATGGAGATGAAGGAAGAAGGAGATGGCTTTTGAAAAAGCAAATATTTGAGTATACTGAAGTCTTTCGTCTGACACTCTTCAGAGTATATAACGTCAGAACATAGACTGAAAGCTCTAAGAGATTAGAAGAAAAAAGTGCGGCGATTTTGAAATTGTTTACAGGGAACGATTTGTATCTAAAGTTAAACGTGGGAAATTCATACAATACACGAAAATGCTTAATTGCTGTTGGCAAAAAAGATTAATCATATTTCAATGAATTTCTGGCAAAAACTAATACACACAAGTATATTGGTCTATGCACAAGTATTCTAAACCTAAATAGATTGAAGGGGGTCTTTAAAATGATTGGCTAATACAATACAATGGAATCGAGGGTGTATTAATGCGGCAGTAAAAATTCAAGAAGAAGAAATGAAAAGTCACGAAACAATGGACTTTCACTCAAAACGCTTTTGTTTTATTAGCCAATTGTTAATGCGATATTTACCCTTTAAACCCTTTTCTAGTAAGGTTTGTACTAGGATTGATTGACATAGATCTTTCAAGAGAGGGCATTGATTCCTATAGGTCAGCTTATTTTCTATTGGTTCATTTCTAACCGAATCTGGGTATAGATACAGTCACTATTCACCCGTCATTCGATGTGTTATGCTCTGATACTCATGAGTATATATTTACCAAATGTATCAAGTTGTTTAATCTTGAGGGGGAGGAGCTCAAGTGATATAACGGTAAGAACTTACAAGAAACTTGGGAAAGGAGTTGATTGAATGAACAAATATCCTCCTTAAACAATGTGCAAGTTTCATATGGTTTTTGGCTTACTTTGATTGAGGTTTTTATCAAAACAGATTTTAGCCAACGATCATCAAAGGTGGTGAGAAAAGAGGTTTTGATTTAAATATCGATCATTGACGAAAATATATCGAGTTCGGGCGTCATTCGAAATGATTATACAAGACTGAAAGAAAATCACCACGGAGAGCTGAAGATGGCTCTTTATTTGTCCATAGATTTCAAATTGAGGCTTCGATGGCGTGAGAGAAAAGCAAAACTTGAGCATATGTGCTTTTAGCAAATCTCTGTCTATTTGCTTGTAATCTATACAAATGCTACCAATTATATTCGGTTTCTTTTCAGATAACTTTAATCTGCAATACTGAATTTCCAACCCACAGTGACAAACATACCGATGTCGTGCTCTCTGTCGCGCACTGTTACAATGCACCGTGAGATACTGTATTTGCCATTTAAAAATGAACCTCTTTTTGGGTCGGCTTTCTTTGTTATTTGAATTCCGTTGTTTTCGACCATTAAAATTGATTTCTTTGAAATTTGTCGGTAAAATTAAAAAAAAGTTGCCAATTCTAGTCTCACTACAACTGTTAGATTTTCTAGCGGCCCAATTTCATGATTCTATTAATGCAGCAATCGAAAAAATATGATGAAAAAACATTAGCTCTAACTGTATCAGAATGTCTGTTACAGAAGAGACACAAAGGCGGCAGTAGAATAGTTGTCCACTTCTAAATGTGCTTTGAAACAATGATAGATTTTTCTCGCAATTAGTTAGGAGAATAGAATTTTAACTTAAATTATTCATATTGGCAGCGAAAAATGATAAAAAATCAATTCTAGTTATGTTCCCGGATTATGTGGCATTCAGGGGCGTTTAACTTTTTAAAATTGAAAATATAAAATTATGGAAGTAAAATATTGAATGAACTTCCAATTAACATTAGACAGTCAACATCACTGGGAATTTTCAAGAGAAAAGTGTATCATCTATCTATCTATCTATCTATCTATCTATCTATCTATCTATCTATCTATCTATCTATCTATCTATCTATCTATCTATCTATCTATCTATCTATCTATCTATCTATCTATCTATCTATCTATCTATTTATCTATCTATCTATCTATCTATCTATCTATCTATCTATCTATCTATCTATCTATCTATCTATCTATCTATCTATCTATCTATCTATCTATCTATCTATCTATCTATCTATCTATCTATCTATCTATCTATCTATCTATCTATCTATCTATCTATCTATCTATCTATCTATCTATCTATCTATCTATCTATCTATCTATCTATCTATCTATCTATCTATCTATCTATCTATCTAATTGTCATCCTTGTTCTTGCTGACTTTCCTATGCCTAGCTGACTTTCAAATGGAAGTGCATGCAGTCATATCGTCAAATCATTTGCAGTAGAGTTCCAAGGTGATAATATCTTACAAGTCTATTTTTATAATTTTTGAATATTAACCACATAACCTGATGGAGCTCTATGGTGCCCTGAATATGCAAAATTATTTAAATTTGTCAAATGTGTGCTGAGATGTGGCTAAATTCAGGTTATTTCTCCATCATATCATTGTAATTGGTCGTTGTTCTAAAACATGTGACAAAGAACAATAATAGTCTCTTGACAGATCCACATTCTTTCACTTGCTTTATCTTAGTGAGTTTGCAACAAATTGACTTACGTCCTTTTGCTTAAGTTTTTAATGTAGCTGGATATTTACCTTGAAAACATGGAACATGGCCTAAGCATTATTATCCATGTGGATGTAAGAATTGCAGAGTCAGAGAAATCGGCACGTGATCTATTCTAGTAGTTTTCTACATAACTTTACTTTAATTTGTCCAGTTAATGCTTAAGCTTTCGAATGATCTTCATTAAGAGAATGAGATTCATTTCGTACAGAATAATATTTAGTAAAAACAACCATATTCCTGAATGCTCTATTTTATATTCCCTTGTAATGTAATTGACTCCTTCTCCCATCGTTAAAAGTTTCTTGTCAAAAAAGAAAAACATGGTTTGATTATCCTTGGAGTATTTATTCAGCTTTTACTTGCAAGAATAATTTGATAGCAATATGTTGAAGAATATTGATTTATGTTGTTAAAAAAAACATTGCCTTGTAAGGAATAAGAGAAAACAATAATTTATGCAACAAATGACCTTGTTTGTAGTTTTGAGGGCCAGAAAGGAAGAAATTGATGTATCTGGATGAAGAAATGGTTATCTATAATATTAAAGTGACGATTCTGTTCACACTAATTTGAATTTTCCAAACTTGACAAAAATATTCAAAGACAAGATGACGAAGTAAAATTATTTTAAGAAAATAAAAGCAACATTCTTTGAAAACATCGGAATACATCATAAATAATCGAAGAATGAAGTATGATATTTATTGAATATTACTCTACTGAACCCTGTTTACATATAAGCCATATTTGATACATGATGTGTGATCATGTTTATGGTACTATCCTCTTTATTTAGAGTCGTCACACTTTTCTTTACATTTTGTGTACCTAGGTAACTTCTTTCTTGCATGTACAATCTAGCCATTGTAGAAATCTTACAGATTTTGCAGAAAATATCTTAGTTTTAATACAAGACAAACCTGGGATGTATTAGGAGCCAGGAAAGCAGCAATTTTCTACCTAAGTTTAATGCAAAAGACAAATATCCCTAGTGATTAAGAAGAGCTATCTTATACACTTCAGTTTTGATGAACAAAACAGCAAGGAATACAGGGTCAGTAAGACTAGATAGACTCTAGAGTTTTTCACTTTGGAAAAAGATACTATGAAATCGGAACAGAAATTATTCACTCTGTCGTAAATTATCTGGCTGAGAAAATGAATATCGAACAAGAAAGAACAATCAAGAGTTTGATACAAATTGCAGAGTCGTCATCACAATATATAACTGCCATCAGGACCTTGTGAGCCAGATATTTGGAGCACACGATGTTTAAGAGTCTGGGCTGATTTGATCATGTCAAAGACAAACCAGTGCAAAGTGCAGATTCGATAGAGGTACAAGACACGTGATATGCTCGCAGATTAAGAAAGATAACACAAGCAAGCTCTTGGTTTGCTTCAGCAGCTCTTTGCACCTTTTCTGATCGCAACATTGCACAGTGTGGCAAAAGAAAGGGCAAGTCAAAATCATAATATCAAACTTTAGGTAGAACATCTAGAATCGAGAAACAATTCTATGTTTCGCTTAATGGAATAATAGACCATCTGTTCAGGCATCTCTTGAAGGAAAACATGTTACAGTG